GAAACACTGTGCAATGTGATTTGATATGTATTGTGAAAATATTCATACCAACATCTAATGTTATAGGAAACTTTATTACTTGAAAGGTTCTAAATATGTGTAAGATATAACTTTAAATGTAGTATTTGGAGTAGTATCTGCAAAACACATCTTTTGTGGTTCATATTACATTAGGCAACCTGAACTATCACTAACCTGCTGAAATTCTTAAATGACATTGGTGAGCTTTCTGTTTTTGAAAATGGCACATATCAATTTTTGGGGATTTAAAGAGGACAAGAGGACATTGATTTGTGATAAAATCAAATGGTTGTTAAAGAAATCACTTATTACTATGGAAGTCACTGCAACAGAAAGTAAATATTTGGAATTAGGAATTCGCTGGATGCTAAGGAAAGGCAATGTTTGCTATTGAAGTCAATGACTGCAAAGGAATGTAAATGGTTGCTGTGGTAATAATTAGTTGTTATAGAAAGTCAATAGCTGCTCTGGAATTCACTGGTTGTTATGAAAGTTTACTTTAAAATACTTACATGCCAACGATAAACAAAATCATTGATTTCCTTAAAACGTTAACATGCGGTAACTATGAGGACAGACGGACGGACAACAGCATACCAACCTGAAAGTACGCCCCAAAGTTATTCGGGCGTATAAAAAGTATGTGATGATATGATAAAGTAAAAAATATATATACTTACAGTTTTTGTCATTAATGTTTCTTCGCTCTTTCATGAAAGCAACAATTCTTCCTCTGAATAAATATCCAGAGCACATTTAAAACCTTTACTGACATCTTACGTATATCAGTGATAATAGCTTACTGAGAAAATAGAATCAACTTAGCTCAGTGAAATTGTTGTTGACATTAATGTTCCTGATGTTCTTATGTTCAAGTGAGGAAGTTGTGAATTGTAAACGTACATATTGTCAAACTCATAGAAGTCTTTAAAGGATGTGTAAGATAAAATTTATAAAGGTTACAAAAATTTCGCTTTTGATTAGAGTTATCTAATTATACATACATACTATAACATACAGTATTTAACACAGTTGACAGAGATGGAGAAAAAAACACTACAGAAACATTCACTGTGTGGTCCAGACCGGTAGGACATTTACTTTAGGATTGAGAAATGCTGGGTTCAAGCCAGGGATATTACTTTAAAGCTGCGTGCCTCCAGATGCGCCGAAATATTTTAAGAAAATCAAACTTGAGAAAAGTGCTAAGATTTGAAGAAAAGTAAAATATTAAAGTAATAGTAAACATGTTATAAGCGATTTTGCAGTATCTATCACCCTATTTCTTCTGATTGACTAACGCAGTAAGGGCTATTTTGGCATACTATGACCTCTCTTTGGTAATTTAAGTTATTGTAAGCGCCGTTTGCAATGTGCAAATTACTTAATTTTTTCACTCCATGATATTATATTTTTTAAAAACCTTTTTAAATTTTCATGACCATTAGCATTAACCTGGAAGAAAGCTGTTTTACACAAAAAAACAACAACATAGATTCCCTTCACTCAGATGAATGGGTACATGGAAGGGCAGGGCAGTGTGAGCAGGTAGGTATGTTGGTGAACATTGCGCGTACCTTGTTTATGAAGCATACACTAAAGACTGTAAAGTTGCTTGCTCGTGTATTTACGTTGTGACTCACGTAGTTAGTATGCAAGTTTTAATAACAACAGTGTAATGTTGTCATTATTTTTTGTTGTTGTTTACTTCTTTGATTTGCTATTAATTTCAATTTTTTGTGATTTTAAATTCAATATTACAAAGATCCATCTTTTTCAGATACCATTTCTATGTTTTGCTCATCAGTATCTGTTATTTCACCCACTTAAGGGCGTCAGTGGCCGATTTCTTATGGTAGTTTACCTCAAACCATTTGCCCTTCACCGCTGTATGTTCTGATCCCAATATAGAGTTTGGATTTTCTATAATGAGAAAGGTACCATGCTACCTGACGGAATGTCTGTGGTTCTACTCAGGTACCCGCTCGTGCTTGGTGACGTACCAGAGCCAATAAACCTGAGAAGTTGCCACGTGATCTCTAAAGTATTGGTGCGACGTAAATCCCGATAATAAATAATAAAAATCGCCGTGTCGGTACCTTTGTCGTCATATGAATGATGATATGTTCATTTGCTTCTCCTAAAGTCATATTGCTTGTCAAAAAAAACGTACTCCCACCTCTTCAACATATCTGCAACATGATTTACATTTTTTGATGGTTATCTTAAAGACACCTCAAACGTTCGTTTTCGATCCGCCAAGCAAAGACAAGGTAAATTGAAGGAAAAAACACGACAGATACAATATAATGTGGCGCGTTTTTCTTGTGGCGGGGCGAAAACAGTCGCACCATCTTCGCTTTTCCTGTTAAACTTCGTATCTGGACATCGAATACAATATAAGTAAGAATACACAGAACGAATACGGTATACGCTAAGAAAGTTTATTCCAATATCCTGATGAAGAACCAGACAGGTTCGAAACCGGTAGATCTTTATCACATTTATCCGGTGTTGACGTGTGGTTTCTTTTCATCCAATATACGGATGAATCCACCTAAACTGATTAAGTAAATTTACAGAATGATATAAATATACACTACATTAGAGCTAATTACATATTATTATGGTTGTAGAAACCGAAAGTACAAAATGGACACCTGTTGAAGTTAATTCGGATTTGGTTATAATTGTACATCGGTTTTTAGCGTTTTTAAATTTATTATGATTGTGAGACATATGTTCAATAATAATTATACTTATAATACTTTATAATTCTTTGGATGCCACATTCGTTATATATTATACAAAGAAAACACCCTATGTTTTTACCACGTAAAGTCTCAGATTATTATGAAAAAAGCGTCAAGGTGTTCCGAGCCGGCAACATTTTCAATTTTGCCGTGTTGGGCTTTCTTTAGCGATTCTTATTTTCTCTGCTTTATCGCCACATCAGCGCTGTTTGTGCCGTGTGGAGGCTGTAAAAAGTCGCCCCGTACATTCAATCAGAGATATTATATTTCCGATCCTTAAAGATCGTTCAGCACGACATTACTGTTGTGCTTGTGGTTATTTAGTTCTTTCTATTTGGCTATTTTCTTATTGGGCGTTTTCAGTATTCTTCACTTGAATACTGTTTAATCACCCTTAGGATATGTGGCTTGCATTTCAAATAAGTCTTTTGACGTCTTATCTGTGATATGCAGGCTTCATAACCTCTGATCACCTTTCAAAATTCCATTTTATTTAGTTCCGCCCATTGTTTTCTCGTTTAGGGCACACACGTTTTGTTACTTGGGGATCATATGCCGCTTTTCATGGAATGGCACTTACGTGTCACATTGAAAGTTCCATGTTAACCGCCATATGAACACATCTGCGGATGTTTCAAAATTGTACCAGTTCATGTTAAATGTTGAATTCTACTCAAGCCGGTGCTAGGGGGCGTGGATGGTAGTTTGCACTTGACAGTACCGTCCATGAACAGGCTGTCAATCAAACCAAGCCTGCAACATTTTTAATTTTGCCGTGTTGGGCTTTCTTTATGGATTCTTATTTTCTCTATTTTTTGACCTCAAAGCGTTTACCTTGACTGGAGATTGGGTGTGAGTTGTCGTCTTATTACTGTGAACATTTGTACCAAGTTATTTTGAAATCCCTTTATGAATGGAATATTTGAGGACCAACCGCACAACAACATATATAATGTTAAGCTTTGACCTCTAAGTGTGACTTTGACCTTAGAGGCAGGTTTTACACATCGCCTTATGATGGTGAACATTTGTGTAAAGTTATTTCAAAATCCCTTGATGGATTGACACAAAATATACTCGCTATCAGAAAATGTTGACTTTGATCTCCATGTGTGACATTGACCTTGACGGGAGGGGTTTTGGTTGTTTCGCCAGGTATGTCATCTTATCATGGTAATCATTTGTGCAATGTTATCAAAATCCCTTGACTATGGCTGAATCATGGACTGGATACAATATGTTGACCTTTGATCTCCAAGTTGGGCATTTACTTATTTAGGTGGACTTTGCTACATATATTGGAAATAAACTTGGCAACAACTCCCAGCATTAAATTACTATTTGTTTACATGTTTAGTTTCTTAGCGAAGATAAGACCGAAATACCGCATCCGTTCTGTGTATTCATACTATTGTGTTCGAGGTCCTTATCAGAAGACTGACGGAAAGGGTCGAGTAGTTGCGATTGTAGTATGGGTATAACGGATACTCTCACAGGAGAGGAACTGTTACACGAGGGATGGAGTTCTTATGACAACTGTTACTGAGTTCTTCGGAAAACTTTTCTATATACTGCAGAAACACTTGTCACTGAGTTTTAGGTGCTTAATTAAACTTTAATGATTCAGCTCGCCTTAATTAACTCTTGTAAAATGAATTAAAAACTAATTTTTAGCCCGTTTTTCATCGCCTCTTGTTTAAAATCTGGTAGTTTTCAGTAAAATTTCCAAACTATTTGCCAATTCGCACGTATTGACCTGCTTATATCTGGTCTTCATCCTTGCTCTATACATAATTACCTAACTATAATGCAAAATTGCAAACATAAAGCACCGGCTAACAAATTAATCTCCGATTTTTCAAATGTCCTGGAGTTCTTGTGATAACTCTGAAAATTTCCTAGAGTTCTTTTGATAACTTTTGTTACTGCCAGTGTGCTTCCTGCGCTAAATCAGCCACGTTTTAGCGATTTTATTATTCAATAAGGCTGTAAATCATTAAAAAACGTATTATTAAGGTCATTATAGTTCTACGTTACATTAGATACTTTCATTTCTTCATTGTACATGGAGAGCTGAACATATATACAAACATCTATATTATAACTATGAAATTAACAAACAGTTAAAACAGCTAGATACAATAATATCAACATGTAGTCAAATGTAAACATAAAACAATATCAATTTACAGAAAACAGCAATCCAGAAATCAGGGATTTTTTAGTCTTAACATGTTTGAAACGATCAGATTCAAACTTTAATGATAATACCTGGGGTGTTCGTATTTACATTGAAAATGTTGCAGGCTCGATTTGATTGAGACTGTTCATGGACGGTTCTGTCAAGTTATTAAATACATTTGTACTTTTCTGAATAATGATGAAGATTTGCCTTTCCCAACATAATGGGCCAACAAGATCCAACACCTGGAAATATTCTGCAGTTTATTGGTCGGCAAGTAAACTAGATAGCAGCCGACATATATGGAAATTAGCTGCATTGTGTCTTGACCTTTGTTGAAGAGAAAATAGGTAGCATTTCAATGCAATTTGTGGTCTTTTTTCTTGTTCCATACATTGCCCTAACATATTGAGAGCAGTTTCTCTGTGTCCAAGGTTTTCACCTGTTCAATGGATCTTATAAGTTTACTGAGCGATTGTTGTTGATCTTGATATCTCCGTAGATGGATGTAGATCTTATATTGTAGAAAGTACAGGAAAGGTATAGAATCAACTACAGCCCAGTCCATCCAACAGTTTAATGATTTCTGTGTAACATGTCATCTTGTGTAGATCTGAACATTTCATATTGTAACTCACGAGGAACACAGTTGATCTCCTCCTGTATGAATCTGACACAAAACGCTGTAATATGTTTGATACAGTCCTCATTTTGTTCGTTGCATACCTTGATAAATTCTACTGTTACAACTGGTTGAGGCCTCTCCCAGCACCCACAGACAGCTAAAATGGGATAAAAGTAAATTGGTCTTTCAGTGTGTCTTAAAATTAGTTCAGCTTTCTCCATATATCCTGTTCTATAGAACATTGATGCCAGTTTGAGTCTGCTAGACGAGATATCAGAGTTCAATCCAGCCGATAGCCAAATCAATGCTTCAGGTGACATCTGATTAGTATCCCTAATGCTAGATGAAGCCAGGGCAGATCCATATGTGGTAAAAAGAAACGGAGTAAGCAACTTGCATGAAACATGTTCTATTCTGTTACCATATTTACTGTAAGACAGTAATCTTTCTACAGTTTGTTTCATAATTCTTATATTTTTATTATGTAAATCATTTAATATTTGTCTGTTATTAACACTTATATGATTTGCAATGTTTATATACTCTAATGTAGACAACCTCTCACTTATCAGACGAGAAGAAGGAAAATCATATGCTCGTTGTGGTACAATGTTAAGTTTAGCTTGAATTTTACATCCAAGATCATCAATATCAATTCCAAGTAACATTTGCCCATCATTCTGTATAAAGTCACTTATTTTTTCTAAAAGTTCTTGTTTTACATCAGCTGTAAATTGTCCTGCCATCAAATTGTTTTCAGATATTATAAAATGTGAACAATGAGCATTCTTTACACAACTATGTAATTTAAGAAAGCAGTAAGTTAAACATGTCAATAAATTGTTCTCATTCCATATACTTAGTTCTGTATTTTCAATACAGTGTAATAGAACTGTTTTACACATATAGCTTGATATGTTCTTTTGCCCTTGAGGATTCAGAAATGATTTAAGAATCATCTTCATTAAAACATAACATCTTATTTGTGTTATATTTAGATTAAATATCAGACATCTTTCTGCCAGTGATGTAGATATTCTCCATTCCAGTTCAGGATTTACACTGACCTTACTTCCAGTTGGAACAACAAAACATGGAGTGCTGGCTGCATATATTTTCATCTTTTGGGTTGGCCATCTCCCCATACCATATCTCTCTAACCAACCTGATGCAGACTGAGGCCATGATTTACAGGGAAAAGCTAATACTCTGTCTCTATCACAAATTCCATGTTGTCCTTGTGAAGCAATTGATGGTCCATGTTGTTCTTCACCACCCTGAAGAAAATCAGTTTTCATCGTGTTCTTAAACATTATTCTTCCTCTTCTATCAATTATGTTGTATTCATCTGGAATGACAGTAGCAGGCTTAGGTTCATCAGATCTGAGCAGTTGTAGGAAACAATATCCAGGGGTGGTGTTTTCATCCTGTATCAAAAGGTAGTTTTCCTTGCCATGTTCCCACTCTGACCAGTTTCCTATTATATTGAATTGATGACTACAGAATAATTGATCAAAGTCTGATTGAAGCCCTATGGTAGTTGTACATTCACTGTGACTCCCTAGATAATGTGTGGTTTCATTGACACCAGTTGACCTTAATGTCAAATTACTCATAGTCTCTCTCAGCATGTTTACTTTTCTTCCTCTAATCACCCTCCTTTCGTTGAGTTCAATATCATCTAAAACCTCTGATAGCATCAGTGATAGGCTTTCTCTGAAGTCAGGTTCTTGAAACATTCTGTAATGTAAGAAAATAACATTAAACGGTTATGGTCTGTCGAAGTTTCAACTGCTGAAAATTATTAAGAGATATTTTTGAGCTTGTCACACAAGAAAACTGCAAACACTTTTGGGTATTTGCTAACAATTAAATCATGAATTAATTAATAATACAATTGCGGATTCTCTATACTAATCTAAGTAAATTCCATATGTAAATGAATTCTTATAATCGTTATTTTGTTTTATTTTATTTTTTTTATTATTTAAGAAAAAAAAATTATGAAACTAAATTTTGTTTATGTAGCAGCAAAATTATTATTGATTCTTGCATAAAAACTGTACACACATGTGTACATTGATCAATAATGCATGAACTGAATATTCATGTAAAAAAGGCGTCTAATGATAAAAGTTTATCATTGATATGAAATATTTATAAAATTGAATTATATAAACAGTTTGTGGTAATTTAGGTTTATTTTATGTTCTCATAATTTTCAAATGCATTCAACATTGAATTACCATTTATAGTAACGACTTTCGAGGTTATATTTCAACTTTTGATTTACAGTTGTATTTTTTTAATCGCATGCTCTCTTTTTTTCTGCATGTATGTATAATAAAAAAAGACCCTCTGCATGATTTACAATTTGAAGTTACTCAATTTTATTTTTCTAGGTCATATTGTTACTAAATCTTCAGTTGTAATGTTTTTGGCCTTTTTGCGATATATTTAGATGTACTTGACTTATATATAGAAAAAAAAATGTTTACAATACTTACCTTACTTGAATTTGTCTCAACACGATACTGATCAAAACTTTTGTTTCCCTTTTATGATGACAAGTTTCTCCGTTTTAACTTCCTAGTGTGTTCAGATAAAAAAAGGCAATTACTTATTTCCTTTTCCTGTGTCATCGAAGTTACTTCCCTTTAAAGAAATTGTTAATAGCGTAGTTAAAGTGAATGAATCGTGTTTTATGGTAAACTGTGTTTATAAATAAATGCAACTGGTGCTGGTGACAAATGCGACTTTTTGCACACCAGACCTGTATTTCCGTTAGTTTTACCCATGCCGGAAATTCCGTCTGGCATGAGCGTGTAGGAATACCACGTGGCTATGACGTAATTTCGGCATCATTTTACTCGATTCAAAAAATAAAATAGCCGTAAATATTTTACCAGTCTACAGGGAAAAATATAAGCTTGTCACAGAATATTGGATCTTCTTCGGTAGATCTATATGAGCCGTTTTATCAGACACTATGTATAACCTTGGAAGTTGATTGTATTAAAACATGTTTCAGTTGCATTATCTATCTTATTTACATTTTTTTTTTCAATTTATACACATTGCATAATTGGTTAGCTGACTGATAAATTATATATAAAGCTGGAACTATGCTGTTTATCAACAGAAATAAATGTAAAAATAAAATAAATAGTGTTCAGTGTTCTGAAGGGAACGAAGTTTTATCGAGTCCACGGTTACCTTGGGTGTAAATAATAAATTTTTATCAACGAGTGTCACTGTGTTAAAAAGCTGAATCTATGCTACCGCGGTTATTTATCTAGTATATTATGGGTAATACGTATAAGTACCTCTATTACAAAAGAATAACCATTTAATTGGCTAAATCTAAAATGAAATGAAATGATAGGATATATGAGATATCTAAGGCCATCTTAGTGGCCCTATTGGGTTTATTATGAAGGGGAAAAAAACAATCATGTGTTGTGAAATATATTGCTAGAGGGGCAAGTTAAAGTTGAGCTGAACTTGCCGAAAGAGCTGGACTTGCCTTTCAGCAATTTCATTTGAGAATAATTTCCACCACTGAAAAGCAGTTGTTTCTTGTAATCGACTCTGGGCCATAATGGCTCTCTTGTTATTTACTATACGCTAGACATACATACACAAATGTATATTCAAAAACTCACGCACAAATGATTTTTACTGCTGCGCTATAAGTGATTTTGAAAGTTGTAAAATTTTCGTAAATTCGTAAGTCGTAAAATCACAATACAAATTGAAATATTTTGCCCTAACATTTTGGAAAGGCTTTGTTAAAAATACATATGTTGCAAGTGTGTACCTTTGAGATTATGTAGAATAAATGACCACTAGAGCAGGTTTAATTTTGATGGGACAATTTTATATACTTTTGTTAATGAATACACAAAATGTCACATGCAAAATATGTAAGGTGTAGATGTTTGAAGTTTACAGTTTCTATAAAAATAATTAAATAAATAAATAACAAAACAAAAAAAAACAGCCAGTTTTTTAATGGGCCAGTGTTGTGAAATATATTGCTAGAGGGGCAAGTTAAAGTTGAGCTGAAAATATAACATATCTACTTTGTGTGAAGTCAAACACGTTTATTTTATATTTATAAAGAGACTGTGTATCCATGGTCAATATTTTCTAATATTAAATTTGAGCATAGAATATCTTTAAAATATAATTTGAAGAAATGCCATGGCCCGAGGCATTTAAGCTTAAGTTGCCCCTAAAATGGGCCAATCAAATCAATATCAGCAAACTTGATAAAAAAACTACATATGTACCTAAGAATGCTAGTCAAAAGTTGGTGATCATCCATCCGTTAGTTCTATTAGAAGGAGACATTTAAAGGTATTTCTATTTTTAGCTTTAGCAGCCCCTAAAAGGGGCTAATCAAATTAGTATGAGAAAACTTGATAAAAGACTACCTAAGAATGCTACAGACAAAGTTTAGTGATCATCCCTCAATTAGTTCTGCAGAAGCAGACGTTGAAAGGTATCTCTATTTTTAGCTTTAGCGACCCCTTTTAATATGAGCAAATGTGATAAAAGACTACCTATAAGTATGCTACAGACAAATTTTGGTGATCATCCATCAATTAGTTTTGCAGAAGCAGACGTTTAAACGTATTTCTACTTTCAGCTTTTGCGGCCCCAAAAAGGGGCCAATCAAATTAATAAGAGCAAACTTGATAAAAGATGACCTAAGAATGCTACAGACAAAATTTGGTAATCAGTCATCAATTAGTTCTGTAGAAGGAGATGTTTATAGGTATTTTTATTTTTAGCTTTAGCGGCCCCTAAAAGGGGCCAATCATATTAATATGAGCAAGCTTGTTAAAAGACTATTTAAGAATACTAAAGACAGAGTTTGGTGATCATCCATCAATTTGTTCTGTAGAAGGAGACGTTTAAAGGTATTTCTATTTATAGCTTTAGCGGCCCCTAAAAGGGGCCAATCAAATTAATACGAGCACACTTGATAAAAGACTACCTAAGAATTCTATAGACAAAGTTTGGTAATCATAATTTATTTCAGTAGGAGATGATGTTAAAACGTTTAACTATTTTTAGCTTTAACGGCCAATCAAATTAATATCAGCAAACTTGATAAAAGACTACTTAAGAATGCTACAGACAAAATTTGGCGATCATCTATCAATTAGTTCTGCCGAAGCAGACGTTTAAAGGTATTTTTATTTTTAGCTTAAGCGACTCCTAAAAGGGGCCAATCAAATTAATATCAGCAAACTTGATAAAAGACTACCTAAGAATGCTACAGACAAAATTTGGTGATCATCCATTAATTAGTTCTGTAAAAGAAAATGTTTAAATGTATTTCTATTCTTAGTCCTAGAGACCCCTAAAAGGGCCCAACCAAATTAGAATAAGCAACTTTGAAAAAAAAGCTGCCTAAGAATGCTACAGACAAATTTTGGTGATCATCTATCATTTAATTTAGTAGTAGAAGACGTTTAAAGGTTTTTTCTATTTTTAGCTCTGTTGACCCCTAAAAGGGGCCAATTGAAATGACATGAGCAAATTTAAGTGTGACTGTCACATGGATGCTACAGACCAAATTTTAGGTAAATCTGCCCATTTGATACAGAGAAGAAGATGATTGTTGATGCACGACGCCGGAGTATCCCCATTTGATACTAATAGCTCACACTGAACCTATGGTTCTGGTGAGTTAAAAATGTTTTTCATGGTTAACATAATTATAGAAAGAGAACGGAAGGTATGTTGCTTTGCATTTGCAACCAATTCTGAAATCTGCTTTAAACTGTAGTCTGAATTTTTTCACTTGGAACTGGTGCCAGAATTGACAATTGAAGAAAAAGGCAAGATTTACGCCATTTATGATAAAAAATATTATTATCATAATTATTAAGATAGGATTTTGCAATCCGTACCTCCTGTTGATGTAAACCTGACTTTAATAATGGCGTAGGGCAGATAATGCAAGAAAACGAAATAGCTTGCATCTGAAGTCCGTTCCTATATAAAAAAAACTCCCTTGGTTATACAAAGTGTTTGATAAAACGGCTCATAAACTGAAGGAGATCCAATATTCTGTTGCAAGCTTATATTTTCCACCGTAGATTGGTGCATATCCTAAAGAAATTGGTACAGAAATAAAATACTTACTTCGAACCCAGCGATATTTATCAAAAAGACGTCAGTGACACGAGATATTGCTACACTGAGATACATGTAGGTCGCGTGCTATTTAACCCTTTCCCTCATGAGCATATTGTGAAAAAATGGCCGTTTTCATTGAAAAAAGCCTCCTGTTTCAAGTTCAAACTGCTATGAAACTATGAAAAATGCTTCATTACTAATCAAAATTGGCACAAATGTTGACTGGACCATTGCCTTTGTAACGACATGCTCAGTCTTAAATTTCCCGTTACCATGGCAACGAGGGGACATCTCAAAATTGGCAAAAAATCGCTATTTTGCGTTGATTTTTTTTATCAAAATTGATGCAACTTCTCAATGCATTGAGAAAGAGTCAAAGGCTTTTCAGCGTTGGTTACACATTACCTTATGATCGACCTGGGGTCATTTTTAGCCTCTCACAAGTCCAAAATTTTCTTGGCTATGAGGGGGACTACCGCCCCCCCTTCGAACCCCCTAAACAGAAGGGGACACATCCCCTTCTGGCAACCCTCTGATGTACCTTTTGGATAGGGCGGCGCCGAAAAGGTGAACACTTTTTTAAGCAACAATTTCCAAACGGAAAACAGTGTTTTGGGCCTAAACAGGGTAATATTTCACTGTTTGATGCCTCAAAAGGTGGGGTGGGGGTGATCAAAAGCCGTCAAAACACGTGTACATGAAGTAAAGGGTCAAAATGGCATCATTTAGCGCATTCCATCAATGAACCGCGTTAAATGACATCATTTTTTGTACTTCAGTATAAAACTGCATGCTTAGGATGACTTGTCACATTATTTGATAAAGCTATAACGGGTGTAATGATACAAAATTCCATGGAAAATTGCTTTCTTTGAGGTAAAAAAAAATTAAATATGCAAATTGGCATGTATCATATCAATCCTTTCTGTCAGTGATGTAATGATGATAATGTTATCTATGTCTTTGTTTCAGTGAACAAAAGGTACCTAATAAGGACCAATTTTGAATTCATTTAATAATGAAAACATTTCTTTTAATTAGCATAAATTATTTAACATAAAAATATAGAAACGAGGTACTAAATAATGAACGACAATTGTTAAACTTATATCAAAACAGTATTAACACATTTTTGGACAGTTGAGTTTTTCTATAATTTGAACTTTCTCAGATTGTGTAAGACTTATCACTTACATGTAATATAAGACTTTCTCACTTTGTATGAAACTTTCTCCCTTTGTAAAGACTTCCTTACTTTGTATAAGACTTCTTCACTTTATATAAGATGTTTTCACTTTGTAAAAAGACTTCCCAATTTTGTATAAGATGCTCCCACTTTGTAAAAGACTTTAAGACTTTGTATAAGATGCTCCCACTTTATATAATATGTCCTCACTTTGTGTAACATGTCCTCTCATTGTATAAGATATCCTCACTTTGTGTAACATGTCCTCTTATTGTATAAGATGTCCTCACTTTGCGTAACATGTCCTCTCATTGTATAAGATGTCCTCACTTTGTGTAACATGTCCTCTCATTGTATAAGATGTCCTCCATTTGTGTAACATGTCCTCTTATTGTATAAGATGTCCTCACTTTGTGTAACATGTCCTCTTATTGTATAAGATGTCCTCACTTTGTGTAACATGTCCTCTTAATGTATAAGATGTCCTCACTTTGTGTAACATGTCCTCTTATTGTATAAGATGTCCTCACTTTGTGTAACATGTCCTCTTATTGTATAAGATGTCCTCACTTTGTGTAACATGTCCTCTTATTGTATAAGATGTCCTCACTTTGTGTAACATGTCCTCTTATTGTATAAGATGTCCTCACTTTGTGTAACATGTCCTCTTATTGTATAAGATGTCCTCACTTTGTGTAACATGCCCTCTTTATGTATAAGATGTCCTCACTTTGTGTAACATGCCCTCTTAATGTATAAGATGTCCTCACTTTGTGTAACATGTCCTCTTATTGTATAAGATGTCCTCACTTTGTGTAACATGTCCTCTCATTGTATAAGATATCCTCACTTTGTGTAACATGTCCTCTCATTGTATAAGATATCTTCACTTTGTGTAACATGTCCTCTTATTGTATAAGATGTCCTCACTTTGTGTAACATGTCCTCTTAATGTATAAGATGTCCTCACTTTGTGTAACATGTCCTCTTATTGTATAAGATGTCCTCACTTTGTGTAACATGTCCTCTTATTGTATAAGATGTCCTCACTTTACATAAGAAATTGAACAATGATTCTCAACTTGCTCCAGTAAAATTGTTGATTATTTTATTCCATCTCAATAACTTCTTTGACGGGTAGAGTATATATAAGGCACTTTGATTTTTGTAGCACAAAGTTCTTTATAGTAAATACATGGGGATTTCTCTTTTATTAAATTCTAATATTTTTCCCACTTTTTTGGTCAAGTTTTAATTTATAACAACAACTATAATAGATTTGCCAAGCGTCCAATTTTGCGAATGTCCTATATCATTTTCAAGTTAGTCAACCAATAGTCACCATTTACATTTAGTAATGCAGGAATGTAATATAACACATAAATTTGTGCAAAAGTAATGTCAAATCTGTATTTATTAAGCTATGACCTAACTGTGTAACAAGGAATGTAAACAGGCCAATCTATTTTATAGAAAACCTAATTAAAAGGAACGAATACATACATACTGCTGTAATGACATCTAGCTTATACATAAATCAACATTACAAATATTTTCCGATTTTTTTAATTTGTTTTCTTTTTATGAGAAATTGTGAGAATCATGACCTTACTACCATTATGATGGTGACTTTTGTGTTTTTGCCGAAAATAATAAGTACAAAACTCATTTAAAACTTTATTATGCATATACCTATATAAGACATTTGCCAAACTACTAGTGTCATATTATATTTAAAGGAAGCAGATTAAATATGAGCCGCGTCATGACAAAACCAACATAGTGCGTTTGCTACCAGCATGATTCCAGACCAGCCTGCACATCCGCGCAGTCTGATCAGGATCCATGCTGTTCGCTTACAAACTCTAAAACAAGTAGAAAAACTGATAGCGAACAGCATGGATCCTGATCAGACTGCGCGGATGCGCAGGCTGGTCTGGATCAATGCTGGTTGCAAACCCATTATGTTGGTTTTGTCATGACGTTTCCTCTAAAAATGATCTCAGTCACAATTTCTGCTTATTTCAGTGAAGTACGACATGAGCAGTTTGGCAAATGTGTCAAATATACCGAATATATTAAACAAACAAACATATAATGGTTTAGGTACATTAAATAAAGTTCAAACAAGTATAATATGTATAACGAGAAAATGACTTTCAAACATTCTTAATTAAATCAAAGACCTTCCAAATGATTGGCATAACACCAATGTCACATTGACTATTCTTTGCTTTATTTAACTGATTTTATTTTCTATAAACATCTCTCCAGTCATGAATGTATGTAATGCTATTCTTACTAAAAAAACAGTCACTTGTCACTAGTCAATCATGGCGTTCATATTAGAAAATCTGCTTCAAACTCGTGTATTTCTTCCTCATTATTTGGCACCTTATTCAGTAAATTAAACTTTTAAACATGATTTTGCATACTGGCAAAACTACAAAACAGCCTGCAAATCTGTGACCGGCTAGACTATGTACTGATGGCTGCTTCAATGTACCTTTAACCTATAAATCAGTCGTTAGTAAATCACATTTCCAACTCCAAAGACAGTTGTGTTCATTACAAAGTTACTTCTTCAAAAAATGTGTTAATGAACTTGGTCTTCCTTCATCCAATGCTACATAAGTGGCCAATCAGGTAAGTTTGAACTTGTTCTGTTTATATACTTGAAGGCAAACATGTACAGATGCTACAAGGATTCCAACACAGTGTCCAGTCAATGCACCTAGTACACATGTTATAGGCCATGCCTGTAAAAGAAACAACAAGTACACTATAACACAATATATACATATTGAACTCTGGGCATTTCCCCTTCCTGACAATTCCCCACTCATTTGATTAATTTTTGTTACCATAGAAAATTCCCTACTCATAGATTGACACTCATAGATTTGACAGGACAGACAATTCTTTGTTTATATTTTAAACAGGTTAGACCATTCCCTTCTGTATTTTCCACATTAGATTATGCCCACAAAAGTAATAAATTATGAAATAAAACTTAAGATTAATATTACAAAGGAATTTAGTTAACATAATTTAATTGCCATCAAGTCATTAAGACTTTAGTGCAATATTGTCAAACATAAAATATATACTTTACAAAGATTGCTTTTGGTACTTGAAGAATAGACTTTCTGACATTTTTACATAAATGTGATTAATTCTTACAATATTTGTTTCTAAGCTACATTATTTCAGTTACATTTAACCCACTTTTTTATTTTGGGGTCTCTTAACTTTTGTTAAGAAACAGAGATGGAAATAAACTCCCTAGGGTAATTGTTCAGGTGTGAAAAATAACAGAAATAGAATTGTCTGGGCTGAGAAAAAATAATGGGAGGTGATTTGTTCGAGGGAAACATAGTTAAAATGAATGACTGGGAAATTGTCTGAGAAACAAATTGTCCAGACATTGTCAAATATACAGTTATCAACAGTGAACAAAAATCCTCCTTAAAACTTTTACATTATATTACTCTGCCTTGAATTATAAATGTTAGTCAGTTTAATATCAAATCTGCAAATACTAACATAATCCTGCATACTTATATCTGTTTTGGTGACATTTACAATCTTTGACTTTTACATTAATTAAAAACCAATCAATTAAGTAAAATATCTTACTCAAATAATAAAATGACTATTTCAAACAAATATTGTAACAACTATCTTATACAATAATTGTTACAACTATCTTATATAAAAGATGCAACAACTATCTTATACAAAAGATGTAATAACTATCTTATATAAAAGATGTAACAACTATCTTATATGAAAGATGTAATAACTATCTTATACAAAAGATGTAACAACTATCTTATACAAAAGATGCAACAACTATCTTATACAAAAGATGTAACAACTATCTTATACAAAAGATGTAATAACTATCTTATACAAAAGATGTAATAACTATCTTATACAAAAGATGTAATAACTATCTTATACAAAAGATGTAATAACTATCTTATACAAAAGATGTAACAACTATCTTATATAAAAGATGCAACAACTATCTTATACAAAAGATGTAATAACTATCTTATACAAAAGATGTAACAACTATCTTATACAAAAGATGTAATAACTATCTTATACAAAAGATGTAATAACTATCTTATACAAAAGATGTAACAACTATCTTATACAAAAGATGTAACAACTATCGTATACAAAAGATGTAATAACTATCTTATACAAAAGATGTAACAACTATCTTATACAAAAGATGTAACAACTATCGTATACAAAAGATGTAATAACTATCTTATACAAAAGATGTAATAACTATCTTAGAGAAAAGATATAACAAGTGTCTTACTGAAAAGATGTCACATTTTTCTTACATGAAAGATGTAACACATATCCTACACAAATTATGTAACAACTCTTTAATACATATCATGTAACAACTATCTTGCATAAAATGATGTAACAACCTTCTCAAGCAAATGATGTAACAACTACAGTATCTATCATAAACAATTAACACTTTTCTTACATAAATGATGTAACAACTATCTTAGAAGTATGATGTAACATCCATCTTACATAAATGATGTTACAATTTTCTTACATAAAAGATGTAACAACTATCTAACATAATTGATGTTAACAACTATCTTATATTAAAGATGGAACAACAATCTTACATAAAATATATAACAAATGTTTTACAATAAAAGATGTATCAACTATGTATCATAAAAGATGTATCAACTATGTATCATAAAAGATGTATCAACTATCTTACATAAATGATGTTACAAACTACCTAAATTAAATGATGTATCAGCTATTCTATACAAATGATGTATTTAATATCTATCATGCTGAAATCATAAAACAAATATCTCATATGATGTAACAACTATCTTAAACATGGGGGTGCAAGTTAAAAATTTTGAAAAACCTGAACTATTTGTTTGGGGGCCAGGGGGCCGCCAGAGCCCCCGGTGGGTCCAGGGCAACGCCCGGCCAGGGGTCCTGCTCCTGCATTATAGCACATTTGAAGGCCTAAAATGCAATTCCCTTGAATGATTACATGCCAGATAACATACATACTGTAGTATAGTATTTTCACTTAAATATTGCTCACATAATTATTTTTTTCTTTTCTCTCTCTTTTTCTTAATTATATAAACAAAAACATTTCAACACAAAAAGAAATGTGCTTTCATATATTGGTTCCACTATTTAATATTGTGGTTCCAACAGTAAAGAGTGATAAAACAAACCAATATATAAATAAATTGAAAATTGAGTTGATTTGTACCGAGTTAACGTTTTAATTAGGGCTGAGCTGACCCTGATTCCATACAAACATTAAATTGTTTTCAAAAAAGATAATTAAAACAAGCCTGGTTATGTTTCACAGTAAGTTTGTTTTTCATATGGTTTGGATCGTCTGCGTGCATTTAATTCTTTTTTTCCAGCTGGATCCATACTTGATGGATTTTCTACATACAGTACAGTGCAGAAAGCTACGCCGGGAACGTCTGGCTTTTCCAGCCAGTTTCCGTAGTTATCCCCGTTTCGATCACATACAAACAACCATTCCCATCTCCATTTATTTTTTGAGGTCTTCTCGATATCTTTTGTATTAAATCCTTCGTGTAGAAACTTCATTTTGACTAACAAATTGTACTTTCTGTTTACATATTACTCTGTAGCCGAATCGGTAACGAAGCCGCTTTTTCATTGGATGATTATAATTAGCGCGCCAATCTAAATCGTTGTAATAAATTCACGGATAAAATTGCATGCCGGGATTAATAATACATGTTTTCGTAAACATCTCGTATATCTTCGGAAACAATCGGCAGTTTCCGCGAAAGTTTACTATTGACGCTTCGAGAACAACCGTGAGCATCCGTATGTTATATAGCGTTCTCGATTATGAACTTCTAATCGGTGGTACTTCTCAGTTTGAAAGAGTAGACCCGCACCATACCCCTCCAAATATCTCAACGGATTTACGTGATTTGCAAAAATGATCCCTCCGGCACGTGAAAAACCGGAACTTCCGGCACATGCCGGAAAACTTGCACCCATGCTTAAAAGAAGCAGCTAGAGACATTTGAGCCATGTCACGACAAAACCAACATAATAGTTTGCGACCAGCATCCGCACAGTCTGATCAGGATCCATGCTGTTCGCTATCATTTTCTCTACTTGTTATTGGGTTTGTAAGTGAACAGCATGGATCCTGATCAGACTGCGCGGATGCGCAGGCTGGTCTGGATCTATGCTGGTCACAAACCCATTATGTTGGTTTTGTCATGGCGCGGCTCATTTATTATTCAGAAAGTGAATATACCTGCCATGGTTTGTCCCAATCTAATGGGATAGGAAATGCTCCCAGCCAAGCTCCTACAACACTGGTAATACTGCTTATAAATACAGTTGTCTCCATGCCCAGATCAGGACTGAAATGTATCCATTAAAGGAACTCCACTGAGGTTTATAAGACTAACATAAAATTTCAATTTTTCACATAGATCAACATGAGCTATTAAAACAGAAATATAAATAAAATATAACTAAGAAATATACAAGAAATACATTGAAAATCATATGTTTGTGCTATTCCTAGTCCGATTTGAGTAAAAAGTGTTTAAACGCTTTTCAATTTTGGGTCATTTTTCACTATCATAATAATTATTCTGGAAAAACAGAGCGAGCTAATGATCTGAAATTTTGCACATAAGTTATTAGTATAGATCTACATCAAATGGAGTAATAATATAAACATATTGTTTCCAGTCCTGTCATGTCAAAAAACCAAAGTGCATGGAGTCCCTTTTATAATAGCAATTAGAAAAAAAGTATTCCCAATATATCAATTGTTTAAAACTTTTTTACTTTTTAAAGTTTCAACCAGATTTTAGATTTTCATATACATTCATTTTAACTCTGATATCTCCAATATTGATTAAAAAAAAACAATTTGAAAAATGAGAGATAAACAAGTTTAACTGACTAAGGGTTTAAAAAATAACTTCTTACCTTTCAAAAACAAACACACGAGACCATGATTCCACATTTGATTGTAGGTGTATAAGAAGAGGTCCCACTGTTGTTGAGGATAACATCATAGCAAAATGGAAAGTTTCTGCTGTTTCGCTAAAATTGAAATTAACTGGCCCATGTTTATTTGCATACTTTTTTATGGAAAGAGTTCAAAGGCACATTATGCCTTAGAAAAAAATTTTTCTTCTGTAGAAAAGGCAAAAATTAATTTTAAAATGTTTCAATCATGGTTTTAGAGCATGTTAGATGCTTATCATCTGAAGAAAGTAGCAGTGAACATGAATTGAGCCGTGTCATGACAAAACCAACATAGTGGGTTTGCGACCAGCATGGATCCAGACCAGCCTGCGCAGTCTGATCAGGATTCATGCTGTTTGCTATCAGCTTCTCTACTTGTAATAGGGTTGGTAAGCCAACAGCATGGATCCTGATCAGACTGCGTGGATGCGCAGGCTGGTCTAGATCCATGCTGGTCGCAAACCCATTATGTTGGTTTTGTCATGACGCGGCTCAAATAATTGTTAAAAAAAGTAGCAATATGTAAACAAGCAGTATTTTCACTTCCATACAAAATACTAATCACTATAACTGTACTAATTGCTAAAAATCAACAGAAGCATAAGATGGTCCAGGTAATTTACCAATAAGTACCTTTTTTTAAGTATAAGAAGAGACCAAAAATAAAGAATATAAGAAATAAAAATAAAAGCATTTTTACGACATAATGGGCCTTTAACAGTATCTATGTCATACACCACCAGACATTTATATACAAATAATAATCTTCAATACAGTAACAGAAATGAATATAATATATATTGCAATTAATTGTTAAAATAAATGGGAATGGGAAAATTTGGAAAAGTCATATATACCTATTGGTGAGATTGAATTTAACTGGGTAATGCAAATTGCCTAAATTAGTCAGTATATGAAGGCTCTATGGGAAATATAAATTATCTACATATGTATTTATAACAAACCAATGACCCCTAAAACAGGGCCAATGTCTCCAAATGAACAGTCTTGGTAGTGCTTTATTATGTTAAGTCAGTGATCAATATTCAGAGACACTTTCAGAGGTGTACTGGTAAGAAGCCCAGGTAATCCCTGCATGTATCAGTACTATACACAGGACAAGGGGTATTTTCAATAAGAGGTAAGGACTGGTTCCCTGATTCCCTTGTATCTCTTAGCTTTCTCTCTGAAACGACTAGTCTAGTCATGTCTACCAAATCGGCATAAGAAGCTCAGCTTAGCATCCTTGATGATTTTCTGGCCTGAATACTACATTACATTAAATTACAGACTTGTGGTTTCTGACCAAAAACTTCTTCTTTCAGGTCATTCTATTAAGAGGCATATGCTAAGCAGGATCAACTGTATAATATAATTTATTTTAAACATTGCATGATCTTAGAACATGACAACAGAAACTTTTTAAGCAAATACTGCAGGCCTCATACAAATTTTACAATGTTAATGTTTTATCATGTACATGTATCAGATATGTTTGATCGTATTATTGCATAATACTGAAAGAAATCTAAGTAAAAAAATCTACCTAACTCACTATCTATCATTCTTAAATATCCTAACTCGCACTAGGTTTTGCCTTTCTTAAGTAAGCAATTTCAACGAGGATTTTCCCAAAATCAAGATGCTTAGAACTCTTTCAAATAAAATGAAGAAAGCCCTTGATTATATTCTATAATCAATAAAATTTCTTGAAGGATTTAAAAAAGAAGACTCACTTTATGAAAGCTGCTCCAAACATAATTGCTATAACATGGAAGAACACAAGACTTGCTGCAAAAACCAGTGCACTTTTCAGAATACTCTGAAAAAAAAGATGAAGAACTTCAAAGCTTCTACAAAAAGTTTTACAAGCTACAGACACATGTAGACATGATTAAGCCAGCATGAAAATTATCTTTGTTTCTTCTCCCAAAGCCATGCCTGTTTGGGTAGGGTATGTAGGTAAAACAAATGTTTTCATACGAAATCATTTTTTTTTATTAAAGACGATTATTATCTTTATCTGATTTATATGGATTTAAGAAAAATATAGATGCTTAGCATCTGTTTAATGTTTAGAACCAAAGTTTTATCTAACATACTTACCACATGTTAATTTATTATATTCCAGAGTGATGCAAATAAATCCAAAAAATACAAACAAAACATAACTTATTCTTTATTATTTATGTTCTACATTTTTTCATAGAAATCATGTGGGAAGTGCAAGTATAAATACAGGATACAATTACACAAAAAGGGATACAAGTAAATACATTCCAGAGTATCTCATATGAGCTACACTTCATTTGGTTAAAACAATGATATATACATATAACAAATATAGATATGGGGATGTCAAACACCAGGTCAACAAAGCAGGCCCAGGCTTTCGCTTGCCAGGTTATAGACTACAAGTTTATATCTAAAAGGAAATTTTCAGTGTCATTTCTAGTTGGGAGCTGCCATTTTTAATATGGCTTGTCCGGCTATAGACTACACGTGTATTTTTAAAAGAAAATCAAATAAAAAAACAATTAAAAAATGTCACGGGTCGTTTTATTTATTATATTAATTGTTCATTTTGCCATCCACTGTTCGTCATTTAGTCACGGGAAAAGTGTTCTTAATGTCCGCGCATGCGTCTATTATCGTTTGTCTCCGTGGCGTCTGCTATTGTATTGCATCGGATGGTTTTGTAACATACGCTTATAAGCGGAAATTCACGGATACAGCCAAAACATTTCAACTATGTCTGTATTTCGAGTACCGTAATTTTGTAAAATGTTTTTGTATGTCCAATCGTTTTGTACGTTGTATGAAAGAGTTTTGAGAGAAAGTTTTTTGTTGGTTTTTAACATTTTCTTTCTTCCAAATTCCCCCATTCTTTCCTTCTCCACTTCACTTTATTCTCTTACGAGTTTAGATACACAATTGTACTTCTGCATCGATTCTATAAGTTTATTTAATAGAATCTTTCATAGGAAATAACTTATTATTAAGTTATTTACTTTTTGTATTGAGACGCTGTGGTAAGATTATTTTCATTTTATTCATTTACTTGAAATAATTCTTATATGCATCGTTCAATTGTTGTATTTTATGTATGTTTTAATTAACTTGTATTATAATCATGTATTTACGTTTTTAGGTTTTTCTTTGTATTATATTAAATTGACGAACCTACGCCAGGAGTTTCTATTATTAATTCTACCCTGTGACAAAAATATATAGATTTCTATACCTATCAATGAAATTTTCAGTGTCAGTTCTAGTTAGGCGCCACCATTTACAATATATTGACTCAATGATAAAAGGCGGGGTATTCCCATAACGGAACGAATCTCAACTTTTCAGATTAATAATAATCGTGGAGTGTTCCAAGTCAAAACGGAAGCGGGTACATACGATACCGAAAGACTCCTTTAAAATGGAAAAATAAAAAGATATTTTTAACCAACTTTCCCATTCATAGACTTTGCCTAATTTCATATTATATTCATTCTGTCATTTTTATGCACAGAAAATTTTTCAGTAACAGTTTGTTCCCAGTTTAAATTTGAACGCTAAAATCAGAAAACATCTTTCAGTTTTTCAAAAAATCAATAGATTTAAAATTTACGTGCGTAAAAATGAAGACAGTTAAAATTAGGCGTAAAGGTTTGACAGTAGGCAAAAATAAAAGAAATTTAAATGGGTCAAAAAGCTCATGCTTAATTTAGGCTACAATATCATGAAAATGCCAATGGTTAAAAAAAACCCAGATCAGTGGCATTCCTGTTCAAAATTATGGTCAATTTGTTTCTAACATACCTTAACCAAAATTCCGAGTCTAAACTTCTGGCCTTTGTTACTTTGATGTTGTGTTAAGAAATGCAAAATTCCATGTAAAAACATGACTGAAGCCGACAGAAATTTTGTCACACCAAGAGGATTAGAGACGATATCTAGTTGTGACTTTCCATGAAAAGGAATATATGTTATCAAAATCAGAATTATTGCGCTGGTGACATTTCCTATAACAATATTTCTTAACGTTTTTTTGGAAATGGAATTATTTGACACCATGGGCGCAGCCATTTTGAATGTTCTCTATATTGAAGAGTTTTTCTTATTACGTCACTTCCGAGTCCTGTCAAAAAAGTAAATAAAGCGTCTTTGCAAGACACGTGTCAAAATCAGGTAAATAATCGGCTTATCTTTGTAGGTCTTTGATAGGAACGTCTTTATAATACAGTTAAGTCTTTTGGTCACAAAATTGCTCCGGGAAGGCAGGTTAGTATGGAATTTTTTCGAAGATATTGTGGAGTAAATTTACCACGGTTGTTGAGAATCATCATCAGAGATTTGACAGGTCGATACACAGTTGTGTTGTCAGTATACTGATCGATACATTACTTTACTACAAGTGCCTCTGTATATTGACTAATTCTATGTTCATCTTCTTGTCAGAATGCTTAACACTATAAAAGAGCGGTTGCACTTTTCAATGCATATGATCATAATAAATTTTATTTCCAATAAAGGCTTTAATGGACAATTTCATGATGCATGCTGTATAATGTATTCATGAATGAAAGAAATGTTGGAAATTAGTTTCTTCTTCAAGTGTAGTGAAGGACAGCTACTGCGGCATTTTCTCAGTTTGGTTAAAAAGCGTGTGCGGGAGGTGGGGTGGGGGTCCACGCCTGTATATATTTACTATTTACAATTTAAAAACTGATTAAAACATGTCCTATTCCCTTAAGTTACAATGTATATCCTTGGATTCCAGTCTTAATGGACTTTATGGCCTGGGCCATGGGCAACTGGTTCCCTATCCTGATGGTGGATGGAAAGAATGATTCCTTATTATATAGACTGTGTTGCGACAGTATGGGATCCTGTACTGGAGTTGATATCCCCTTGTGGCTGCTCCTGATTGGCTGAATTGGGGAGGTAGTTGTATGGCAATTATAGGGAGTTAGCAACACAATACATTATTGTGGCCTTAGATTTAGTTCTGTGCTGTTGTAGGCTATCCCATACTAACCTGTCAATCATTGCTGTGACACTACTGGTAATATTTGTTGTTAGTCACAAACCTAGCTGCCCTTCTTTGCACCGCTCAACTTGGCCTTGGTTGTACCCATGAATGTAATATGGGGCAATGGTGGTGGTGATACAGATAACCTGGCATTTGTCTTATGGTATGGTGCGGTTGGTGAAAAATAGCCCTCTACCAGTTCTCGTTGTGTTAATCCTGACAAGAAACTCCGGATCCAATGGCGTAGGTTGCCTCGTACGCCATAGTGGTCTAATTTGGTGAGCAACCTATCGTGTGGGACCTTGTCAAATTCTTTGGAAAAGTCCAATAACACTGTGTCAATCTGGATGTTGTTTTCAATACCAATGGCAACATCCTTTATTGTTGTTATCAGTTGGGACTCACAGGATCACTTCTTCTTAAATCCATGCTGCCCGGTACAGTAGTCAGTTAGTATGTTGTGATGTTCAAATAAGTTCATCAAGTGGCTGTGGATGATATGTTCTATTGCCTTACAACACACAGAGGTCAGGGACACAGGATGGTAGTTTGCAGGTTTACTCTTGTCACCCTTGGTGAGACATTAGCGTTTTTCAGTAATCTGATGTTTGACCTTGGTCAATGTATGACTGGAAAATCTTGGTAACTAGCTGAGCCATCTCTTTCGGGAATCTAGTGGAAATCCTATCTAGTCCAGTTGCCTTATTTGGGTTGATACCTTGCAAGAGTTTCAGTACACCCTTCTCGGTGACTCTGATGTTGAGTGTTTATGGGATGGTACTAGTGCTTAGGGACGGAATGTCCTCTGTGGTGAACACTGATAAAAAAAATTGTTCGTTTAGGATGGAAGCTTTTGTTTGTGGGTCTCCATGAAGGTTCTCATCAGAGTGAAGTGGAGCAATCCTAGCACTGTCACACTTCTTACTCTTAATGAAAGAATACAGTTCTTACTGTTGGAATCCTCCTACACCTTAAGGTCAAGGTCACGCTTAAGGTGAATTATAAATAGGTCAACATTTCCCAGGCTACAATATATGAATTGATAATGATTAACCACAATGAGGATTTGCTTCATAACAACTAGCCCACAAAAGTGACAATTCGCCTCAAATTAGTGATGATTCACCCAACTTCAAAGTATCATTTAGTGTCATTTAAATTATCAAAATTAAGAGATGATAAGATTAAATGTTAATTTTTATATATTATTTGTGATATAAAATGTTCTTTGTATCTATAATTATTATTGTAAGATATATATTTTTTGTATATACTGAAAAAGATGAGTTTTTTTTCATCAATAGGTGATGTGAGTTTTTTTTCCCAGTTGGTGGTATGCATTGAAATACTTTGTTTTTAGTTTAAAGCATTCAGTTACTTTATAAAAATAAAGATTTCTAGTTTTAGAAAAAGGTACAATATTGAAACCAATATTTTTCTTATTCTATCTCTAAATCAAATGTTATCTTTAAAAAGTATACCAAATAAATGCCATAAAATACTCAAACCATAAAATTTTTCAATTTAAAAATCAAATGAAAGAAAAATTAATATAGTGGGGCTGAATCGTCACAAATCGGGTCAGTCATCACTGAAGTGGTGTGATTTATTATGGGGCGAAATTGTTATAGGGTTTTAACCATTAAATAATGATTTTTTGCATACACCATTTGCTCTTAGAGAAATATATAAATGTATTCCTTAGTATACAGGTATTTTGGAAGTACTGTGATCTTTTTTAAAATTAAACTGATAATTTTTGAATCAGATTTATACACTTTTACCTGCTCAAAAGGTTTCTAATTAACTTTGGACAAATGGCCTGCCACTGGTATTAAACTATGTGCAGAGGCTGAGCACAACAACCAGGTGGCCACTCCAAGGTCAAGGTCACACTTTAAGGTCAAATGTTAAAAAGTATTCTTTTCAGTTGTCCCCTCCATAACTTATTTACTATTGGAAAGGTTTTTAATAACTTTGCACAAATGTTAGCACCTTCATGGTACATTATGTGCAGAATGACCAGGCTCTATACCATATATCTATTCTATACTGTTGCTAGTTCCAAATTCAAAGCTGGGCAAATCCTTTTCACAATTTTAAGGTTTAATATTTGCAGCATACCAGGATGTATATTAAATCTTTTTTCACATGCTTTATTGTTTTAAATAATTAACATCATTTGCTTTGATTCTCTGAAATGTAAACTTTTTTAAAGTCTCAAATGAAATATGGAGGAAATAGAGCAGGAGAAAATGTGTAATATACATCACTACTTCAAGTCTTCAACTCTCATCATTTGTTTTATTTTATTCATAATGACTACAGGTAACATGTTTGTTTTTTATATATCTTCAGATCTCAGTATACATGTGTTTTAAATACATGTAATGTCCGGATATCAGTGTACAAGTCCACGGTTAGGTGTTGAAGACTGTTTTATCAGTTATCTCCCTTGTGAAACTCTTCTTCACATATTTTCATACCTGCCAGCAAAGGATATTGCAGCTTGTACAGGTAATTCTGAAATGTAAAAACTTCTATATTCTATTTTGATTTTTTAATGCACTATTATTTAAATCCATGTTTATTATATGACAGAAATTATCTCTTCCTTATTAAGGAGATTATTTAGTTTAGTTTATTGTAATTGATAATATAATTGTAGACATTTTAATATGTTTAACTTCAATTATTACAAATGCACATTCTTCTGAGGAAATAAATATCTACCGGTATATGTTACAAGCTGGTTATGATGCTTCTTGTAAACATACTAAAGGGAGCAGATGAGTAGAAACATTCCGACTTTGCAGTAGTTGTTTCACCATCCTTCTCACAATCCTTTTGTTTATGTAAGCTATTTTGTTGGAGTTCTGCAAGAAATATAAAAAACAGAATGTGTCAAAGATTTACATTTTGACAATTCATTATTCTGGAAACCATTACTGTTTGAACCTCCATAAATTGTTTTACCATTTTCACTTAGTTCAGATATTTGAAATAATTGAAATTGAAATAATTGGCTAAATTCTTTATTTCACTCATTTTTGGGTATAAATAGCAAATAGATAATTGTTTGGTAAAGTTTGCTTTTAACTTAATACATTGCTCGTCTTGACATGATTGTAGAAACGTGTAGATATTGGTGTGAAGTTATCAACAACTGTGACAATCTGTGGAAGCTACAGTGTCTTACCCTCACTGATAGTAGTCACTGTATTCAAGCTGATAGACAAACTGGCCATTCCTGGAAAGTAAGTTTACAATCTTGTACAAACTAATTGATAATTTCATGGACATAAAATTTTCTTGTTTTTTTCTTTTGTCAAAAAGGACAAATTGTGAGGTTTCTTTAAAGGTGAATTGTCTTAATTGTTTGAAAAATAAAAAGGGAAATTTATGCAAATTATGTAACATATATAAAATAATCTTACAGCAAATGAAGGAAAATTTCATTGGATCTTAACCTTTTAGATTGAACTATCCATGAAAACTATGAAAATTAGTGCCCCATGAATAATAATGATTTTGTGGAAAGCTAGTACTCTTGACTGACTAAATATAAAACTTTTGAATAATAAACCATGCTAACATGTAATACACATGAAATTAAAGGAATACTGCTATATTTCTCCTTTCTTATTTGCTAATAGAAGGAAATTTGGTAAATTATGTTAAACTACAGTAAGAGGAGAATACATTATTACATGACATCATAATTGAGCCGCATCACAACAAAACCAACATAGTGCGTTTGCAACCAGCCTGGATCCAGACCAGCCTGCGCATCCGCGCAGTCTGATCAGGATCCATGCTGTTCACTATCAGTTTCAATACTTTTAATAGAGTTGGTAAGTGAACAGAATGGATCCTGATCAGACTGGCGGATGCGCATATGGTCTGGATCCATGCTGGTTGCAAACTATGTTGGTTTTGTCGTGATGCGGCTCATATGATGTATTAATGTCATATCCAATGCTTATTCTGTATAGTTACAGGAACCTTCAGTCTGTTTAATCAGGAAGTAAAGTAAAGCATATGACCATGCAGTGCTTGGGTCCTGGCATTTATCTGTCACAGTCATTGAATTTAGCACTGGCCCGGTGGCCCATGGCCAGTGAAAAATAGTTCGGCCAGTGAATATTTTAAGAAAATTTAGTTAAATATATAGTAGAAAAAATTCAAAACTGGAATTCGGGCTAGTAAATTCAAAATCTTAAATTCGTTGACTGCAGTGCCATGTTTTACAAGTTGAAAAAAGTTCAATAAAATGTGAAAATTTATTTTTAAACAATGTAAATATTGAATATGTACACAATATTGATGACAATGCAATGTTTTTATTTGTTCAGGAAACATTTAAGAAGAACTACGGTGTGAATGGTTTCAAGAACCTTTGGAAACAAGGTACATTCAGCAATCCTAGAAGTTACCAAGAATTATTGAATAGACCATTCTGTCATCTTGATACAGACAGCTGGGGACAAATTTTAGAGTGGGAACTCGAGCGTTCATGATTGTGTGTAGATAAACAATTGTCATTTTAGAAGTATAGTGATACACTTTTCCCTGTTTCTTAGCGAGATATCATTCTGACATTGTCTCTTGTCTTTTGATGACATTATATTGTTTTGTATATACACAAGTTTAGGGCGTTTTTTTTTTAGAATATATTTTGAATCCATGTTAAGATTGGAAGATTGAAGATTTTAAATTTCTCTGTGATATACTACCTCTCTATTTTGTAAGTGTTATTTTTTAAGGTTTTTTGCAACTAGTATTTTATAACAGTTTTTAAGAAGTTTAAATTTAGCAAGTATTTATTCTGAAAAAAAATCATCAAAAAGTGAAAAATGATGTCTAGTGGGACCTTTGACAGTTTAAGTATGTTTGTTGTTGTTATATTGATACTGGTTTGCTCTGTGAGCACCCATAATGAGGAGAACTTGTATCAAGCAAAAGATAACTTACCAACTATGGGCCCAGCTAAATCAGTGCGCTATTTGCTGTATGATGTTAATCCAGGTGAAGGTTTTAATTTAAGACGTGATGTGTACATGAGAGTTGCGAATTTGGTGAAGTTTTTAAATGAAGATGAACCTTGGGTATTAGTATTACCTCCATGGGGGAAACTTTATCATTGGCAGTCAACACACCTCTCCTCACAGACTAAAATAAAGTGGGAGAATTTCTTTGATATCAACAGTTTGGCTATGCATGTGCCTGTTATTGAATTTGAAGATTACCTGAAAGCCGTGGGTAAACCTGAGATTGATGAGGTTTATTATCTGCAGAGGTATAAGGAAGGTTGGACTAAATGGGAAGAGAAGATTGATATCCGTGAGTGTATTGACCCACCAAGATATAGGAAAGACGATGATGGCAAATGGCGAGGACAGTTCTTTGGATATGAAGAAGTGTATGCCAAAAAATTTGAGTGCATGTCTTCTCAAGCATATCTGCTGACTTATAAACCATTTCTAATGAAAAATACCACAGGCAGGACAATATTTCTAGACAGAGCTGAAAACGTAATTCATGGACAGTACAGTGAATGGTCTAGAGAATGGTGGACTGCCAGACGTAGTATGGTCTTCGCAAAATACCTCAGAGATGTTGGTGATGAGTTCAGAAAAGAAAAGCTAGACTCTAATGATATAGATGACAAAACTGAACTAGAACCTTGGACTAAGATGAAAAGAAACCATGGAGATGCTAAAGGTGGACCTTATGTAGCAATTCATCTACGTAGAAAAGATTACCTCTATTCTCATGCCAAAGAAGTGCCTAGTTTAGAAAACGCAGCCAAAACTGCCAAGAATTTCTTGAAGAAATACAACCTTAAGAAGTTGTTTTTAGCTACTGATGCAAATGGGGATGATTTAAAAGCTTTTAAAAAGATGATGAAAGGATATGAGGTCTATTATCATAAAAGATCTCTCCCTGATGTTAATAAATATTATGATGGCGCCTTTGCAATTATTGATCAGTGGATATGTGCTCATGCAAGGGTTTTCATTGGCAGTCATGTTTCTACATTTTCATTCCGTATCCATGAAGAAAGAGAGATCCTTGGCTTTGATCAGGAGACCACATTTAATAGATTCTGTGGTGATGATGAACCTAAAGACTGTGAACAGCCTACCAAATGGAAGATCATGTATTAACTCTTTGATGATACTGATACTGTGAAAAAGACTTCCCTTGCTATAACAAAATTTAAGCATCAAAGTATTATATTTTGCGAGCAAATTATTCAGAGACTAGTCAAATTATAAACTTTTCTAGTTTTGCCCTGATGACATGTCATTATAAAATAACCTCTTTTTCAAGTGATAGGGACATTATTATATTTTTTGTGAGGAAAGGGTACATAATGATATAAAAGAAAAGTTGCTTTTATATGTATGAAATATATCATTTAAAAACAACGAGTCTGTTCAAAAGAAAATTGTGTGACTGTTAAGATAAATGAATCTGTACATGGTATTATTTTACCCGTGAAATTGTGATCAGAAGATACTGTTAGGAATGGTGAACTGTATTTACACAAGTTCATTCCAAAAACATCTAGATACTTGTAATCATGTTGTGTATGTGGCTGTTTTATTTTTACCAAGAATTTTTCATAGGTAATGGACCATTTCAAATATACAGCATTTACAAACCTTAATTTATATATGTAGAACTGAAAAGCATTTGTTTTATATTATTTATTACAACGTTTATGTTTATATAGATAAAGCATATTTCCAAAAGTATCATTATCCCTCGCTTAATTTTTTTAGAAACATTTATTATTTTATAATATATACATGTAGTTGGCAGTCATTCCATAGGAACACAGGATCTTGATGGAATAACCTGACACCTATAATTAAAAAGTAGTTAATATTGCATTTAATAATTCTATGGGTATTAAGCATTTGTGACTGTACTTATATCATCAATAGAATAGCAAGTTACTATGGTTTAAATTATGCTAGTAAAAGTTTAGTTTATTGTAAGCAGTAAAGAATAATTTTTCCAATATTTGATTTGATATAAGAGTCATAAGTCACTAGAAAGTAGAATATTTGATATGTTATAATATTGTATGTATGTTGTCCTGCATATTCTCCCCTCCTCCCTCGTGAATGAAGGTATATGGACTGTTTTATGGCATGTGTTACAGTGAAATTTTGTGTGATAAATGAATCTAGAGGCCTTGGTCATTGTGTCTGACCAGTGGTTTTTATTGTTGATTTGAAATCATTTTCCCATTACTGTTGTTGTTAAAACCCATTAGGATCATTTTATTCATTTATGCATAAGAACTGTGAATCAAATGCATGATGATGTGAAGTATACACTGCCTCTACTCTTGGGCAATCTTGAGTCTTAACATAACGCATGGGGGAATACTTCAGGTCTTCTACCAATGGCAACCTTTGCCATTTAGACACTGAATGAGTGCGTTGTTAAGTCAACAAAAAAAAAGAAGACAAGAACATAAAATTTCTATAAATATGTGCAGAGTAACTGTCTCCCTGCAATTTTATTGTTGTCATACCTTATTTAAGTTACCACATTTACTAAAAAAAAACTGATCTTTACTGGCATATCTGGCATTTTTTTGATGTTACTCAATCTATTTCATTTGACTGAGTCGTGCAAAAACAGAGAGCAATAATTTCTAGTTTAAATTCAATAAAAAGTGGGTTTGAATTCTGTCATGAACTTTCAATATATCATTATTTGGTAACACTAGGTAGTCAAGCTAGACTACAGAAAGTCAGTGGCTTCTTTCACAAGTAAAGCTGGAAGGTCAATGCATGTTGTAAACAGTGATCAGGTATTAATACAAAAGAATGTGATTCTTAGACTCAAGAGAATGTCAAATAAATGTTATTTTCATAAGTTTATTATTGTTTGTGGATGCAAGGAAATATTGTCTTACAATTAATTGGTTATTGATAAATGTATATTTGTTGGAAATGAAAGTGAAATATTGTGATAGTAATTTTGTTGTAACAACACGAATGTGATGTAATACTATGCAAAAACTTGTTGTATTATTTTCTATATTGATTGTATTTGTATTCACCCTTTTAATTTATGCTTGCATAATCTCAGTATTTATATTACTTTTTGCAACACAGAAGAATAAATATTTTATAGACATGTTCATGTATTTTAAACTTAAAATAATGGAGTTGACTTCCAATTTGTAAAAATATATACATGTACATTTAAGTGACACATTTTAATAGATAAATGACTACTTCATTCAAAAGTGCCTGCTTTATGAAGGTTTTTGCATATTGATTTTTCATGTGTCTAAACTATCAGTATCAAAACTTATGAGTACTCTATTATCAACCTTGGTGGAAAAAAGATTTCCACCAAAAAATGCTTAACTTTTAGCCTCCTGTCCGCAACAATTTCAAACCATGTGACCAAGATCAGTCGCCCCATTCATTGTCTGCACAGTTTGCTTTTCAGCCACTACATATTTTTGAGATTTTTCTCCAAAAAGATTAATGGTTATGCCCAGTTTGAAAGATAGACAAGTCAATTTAAGATATTTGGGGTGAAAAGAGTTATTCAAATTTGAAAATACATATTGTCAGAATCTGTTCTCTGTTAGAATTATTTTTATATATTAATCAACCTTGGAAATAAATTGCATAAAAATTTACAGTGTCAACACTTTAGTTTAAACAATATTTTATTTATAATCCATACATTTACATTATAAAGTACATAAAATAAAATTTATGGATTGAGTTGGAAGCTTTGTCAACAATTAACTTAGTTTATCTGATAGGAGATACAATCCATTAATCTAATCATTTATAACTTTTGTCTAGTGTACTTTGATTATTTCCATATTCATTAAACTCTTGTCACCCTATTTTCACATCATTTAATCAAAGTGTTTTGTAGTCCCACATTAATATACTGCCAAAAAGTGTTGTTGATTATTTATGATTATATATATAATGTATTTGTTGATACTCACTTAGTCCTTATTATTACCTATGTGCTTTGCTGTGTTGTTGTTTTTGTTGTTAAATATCAAACTTTTAATATTGTTGTTTTTCATTTGCTAAAATTTTACCCCATTTTTTGTTTGACTTTACTTATGGTATATCCTTTGTCTTAGTAATCATTATGTTTTGTTTTATTTTTTTTAATTCCTTATTATTACCTATAGAGTTTTATCATTGTGGTGGTTATTGTCAAGATAACAGTTATTCTGATTTATATTTGATGTTTTGTTTTATTTATTTGAAACATGTAGAAAAGATTAAATAAATCAATGTTATTATGTGTGTTACTTAAAAGTGACACTGTGTTTAGTTGTTTAAGGTTTGGTATTATCTTTCATCACCATGTGAAAAAAAAATTGAAAATTTAATGTTTGTCTTTTTATTATTCATCCAAATGCTGTACTATATTGCATAAAAATTTACTATGCCCAGTGAGCCATCCTTATTTCTAAATTTAAACTGCAAATTGTTGTGAATGTCATTTTCACAATACTTTGTTTAATTGAATAGTGATATTTATCAAACTTTGATGAGTTATCAGTATTGAGCTAGTATAATAATGGAAAGTTATATTCCAGTGAGTCCATTATATAACGAACAGAATACTGATACTGTGTGTCAAAGTCTACATATATAAGCTCAACAGATTCAAGTTGTGGTATTTTGATGGGAGATTGGAATCTCCGGTGTCTGTAGTCTGTCTGAACATTCTAATTCTTTGAAAATATTCCAGAAAAGTATCATGCGCATGTAACAGCCTTCTAGGTTTACTGGAGTTTTGAGGAAAAATAGGGATTTTTTCCAGGATTTTGGGAACACGACCCATACCCATGGAATTGGGAATTTCAGCAGTGTTCTGTAAAAATTGGGAAAAAATGCATGACTGAAATTTTACAGTGATATAAATGGATGCAAAACAATTACTGTCTAGGATGGCATCTTCATCATTTAAGCACTATTACAGTGAAGAAGCCCTTATTTGCAAAGATTTTAGAATTTTTATTCAATATTTTTAATATTTTACATTCAAATGGAAATTTTTTCCTGTGGATTGGGAAAATAATATACTATTTTCAATTGGGAATATGACCCAATAACGGCTATAAAATAAGCCAAAAAAACACTCTGAAACTGCATGTTCAAGCAAAACTTCTACATGCATAAATGGCATAAAGGGATTTTAATATAACATAGTACAAACATGGCACAAATGTTCATCAATATGAGATACGTATTGTGCATAAAATTCAGGTCCTGAGGCCAAGGTCACACATAAAGGTCAAATTAAGGTCAGATAATATATTAAATTATTGTTTCCTTGGTTTTGTTAGTTTGTTTGTGTATGGCAGTGGATATTAAATACAGTACACCAAGTGTCACTCACCTTGGATTAATGTGTTGTAAAAACTTTAACCAGACTGAATTTTACATAGTCTTTTTACTACTCGCTTCAATCAAACTGAAAAATACAAATACAAAGAGATGTTTTTAATTATATTCTGCTTAAAGCAACATGCCTCCAAATTCATACTAATTTTCATGAAAATTTTTAAAATTCATTTAAAAGTAAAATAATATCACGGATTTATATTATTGTAATTAAGGTCTGTGACTGTATGAACACTCTACTCTCCATCAAACTGAGCCTGCAACATTTTCAATTTTGCCGTTCTGGGTACTCTCCTATTTTATAAATTAGATTGTGTTCCACCAGTTTAGCAGAGCTAATTATGTTTAAACATATTTTTTTTTTATTTACATGTAAAATTAAGGCAGGCATAAAAAGTCAGAGGCTTTAATTAAACCACGGCTTTAATGTAAATAAAGCCATCATTAATCATTGGAAATAAAATAATGCCTCAATACCCTGCTGGCTGTACCGTGTTACGTATTCGAACTCTCATCCGGTAAATGACGTGCAGACGGGAAATATCATTATCCGTCAATCTAACAAAAGATTTAATTGGACAGAATTTCTGCAATTAACCAATCAAATATCTACATTTATCGCGACGTTGGCAGTGTTTGGAACATGGCTGAAGGTGGAAATTTGGTTTCTGTAGATTTTGAAGTCTTTGGAAAAGTTCAAGGTTTGTGTAACAAATTATATATCATGGTGTATGGAATACGTTTTAGCCGAAATTAATTTCTCAGGAAATGAAATAATTTATAAAAGGTATGAAAATAGTTTTGGGGAATTTTCACAGACACAAGTCCAGTGGCAGTTGTAAGAGGCACACACACTCACAGACGCTTGGGGGTCAGATCCTGCCCCCCAACGTGATACGCCCCTGTAAACACTCTGTCAAAAATATTTTAATATTTAAACACGAATGGGACATCTGCTACAACGATACAACTGGTTTTCGATCAATTTTTACATATCTGAAAAAATTACCTTTTACCATAAAGTCTCAATAAAGTAAAGATTACAGACTCCAGAATGTAAACACAAATTCCCTGTCCAACCAATACGAGACCTGAGCCTAGCATATGTTTGCGCTCTTCTTTCGCTTTTTGAGCCGGGCCCACGCTTTAATTCTCTCACAACTAAACTTGTATCGGAATCATCTTACTTTCGGGCGCCAAATTCAAATTTTCTGAATTTAGTATACAGAATAGGAAAATGTGGAAAACAACACAAAAGGTAAAAAGGTAATTTTTTCAGATATGTAAAAATTGATCGAAAACCAGTTGTATCGTTGTAGCAGATGTCCCATTCGTGTTTAAATATTAAAATATTTTTGACAGAGTGTTTACAGGGGCGTATCACGTTGGGGGGCAGGATCTGACCCCCAAGCGTCTGTGCACACACTTTGGGTGTGGAGCTCAAAATGCTTTAAAAATCCAAATAAAATGTACGTTTGTCAATCCCAGCACACGACTGATCAATGTATATCAATAAATTTAATATAAGCTGTTTTGAGAAAAAGATCTAATACACAAGATAAAAATGTTCGCCGGAAGAAATCCGCACACCTAGTCACCTACCATCAAAATCACCATATATTTTATTCCATTTCCAATATTTTCACAATCATAATCCCTTTGTCCAATGACACAGAAGATATTATTCTCCACCATGATGGGCAATTTTAAACTTCAACATCAATATAAACAACATAACAGGTGAAATGAACATCAAGAATATTGCCGTTTTACTCCTTTTACAAAGTCTTTCGACAAATTCAAACTGGTTCCCCAGCTTTTCAATATGCAAATGCGCCTCGCTTTGAAGATGGGAACCAACATATTACCGAATGGCTCTGACTATAGCTGACTGGTTCTCATCTTCAAAGCACAGTGCATTTGCATATGGCAAAACTGGGGAGCCGGTTTTTTTTTTTTTTACCTATTTATGAACAAATGTAAAAAATAAATACCTTTTAACAAAAGAAGTAAACTGCTTCCGAAAAATCATGATTAAATCCTTTACAGTCCAAAATTTTACCAATTCAATTTAATTCATTATACATCTGATAAACAAATGGCCATAACACAGTGAAACAGTTCGTTAATTTTATTTCCTGTAGTTCATGTAGCATCAGGTAGCTATCATTAGAGCATTTATTCTCTTTTTATCTTATTTTAATCTTTTATTCATACCTAAAAAAAAAGAATAAATGCACATGGACTGTGGTTTTAAAAAAACAAAATGTGTATTATGTTCCGTTTCAGGTGTTTTCTTCAGAAGAGTAAGTACAGAAGTACATTATGGTCAGATACACATCAGTCTAGTGATTGCCAAAGTGTGTATCCATGATTTCTAAAACTGAATTGCTAACTTTTTAGCTCACCTGACCACGAAGTGGTCAAGGTGAGGTATAGTGATGGGGCTATGTCCGGCGTCCGTCGTCGTGCGTTGTGCGTCGTCAACAATTTGGTTGTTAACAGTCTAGCAGTCACAGTTTTGATTGGATCATCATCAAACTTTGTCAGAATGTTTGTCTCAACAGGGGTTTACTTAAGGTTTTGACTTTCACTTGCCCGAAGGGCAAGTAACTTTGAAAATCTACTTGCCCCCAGGAAAAACAGGTTGCCCGATCTTAAATGTGAAGTTTGTTAATATTAAATCAAAGCAAAAATTATGTGTAAAAATAAGATTTATTGCAGATCCTATCAACTTATGCCTCAGATAGTAAAATAGTCCTAAATTCCCTACTGTATATGTTTTTTTGCTAATTCACAATAGTCTAGGGGTCGACACAACTTTCTTTGCCAGGGATCCAATAGAAATCCCTGAGATTTAATTTAGAAAAACTCCTAAATGTCAGGGATTCTTCACATCAAAATAGTAAAATGAAAGTGAAGATTAACAATAGTCATGTCCGACATAATCTGTTAAGGCTTATAAAAATTACAGGTACATGTAATAATTAGGCCCTATTCCAGATGACTTAAAATATATATTAACATTCAGATGCTATCACCTTAAAAATATTTATTCCCTATTACAACTTTAAAAAGGAAACAGTACATTGATTGTTAAAATTGTGCTAGGTTTTAAATGTTTATTGTTGATTTCAAACAATGTAAATATCAAAAATATGTTTGCTTTGTTTGCATTTAATTTACCAAACTAGTAATGTACCTTTCAAATTTATTTCATTTTTAAAAACAACAAGTTGCTCCAAGTCCATGACAGGATGTGTTATACTCAATTTAAATTGATCTGTCTGATTCCTATCCTCCCTGTTTGTATTAAAATTTATTTATGTCACATCAAAGGGACTCACCCCATGCAGTAATCATACAGTTCAGAGCACTGACTGGTTCAAAGAACTGTCAGACGTAATATACGTCATTTGCTGTATGTTTCAGGAGATTTTTTCTGTTTTGGTCGTAAATTAGGCATGACCTAGAATGACCTCAGATAACTTATAGTTACACAATATGCTGTGATTTACCCAAAAGGATTTTAAACATTTTATGGATTATTTTATTCTGTTTATTAATAGGTAAGAATATTTTTAAACATTGCCGTAGGGGAGAAAGGAAAATAAATTAACAACAGTTCAAGACTATTATGATTTTTCATCAAGATTTGTGTAAAAAAGATTACTGGTGACGATTTTTAAAAAAAATTCTATAGGCCTAGGCCATCCTTAATAATATATATGTTTGCTATTGCCGACCCAGAGTTATAAGGAGTGGGTCGGTAGGTAGGCTTTTTTTTTTTTTTTTGATATATAATTTTTACTGAACGTAAGTTAATACGTTGTAACAGATTTTGGAAATTTGGGCTTCACTATCATCATCGGCAAAACTAACATGTAAAAGACAGTTAAAAACAATAAAAAACATGTTCACTAGTAATCATAGCATGAAATAAAAAAAAAGACTATGTGGACATAAATTCAAGCATGGTCAAATTACCGATGTGATAAACTAATCCTGCACGAACTGGAAAAATTATAGTGGATCACCAGGACATTTCGTTCTCACGGATGCATGATCATTACTCAATTTATTACACGTCTGTAAAAAATAACACACGCAAGATTTGTCTCCTATAATTTCTGAATGGCGGATCGTTAAAATATTTCATTGTTAGTTACCGAAAATTATCGCAGATTGTTGAAATTCCATAGCGCTAAAAGACACAAAAACACTCGCGCAAAAAGTAGCATCCATAAATAAAAGGAATATAATGTTTCCATTGTTAAATATAAATACAAAATTTACACACGAAATGACCTCTGACTAATGACTGGTCGGCTCTTCTGAAGAATCTGTGAATCTTTGATGTTTACACACCTGTAGTTGTTGCCGAATCATCAAAGAAATGCCGACACTCAATTGACTTCCACCTCTTTTATATATCAGGAAAAAAACCTGTCATTTCTTTTTGTCAAGGAATGATAACACATGTTTAATTATTGCTCAAGTAAAAAATGTTGGATATTTATCGTGTCAATTATTGACATATTATTAATCGTAAGTGCATTTTGACATGGAGTTTAATTAGACGTATGTAAATCTGTGATTTTGATTGTGATATTTTATTTACATTTTTATGATCTTGAAGATATTTTGCAATACTTGTGTCTGCTATCAAAACAATAATGCATATGAAATGACCACAGCTTCCAAAAAATTATTTTTTCGGTCAATTTTATGACAGAATCCCCGCTGCTACCAGAAATGTTTTATTGCATGGGCTAAGTATTTAATCTGTGTCGGCAGTCATAAACAAACGAACATGTACTCCAAAGCACATTAAAATTACCACATGGTAAACTAGTGACCATATAAATGCTTTACAAATATTCATTAACTGAACAAACATTATTTTTAATCCCGTTTCCACACCTTAATTTGATACGTTCTATTATTAGTTAATTCGACTTAATTGCCGCGCGCATGCAGTACTGCGTGACGTAAGGAAAATATCCTTCCCTGGTTGGTCGCTATTTATGTAAATACTTTAAATAGTAACGCACAGAATGCCCTCATGAATGATCACTCGTTACATTACATATTAAATGTGTGATTTTCCTCCGATTTTATTTTTGTTTTCGAGGGAAATTTTTGGGTGGAATGCCCTGGCTGATTTGGCGGAAATAAAAAAAAATCTGATTTTTTTAAGCTGAAAAAAACTTTTGAGTCGGGGCATTTTGGCTGGGTCGGCCGGCAATAGCAAACAGATAATTTTTTAAGAGTGGCCCTATTGCAAATGAGTTGACGCCAGTTAGTTAAATTTTGACTGTATGAAGAAAACAATAGCGTACAGGATTCAAAGGAGTAGATTTTTACGGCCCGATTTTTCTGTATCTTGCAGTTGTGTCAGTCTTTATTGACATAACTCATCTTGAATTTTTGTGATTTTATGCTTTTTATTCAGAAAATCAGATGTTTTCTTTGCTGTGGCTTTTTCTTAAATTGCTGTAGATTTTTTTCTTTTAAAAATGGGAAAACTTTCGGCGCCGCCCGCCATTTTGAAAGGAAAGCAAAATGGAAAAAGTTTTTTTACGTAATTTGATTGGTTGATAGGAGTCTAACTACAATCAGAAACAGTTAAAAATACACTTGTTTGACTGTAATATGAACGGAAAGAAAAGTATTATCGGCAAAGGATATCAAAGCTAATAGAAGGCATAACGAAAATTCACTTGCCCGCAGGGCAATTTGCTTTCAAATTTCACTTGCCCGCAGCGATTTCTACCCGACGCGGGCAAGCGGGCGTCCGCTTAAATAAACCCCTGCTCAATGAAATACAGATCGAGTTCGAAGATGGGTTATCTCGGGCCAAAAGCTAGGTCACAGGAGCTAAAAATAGAAAAAGCTTGTTAACTCTCTAGAGGCTGCAGTTTTCATCCAAATATTCTGGAAATTTGTCAGGAAGGTTGTTTTGATGATATCTAGGTCAAGTTTGAAGATGGGTCATCTCCGATCAAAAACAAGGTCACAGGAGCTAAAAATAGAAAAAGCTTGTTAACTCTCTAGAGGCTGCAGTTTTCATCCAAATATTCTGGAAATTTGTCAGGAAGGTTGTTTTGATGATATCTAGGTCAAGTTTGTGTCGTATAACGGAGAAAGAAGTCACGGATGTTACATACTTTTAATATACAAATACAAACACACATGTGAACGAGTGTAATACCAAAGTCGAACTACCCTACTCTGACATTTGAGAATAGTATATATAATATCAACCTGTCCTAAGGACATTTTATAATGTATATAAATACATGCGTTTTAGAGTTACATATATAAATCATCTTGACATAAGCTAGTCCGCATGCATCCTGAACTATAATACTCATAAATCATGTCATGTTCCATAGTGCACATTATGAAATAAAAACCTTAATATATGTATATACATGTTGACTTGTCATTCGTTTTGAATATAGCATGTATGACTAATTAGCCTGTGCAACCAGCTATACGACAATTCCTCCATTACTTATATAAAAAAAATATTTAAAAAAAAAAAAGTTTTAAACAAGGTTACTATCAAATATTTCAAACTCGTAACAAATTAAAAAAAAATCTAAAATCAACTTGACGTCTGTTTTACCCCTAAGGTAAGGATGTTTTACATCAACCTTTTGTTACTTTATTCTTAAAGAAAAATCGCCGAAGGTAATATCCGGTCAGAGATGTCCGGTCAGAGATGTTATCTAATGACTTTTTATTAGTTTACTTTTAAAAGAAAAAATCACCTTAAGTCATATAATCGCTGATTGGTCAATTGTATATCGTGCGTAACCTTTTTGTTTTAATTCATTTTAATAGAAAAATTTGGATAGATACAATGTAGCACAGGTAAGTTTACTTTTGATATTAGTTTTAAAAGTTTTGAATAAGTAAAATAATAATTATTGTTAAATGTTCGATTAATCTTTATGCAAAAAAAAATACAAAAATAATATGTTAAAGTAACATAAGGTAAATATTATAGCTTTATAAGTTTTTCAATAAATATTAAATTTCCTTTATTTCATCATAAAAAAAAAGAAAAAAAAAAAAAGTTAATTTCTAGCGATTTAGTAAACATAAAAACAAACAAATAAGTTAACAATTTTCAAAGAACAAATTATTTTAAGAATATTAATTAGAAAAACTTTAAAGTATAAAATTTAACAGATTTATATGTATGATAAGAGTAAAAAAGATATTTATATACGAAAAAGTTTTAAAAAAATATTGTAAACAATTGATAATTGATAAAATGTCCAGGTGTTTCATTTCCTGTAAAACGTGTATTGTGCATGCGCATTGAACACTTCCTGTGACACGTATATTTTTTGTAACAGGTACTTGCTGACATCAGTATGGCTTGGTCTTCGTGACGTGTCGGGAATTTCAAATCGTTGGTATGTAGCTTTCTAAAGAATAATTATAAATTGACACTCATAATTGTTCATAAATGTTTGATGTTCTTGAAGATTCTTTTAAATTAATATATATGTATTTGATATGTGTAAACGTAGACTTTATACACAAGTTGATAAAGTTATATTCGAATATTTATTGGCACATCTGTAAACGCTGTTCTTGTTTCGTAGTTGTAAAAAGAATGTCTTGTATTGAACAATACAACAAAGTGATGATAGATCTATAATTCTTCATTTATGTAGCAACGTTTTTGAGTAAAAGATAATTAAATTAACAGTTTGCTGTTGCACGATTCTCGCAAATGTTTATGTGATATTTATTTTGGATATCTCTGTCGCGCACAAATAATTATTTTGATAAGAAGTTGTCATCAGTATTTCTCTGGGTTTTTGTTTTTAAGTTTATATAACACATAGAAAAACACATTCTATCGATAAACGGAAGTTTTCGGCTTCTCTGGTTGAAGACAGGAACAAAAGTTTATTTGATTCCACAATTTTGTTGTTGTTGTTGTTGTTGTTGTTGACGGCTGTAACAGCATAGTTATGTATTTTAAACATCGTAGACGCTTATTTCATATAATTTTACATCGAAGAAGGGGTTTATGGTTATATCTGCATGGTTTTACATCGAAGAAGGTGTTTATGGTTATATCTGCATGGTTTTACATCGAAGAAGGTGTTTATGGTAATATCTGCATGGTTTTGCATCGAAGAAGGTGTTTATGGTTATATCTGCATGGTTTTACATCGAAGAAGGTGTTTATGGTTATATCTGCATGGTTTTACATCGAAGAAGGTGTTTATGGTTATATCTGCATGGTTTTACATCGAAGATGGTGTTTATGGTTATATCTGCATGGTTTTACATCGAAGAAGGTGTTTATGGTTATATCTGCATGGTTTTTGTTGTACATAGTTTGACATTGTAGAGGCTGACTGTAATAGTTTCTAGTCAGGCGGTGTTTGACTGTACCGGCGAATTCGCTCGCACCTCTCTGTCTTGGCTGGACGACAAGTGATCGTTAGACCAATATTTTGCATTTTCGTCCGTTGTCAGATCGGTTAATAGATATTATATACAATAAACATAATTTTGTTTCAGATATATGAACAACAAGACAACTGTCATAAAATGCATAGGATAAGAATTCCAATGAAAGATGTTCTCTAGTGTAAGTATCTTATTTATGTAATACTTGATATTTAAAATTGTTACTTTTCATATTGATTTTTTAGACATATTTTGTTAGTTTTAACTAAGCTATTAACTTTAGTTTATTTCGACAATAAGACTTATCCCAATTTAAACTTTATTTAATGATTGTGCGTTGACACATGTTATTCCAATATGAAATAAAGTAAATAATCAATTTGAAACTCATGATTAAGTGCTGTCATTTACTTTGAAATGCATTTTAATTAACCGATCTATTAATAAATATATAGCGAATAACGATCATTCCAGGCAATAATAAAAAATTCTAAGATATATAGTTCTAATAAAAAGAACTTGAAAATTAATATAAATGAATACAACCACCAAAAATATAAAGATATATGGTTAAATAATGTAATTTTCTGTTTTGTTTTATATTGATTTCTTTTAACATATATATTTTCTTCTTTCCATAATTACTATTTACAATGCTTGAGGTCAATTTACCGAAAATTAGTATAGCATATAACACGGAATATAACGTTCTATAACAATTCAGCTAATCCTTGTAAAATCATTTTAAAACTTGATTTCGACCCTTTATCTTTACTTTGTAACTTTGTGTTTACCTTACCAGATACTTTATATCGATGTTTTACAATACTTTTCTTTTTAGTAGAAACAGAGTTTATAAACATCTCATTATCGGAATCGTTATCATCAGCCATTGAATCTGACTGAATAGCATTATATGTTGCTTGTGACGGAGGATTGCTATTTACTTGTATGGAATTTGAGTCTGATAATTCTGAATCAGTCTGCGATTGCATTTCTTCTGAATGTGCATTACTTTGAGCATTTTCATTATTTGAAATTTGTTGTTGTTGTCGAAGATGTTTCTGTAATTCGGCTAATGGAATATCATCTTCACTATCAGAATTTGACCTTTCTTTTCTTACATTCTTAGCAACTTGGGGTAATACTGATTCTGGTATTTCTGAAGCATCATCAGTATCGCTATTTTCAGGTGTAACTACAAATGTGGCATTTCTTTTTGGTCTGCCAGTATTATCTGCTTTTGGTATTGACCAGTCATTAATATTTGCAAGCCTAATTTGTTCTGCATGGACTTTAACTGTTGAATTGTCAAATTGATTTTTTATTATATAAGTTAATGGTGACCTTTTCTCCATAATTCTATAAAATGGCTTCCAATTCACATCTAGTTTGCTTCTCTTACGAAAATTTTTATAAAATACGGGATCGCCTATTTCAAATTTGATATCTTTTGCGGTCTTATCTGCATAGCTAGCTTGTTCGCGTTTTGCTTTTTTAAGGTTTTTATAAACAGATAGAAAAGTATTATGTTGTTCTTGTAATGCAATTTTGTGATACTCTTCGCCATGATAGCGCTGCCTTGGTTGTAGCAACAGGTCGATTGGTAATAAGGCCTCACGGTTATATAACAAATAAAATGGACTATGCTTTGAAGTCCTAGAGACATTGAATCTAAGTGCGGCTAGTGTCATGTTAAGATGAATATCCCATTGTTTGAGATTTCCCTGAATTCTTTTAGCTAAGATATCATGTATGACATGGTGAGAACGTTCATTTTTCGCGTTTCCGGCAGCATGATAGGTAGTTGTACGCACGTGATCAATTCTTAACTCTTTAAGTGTTTCTTTAAAAGCATTACTTGTAAATTCTGATCCATTGTCAGTGACAATTTGTAATGGACATGCGTATCTAGGGTAAATTTCTTCTAATAGTAAATGTATAATCGTATCAGTACTTTTGTCAGCAGTAGGAAAACACTCGGGATAACCACTGTAAAGGTCAATAAAACAAATAATGTAGCGGTTACCACTCATTGTTTTTTCATATGGCCCTATAACGTCGATACTCATGGTCTGGAATGAATACATTGGTACTCTTGTTTCGCCCATAGGTGCTTTTATTTTTGTAAGATTACGTGACTGACAATCAACACATTTAGAAACATATTCATACAATTCTTTGAACATATTTGGCCAAAAATATTTTTGTTTTATTGTTGTAAATAACCTCTGTGTTCCTGGGTGACCATTATTTAAATGATATTGAGTAATGACAAGGTGTTTTAAGTGTTGCGGAACAAACAATCTAAGATTAGGATTATCATCTACATTAGACAGATAATAAAGAACTTGGTCAATTTCTAAATATTTGCTCTGCACTGATTTAGTTGGCTGTCCGTGACGTAGTAACATTTTCAGTTCAAGAATAGTTTGATCTTTATCTTGCTCTGAGGCCATATTTAATTTTTCGAATTGTTTAATATCTTCTACAATTGGCTCTTGAAATTGGTATTCTTTGTTTGCTATTTCTTTGGTATTAAAGTGCGTAGAATCAAAAGCATTTACTTCATAGCTTTCATCAGTTTTCACAGCATGTGTATTATCATTATTTGAATTATTACTTGAATTTGAGACCGTTATTTCGAAGGCATTGTCATTTATATCAGGCTCATAAAGTTCAATATCGGACTTGTTAGCATTTTTATCATCAGCTGGAGGTCTAGAAAAGAAATCGGCAATTAAATTTAATTTTCCTGGCAAATATTCAATTTTACAGTTATAAGCAGAAATATTTAAAGCCCAAAGCTGAATTCTTTTGTTTTGCATAGGTGCTTCTAGAAGATATTTTAAAGGTTTATGGTCTGTAAATATAGTAAACTCTGCATTATGTAAATAAACATCTAATTTTTGTAACGCATAATGAATACTGAATGCTTCTTTTTCTATGGTACTGTACTTTCTTTGAGATTCACTTAATTTATGAGATAAGAAGTATATAGGTTTTTCAATACCAGATTTGTCACATTTCTGACTTAAACATGCTCCGACCACTAAATCTGAGGAGTCCGTGTATAGAATATAAGGCTTATTTGGGTCTGGGAATGCTAAAAGTGGAATACGTGTTAACATTTTCTTTAATTGTTCAAAACTTTCTTGACATTCTTTTGTCCATTTAAACAAAACACGTTTTCTTGTAAGATTGATTAGAGGTTCAACAATTTTAGAATATTTAGGGCAAAATCTTCTATAAAAACCAGCAGCACCAAGTAAAGATCTGACATCTTTAACACATTTTGGTACCGGAAGTGACCTAATAGCTTTTACTTTTTCTGGGTCTGGTTTTATACCTTCATGATCAATTATAAAACCAAGGTACTTTGTTTGTTGCTGAATAAAACTGCACTTTTTCAGTTTAAGTTTTAATTTATGCTCTTTAAGTTTTGAAAATACTGTCTGTATATGTGATAAATGTTCATTTAATGACTTCGAAAATATTAGAATGTCGTCAAGATAACTGACAGCAAATGCCTCTAAACCTTGTAAGACATGTGACATGAGTTCTTGGAAAACTCCAGGGGCAGAAACTAGGCCAAAAGGTGTTCGGTTGAACTCAAACAAGCCTCGGAATGTCGTAAAAGCCGTTTTTTCCTTGTCTGATTCATGCACGGGTATCTGCCAAAACCCTGAGCGCATGTCTAGTGTTGTAAAATATTTTGAAGACCCTAGTAGTGTTAAAATATCGTCAATTAATGGGAGAGGATATGATGTTGGCTTTGTAATTTTATTCAATTGTCTAAAATCAACACAAAACCGTTTACTGCCGTCACGTTTCCCGACAATAACAACAGGAAATGAATAAGGGCTGTGACTTCTTCTTATAATATTAGCATCTAACATCTCATCTATTGCGTCACTCATAAATTTTCTATTGTTTAAAGGTGTGCGATATGGGCGTAATTTGATTGGAGGATGATTACCTGTTGGTATTTTCATGGTTACAGTATCTGTCTGTGATAATTCAGAATCTTTATTTGCGAAAATATTTCTATTTTTCCTTAATAAGTCTCTAACAATATTAAAATGTTCTGGAGGTGTATGAATATCACGTTCGAAATCGTTGTTAAGAGGGGAAGTTGTTTGAAGAGCCTCTGTGACCGAGTTAATGCTCTCAACTTCTGAAACTTTAGCAACTACTGAATCTCGTTTTAATCTTATAGTTTTATGCGTATTATTGACAATCATAATAGGAAATATTCTATCAGCCGAAAGTTTCATAACAGAATTTGTTATCATAAGACCTGGTTCAGAAGCAATCATTCCAGTTTCTATACTTTTTAATTCATATAATTTATCATTTTCCAAGCCTGGATTTTGTTTTAACTTAGCAGTACACACATTAACTGTTTGAGGTTTCAGAATAACATCCTGTTTTAATCTAACAATTGATGCAATATGAATATCTTCTTCGAGGGGTACATATGTATTATTAACTCTTAAGCAGCCTAAATCAAAATATAATCTAACGCCATTTTGTGTTAACCAATCACGGCCTAAAATAATATTTCTATTCATTTTAGAAACAACATAGAATTTTTGAGTTGTTTCTGTTTTCCCTATTTGAAAATTTAGATTTATATAACCATCTATATGTAAATAATTTCCGTCAACTGAACATAAATTTATTTTCTGTTTTATAAGTTGAGGGGGATTCTTCAATTTTCTATATATTCTGCGATGCAGAAGACAAACTTCAGCACCTGAATCTACTAACGATCTGTATTTATAGTTTTCTATTTTAATCAAACACGAATTAGGGCTTCCAGCTAATGCTATACTAAATTTTGGTATTTTATCGTTCCTGTCAATGACCCCTTTGTGACAGGAACTTGCTAGTTTTCCTGAAAATTTATTTTGTTTCTGTCGTAAAAATTTTGTTTACGACATTCACGCATAATATGACCAAAATTATTACATTTCCAGCACTTAATCTTTGATTTCAAACTATTATTGCTATTATTTTTCCTAAATCGTGAAAAATTTTGTCGGTGAAATACAGAATATATTTCATTTTTCCTAAATCTACAACTACGCACATGGTGACCTGGTCTCTTACAGTACACGCAAAAATTTTCTTGTATAATAATGATTAAAATGATTTGCTTTGTAATTCATGTATTTTGCGTGATTTTGAGAATTAGAAAATTTTACTCTGGCAGAAAATCTAGCTCTGAAATTCTGTTCATTCATTGCGCAAGTAATTGCTTCTTGTAAAGTTTTTGGCTTTTCTCTCATAAGTTTAAGTTTTAAATAATTATGCGCTAAATTATCCGTAAACAATTCTACTAACTGAAGTTCAATTAAACTATTATCTCCTAGTTTATAATTTTCATAAGCGGTTTCAGCACAATTAATAAATTTTTCCCCAAAAATTTGAACACTTTCTCCCAAATCTTGTTTTAAATTTCTCAAAAGATAAAATTCATGATGTAAATCTTTAATTTCCCCAAATCTAGTACTTATTTCTTCTTTTAATTGTTCCCACGAATTACGAGGATTTTCACGCAAATATCTACATATAAAATCGCTTACAGTCCCTTTACTTGATTGAAATGCGACTAATTTTATTTTATTATCATCCAAACCTTTTAAAATAGCATATTTTTCTATAGATTTTATCCAGTCATTAAAATATTTAGAATTTCCATCAAAATTTTGTACTATTTCTGATAAACCCTGTGTACCTATGACAGTTGAAATATTTTCTAATTTATCTGACAAATTTTCAAAAATTGTAGCTATATCTTGATCTGACATCTTCAAAATTAGCAAATTACAGGTATATAAACGATCACTCACCTTTAATTTTCTATTTCAGGTACTTCGTTGTGTCCCGCTGTCCAAAATCGTCGCTTCGACATCGCTGGTCTTAGGCGCCAAATCAACCGTTGTCGTATAACGTAGAAAGAACTCACGGATGTTACATACTTTTAATATACAAATACAAACACACATGTGAACGAGTGTAATACCAAAGTCGAACTACCCTACTCTGACATTTGAGAATAGTATATATAATATCAACCTGTCCTAAGGACATTTTATAATGTATATAAATACACGCATTTTAGAGTTACATATATAAATCATCTTGACATAAGCTAGTCCGCATGCATCCTGAACTATAATACTCATAAATCATGTCATGTTCCATAGTGCACATTATGAAATAAAAACCTTAATATATGTATATACATGTTGACTTGTCATTCGTTTTGAATATAGCATGTATGACTAATTAGCCTGTGCAACCAGCTATACGACATTTGAAGATGGGTCATCTCCGATCAAAAACAAGGTCACAGGAGCTAAAAATAGAAAAAGCTTGTTAACACTCTAACAATTGGGTTGTTAACAGTCTAGCAGTCACAATTTTGATTGGATCATCATCAAACTTTGTCAGAATGTTTGTCTCAATGAAATACAGATCGAGTTCGGAGATTGGTTATCTCGGGTCAAAAACTAGGTCACAGGAGCTAAAAATAGAAAAAGCTTGTTAACACTCTAGAGGCTGCAGTTTTCATCCAAATATTCTGGAAATTTGTCAGGAAAGTTGTTTTAATGATATCTAGGTCAAGTTCGAAGATGGGTCATCTCCGGTCAAAAACTAGGTCACAGGAGCTAAGTATAGAAAAAGCTTGTTAACACTCTAGTGGCTGCAGTTTTCATCCAAATATTCTGGAAAATTGTCAGGAAGGTTGTTTCAATGATATCTAGGTCAAGTTCGAAGATGGGTCATCTCCGATCAAAAACTAGGTCACAGGAGCTAAAAATAGAAAAAGCTTGTTAACACTCTAGTGGCTGCAGTTTTCATCCAAATATTCTGGAAATTTGTCAGGAAGGTTTTTTTTGATGATTTCTGGGTCAAGTTCGAAGATGGGTCATCTCAGGTCAAAAACTTGGTCACAGGAGCTAAAAATAGAAAAATCTTTTTAACACTCTAGTGGCTGCAGTTTTGATCCAAATTTCGTGGAAATTGGTCAGGAAGGTTGTTTTGATGATTTCTAGGTCAAGTTTGAATATGGGTCGTATCCGGTCAAAAATTAGGTCACATTGCCAAAATATGGAAAAATCTTTATAACATACTAGAGGTCACATGTTTGACTCAGTTGTCATCAAACTTGGCCATGATGCTTGTTTAAGACATTGCTTGGATGCGGTTGTGTCAGGTGAGCGATCCAGGGCCATCATGGCCCTCTTGTTTTATTTACTATTTAAAAAGAAACTGAGGGAAATCCTCTCCTATACAGAAAACAGTTTATACATAATTATTTAAAATAAATCTAAAGTTATATGCAAATGTAAGTCACTAGTACAATTATGGAGAACACACACAACAGATATCCTTATAAATCTATTAACACCTTTTAATTATTTACTGACAAGTCACATTTAACTTTCTACTGGAAGATTGACACAAAGAAAATACGAAAAGCAATGATATTCATTTTCTTGTGTTGACATTTTTTATTAGCTCACCTGAGCAAGCTCAGGGTGAGCTTTTAGGATGGTTGAATGTCCGTCATCTGTCGTCCGTACACACTTGTTCGTTAACACTCAAGAGGTCACATTTTTGCCTCAATCATCATCAAACTTTGTCAGGATGCTTATCTAGGTAATAGCTCAAATGAGTTCGAACATGGGTCATCTCAGATGAAAAACTGGGTCACAGGAGCTAAAAATAGAAAAACATTGTTAACACTAGAGCGGTCACATTTTTGCCTCGATCATCATCAAACTTGGTCAGGGTGCTTATCTTGGTAATAGCTTGAATGAGTTCGAACATGGGTCATCTCAGATGAAAAACTGGGTCACAGGAGCTAAAAAAAGAAAAACCTTGTTAACACTCTAGTGGTCACATTTTTGCCTCGATCATCATCAAACTTGGTCAGGATGCTTATCTTGGTAATAGCTTGAATGAGTTCGAACATGGGTCATCTCAGATGAAAAACTGGGTCACAGGAGCTAAAAATAGAAAAACCTTGTTAACACTCTAGCGGTCAATTTATGCATCAATCATCATCAAACTTGGTCAGGATGCTTATCTAGGTAATAGCTTGGATGAGTTCGAACATGGGTCATCTCTGATGAAAAACTAGGTCACAGGAGCTAAAAATAGAAAAACCTTGTTAACACTCTAGTGGTCACATTTTTGACTCAATCATCATCAAACTTGGTCAGGATGCTTGTCTAGGTAATAGCTCGGATGAGTTCGAACATGGGTCATCTCGGATGAAAAACTAGGTCACAGGAGCTAAAAATAGAAAAACCTTGTTAACACTCTAGTGGTCACATTTTTGACTCAATTGTCATCAAACTTGGTCAGGATGCTTGTCTAGGTAATTGCTCGGATGAGTTCGAACATGGGTCATCTCGGATGAAAAACTAGGTCACAGGAGCTAAAAATAGAAAAATCTTGTTAACACTCTAGTGGCTACTGTTTTGATCCAAATATCCTGGAAATTGGTCCGAAAGTTTGTTTTGATGATTTCTAGGTCAAGTTCGAATATTGTTGACGTGAGGTCAAAAACTAGGTCAAACGGCCCAAATATAGGAAAACCTTGTTAACACACTAGTGGTCACATTTTTGCCTCCATTATCATCAGGTCAGGATGCCCGTCTAGATAATTGCTCGGATGAGTCTGAACATGGGTCATCCCGGATGAAAAACTAGGTCACAGGAGCTATAAATAGAAAAATCTTGTTAACACTCTAGTGGCTACTGTTTTGATCCAAGTATCCTGGAAATTGGTCTGAAAGTTTGTTTTGATGATTTCTAGGTCAAGTTCGAATATGGGTCACCTGGGGTTAAAAACTAGGTCACACTGCTCAAATATGGATAATCCTTGTTAACACTCTAGTGGTCACATTTTTGACTCACCTGTCATGAAACTTGGTCAGAATGCTTGTCTAGGTAATTGTTCGGATGAGTTTGATGGGTCAGGTGAGCGATCTAGGGCCATCTTGGCCCTCTTGTTTAAATTATTTTGGCAAAATACGTGTTTCACTGAACTTTTTCAATTATTGGCACTTTGTTTGATACTTTTCACCTGTAGAAAGTAGCACTGAATTTGTATTTGTCCCATGCCTTTTCGAAGAAAAGATGGGGAATATAGAAATAGGCTCTGTCTGTCTGACCGTTCGTCACATTTTCGTGTCTGGTCCATAACTATGTCGTTTATCAAAGAAATTTTAAGTAACTTGGCACAAATGTTTGCTGTAATAAGAGTATTAAGACGATGTGTCATGCGCAACAAACAGGACCTTACCTCCAAGGTCAAGGTCACACTTGGTGATTAAAAGTCAACATTGTCTATTTGAGGGTATATGTCCTGTCCGGTCCATAACTTTCTTATCCATGAAGGGATTTTAAGAATACAAAACAAATGTTAACAATGATAAGATGAAATGTCATGCGCAACACCTAGACCCATACCTTAAAGGTCAAGGTCACACTTGGAGGTCAAAGCCTAAAGTAGTCTGTTACAGGGTATGATGCCAATTCAGGCCCATGCAAAATTAATGTCATTAGTGAATTGCCCACATACCTTGATGGATGAGTGGACACAAAATAGGCCCTGTAACAGACTTTATCCTGTATTAATTTTATATTTGTCACATTTTGTGGCATGAAATAGTGATAACAAGTATACAAATGTATTTCTGTTGACACAAACACAAGAGTTATTTCAATGAATTAATTGTTACTTGCATGTGCAGATCAAGCATTGACCAAAATTTTGCATTGAAAGTCCAGATCCAAATCAAATTAAAATAACACAATTTCGTGCTTCATGTAAAACTTGCTTAGGCTGGGAACATTGGTAACTCTGATACAAATTCTTGTTACTTTTCATAAAAGTAGCATAATGTTAACAAAATAGTCTTCAATACAAAAAAAAATCAAATCACTTCCAAAAGGCAACAGAAGCAAAAGGTGTATAGGTACAGTGATTTTCCTACTTATATAACAGACTCCGAAAAAGGCCTCTTCCCAATTGAAATTTTCTTTAAAATCATGCAGTTTTCCCAAAAATCTGAACTTAAACCAGCTTTTTCACTTCCCAAAACAACAATTTAAGCGATCATTTTTCCCAAAATCAAGAAGCTTAGGCCTCTTCCCAATTAATTGAGAAAAATCACTGAGGTAACTTTTGGGATCTGCAACATAAGACCAAATACAAAAAAGCTTTTTGGAAATAAAAAATGGGCCTTTAACTTAAGTAAAGATTTTGGTATTGAAATTCTTTGAAAGTTTGAATAGACTGTTCCGAAGTCATAGCTGGGCAAATCCATTATAAAAATTCAGCAGGAGAAAAGTTACAGTAATCATCTCTGGTATGTCCATGTGTATAATAAGTTTACTAATTGAACATTGAATATATTCACCTGTTGCTGAAATTCTAATTCTTTTATTAAGTTGCGAATTTTTAGATGATAGACAATACCACTGCTTCACTGTCTTGAATAACATACTTTGTTAATCAGAGATTGTTGAACTATCTGACCAAAGAATGTGCGTAGTTGCGCCTTGAGTTACTTTTTGTATCATAATAATTTAAGTTTTAAAGAACTTACATTTAATATTTCATTCTTCGTGAGACATTTGTGTGTGTGTGTGTGTGTGTAATTATTACATGGAATATTTATTATTAGATAGATCATTTCAGTTAATTCTCTTTAACACATTTAACAATGCTGATATTAATCTTGATATCAGAGCAATGATAGGAAACGACAAATCTTTTTTGGACATCATTAAAAAAACATGGCTTGCTGTGATTGGGCAGTTTTTCAGCACTTTACAATGTAATCATAACTTTCACATGAGGGGACATAATCTCATTATTTTTTTATATGCCCGAAAGGCCATATTATGTTATATCCACTGGCATCCATCTGTCTGTCCGTCCGTTAACAATTTGGTTTCCGTAGCATAACTTACGTTCCATTTGGCCCACAATATTCAAACTTAGTAGGATGTTTGTCCATATTGGGTAGAAGACCCCTAATGATTTTAAGATCAAAAGGTCAAAGTAACTTTTACCTTAATACTGAAAACATTTTCTAGAGCATAACTTAAGTTCCCTGTGGCCCACAATATTCAAACTTCATAGGATGATTGTGCATATTGGGTAGAAGACTGCTATAGATTTTGAGGTCTCAAGGTCAAAGGTCAAGGTGACTATTACCTTAAGACTGAAAACAGTTTCTGGAGCAGAACTCAAGTTCCATTTTCCCCACAATATTTAAACTTCTTAGGATGATTGTCCATATTGGGTAGAAGACCCCTATTGATTTTGGGGTCACAAGGTCAACGGTCAAGGTTACTATAACCTTAAAACTGAAAACAGTTTCTGCTCAATAACTTAAGTATTAATCAACCTACAGCTGTAAAATTTTATAGGATGAGCACCTAATTCGCATGCTTCATCCTTAATAAAAAAACACTTTCGGGCATATAATGCTCCGTCTAGCAGTGCCCTTGCTGTTTTTGTGATTTTGAAAACATTTTATGTAGTTAAGCATTTTTAAACCATTAGTGCTTTTTACATTGTGCCTTAATTATCCTTATAAAGTTATATCTGAATAGTTTTATCTTTAACCCTTCACCTGTTGAATTTCTAAAAATTAAATTTACACACCAGCTGGGCATATCCACAGGTGCTAGTTGCATTGATTTGACCTAAAATGTGTTTGACCTTGTTATTTATTCAATAAATATCAATATATTAAAGAAAAAAAAATTAAAAACATTTTTTTTTCACTGTTATATTATTATTGTCAATAATAATATAACAGTGAAAAAAAATTGTAATTTTTTTTTTAATATATTGATATTTTATTGAATAAATAACAAGGTCAAACACATTTTAGGTCAAATCAATGCAACTAGCACCTGTGGGCATATCATGATGAAAATTTAAAGTAAATCAGCCAACATTATAGAGTCTGGTCAGACTCTGTGAAGAAATACAGACTGGCCTGGCTGTATACTGGTGGCAAAGAGACATTTAGTTCCAGCAGGTTAAGGAGCTTAAAAATAAAACATTTTGCCTCATAGCAATTTAGCTTTTAAATGGTTAACCTTGTGTATTATAATTATTAATCCTTAGTTAAATAAGGAGAATCCATGAAGACATTACAGCTAGGGTATCATAGTTTGATAAAAAGAAGGGTTTAAATCTGTATAATTTTATCATAATCTGTATAATCTTTTTATTAATAAATTATATAGGTAGTGAAAAGTAATAAATCTCTGTGAGTGAAATTATCTCTCTGAGAGAAACTCATTTCTTTATTATTAAAACTCATTTGTTTTGTTTAATTCAAGCATTTTAATGTAAAAATCATATAAGGTATTTGATTGAGGCATCATGATTATTTCCTATTTATATACAAAAACATCTGAAGTTACTCACTAGATATTATGATATATATGTGTATGAGTTAACAGTGAAGTTTTTTTTTAAACATGCTTTAATGTTGCAATATTCTGATTTTGTAGTGCAATTGCACTCATCTTAATGTTTTCAGTTTGTTTATGATTATCAACATACTATAACTAAATAATTTAGCTTATTTATAGACAACAAATGTACCTATAGAATCTTAACTTACTTATATATAGACAGACCACTCTATCTTATATACTGTGCTCCTCTTAGTTCACGGTACTTAACACTTTAAAACAGTAAAGAACACAAACAATAAACTTACACTACAAAAATTGTCATAAACTGTATCATTTAGTCATTTTCCTGCTATATGACACAAGGAAACAACAATATATTCAATCAAAATTAGTTTTAATTTGTCATATGTAAACCGTGTGTCGGCCATTTTGAAAACAGTATGTCATCATTTACCTCGCGGTAATGGTGTTTTATTTCAGTTTTTTCATGTTTCAGTTAAAATTTTGCATAATTTTAAATATTAAAAGTATCTTTACATTGTGACTCAAATTTTATTTTTTTAAACAAACAAGAACATTTAGAAAATGATGATTGTTTCAGACGTATGCACAAATTTAATGGACTATTGTTGTTTTTTGCAGAAGTTTGTAAAATGTTGTTCAGTTTTACGTAAAAATCTATAGATTTAAATTATTTTGCACAAAAACTTTGTCGTTAAGGTGTTTGAATAAAATATGTCAATTCTGACCAATTATGTCAATGGTCACATGAAAATATGCCATTTCCGTGAGATAAGTGATGACGCAAAATTAGTGATGTTGAGTATAATATATATCTTACATATTATCTATTGAGAAAAATGATTGCTAATTTAGACAAATTAGTTACATGTATGATCTAAGAATATTTTGGTTTCTTCTAAATGTTTTGTTTACCTACTCTTTAACATTTTCCAGTTTGCACTTTTAGAAACAGAAATGTTAGTTTGTCTGTTTGTCCTTTCATTTGCACATGAGGCATTTGGTCCTTAATATAGCACATGAGGCCATAGGCACATGAGGCATTTGGTCCTTAATATTTGTGGTAAAAGATGTATTGCTTTATTTGTAAATTTCATACTTTTGACTTATAATGCAAATTTTATTATTTAGTTATATTAATAGCCCTATTGTCAACTGAAAGTGTGTGCCATTATTTTTGCTCACCTACTTATTGCATTACTATTTTTTAATATCATTTCAGTACACACAAAAGAAAGCTAAAGAGTTACACATTGTTGGTTGGGTTATGAATACACATCGTGGTACAGTTCTTGGACAACTGCAGGGTTCTACAGAGGCTGTTAAATCTATGTAAGTTGTTTTATTTACCACTTCTTCTGTTTTCTTGTTTTTTGATGCCATAATTAATGAATAATTTGAAGAAGCAAATCTTCACAGGTTTTGTAACTGTTATTGATTTTGAAGTTAATATTGGCCATAAATGATAATTTTATAAAGTTTTAAATAACAACAATAAATAATACGAGAGGAACAGGTGACAAAGTCAGAGCAAGTTTAAATTTTTATTTAAAACCTACTAGTTTCGGGTATTCCCTACCCTTTTTCAAAGTTTTAAATAATTCTTGAAGAAGCTGTCTTTGTTTGAAATTTAATGATTACATAAGACTTTACTTATGTTTTGGCATGATTTGTAAGTAATCTAGTTGTTGTGTTTCTAAAAAATTAATTGTCAACAACAAACCCAAAGACTTTATCTAGTGTGAGTAGAGTATAGAATAGTGAAAGTTTTGGTATGTTGAGATAGATATGAGCCACGTCATGACAAAACCAACATAATGGGTTTGCGACCAGCATGGATCCAGACCAGCCGCATCCGCGCAGTCTGATCAGGATCCATGCTGTTTGCTATCAGTTTCTCTACTTTTAAAAGGGTTGGTAAGCGGACAGCATGGATCCTGATCAGACTGCGCAGGCTGGTCTGGATCCATGCTAGTCGCAAACACACTCTGTTGGTTTTGTCATGACGCGGCTTTTATGTTGATGGTGTTTTATATTTCAGGAAACATTGGTTATCTAAAAAGGGAAGCCGGCAATCGAAAATAGACAAGGCAGAATTTAGAGATGAAAGAACTATAGATTCAACTACTTACAAAAGTTTTACTATAAAACGTTAAATAACCTTGTCTCTTATACTCCAGGATTTTGTGATAAATCATTTAAACTTGTGTTGTTAACTTAGTTAACTTTTAAATTAGTTTGCATTGTTTTTGGTTAGAAAAGTCAGACTATAAGACAACAAAGATGTTGTCTCTGTTGTTGTGTACATTAAATGAGTTGGCGTTACCCACATTGATCCTTGTATGTGTATGCTTCATCTACGTCAAATTCGCATCGGTTAATAGGTTGATACGTAGCGGTCCAAAACAGAATATATTGTTTGTAACGGCTCATCCAGATGATGAGTGTATGTTTTTTGCTCCAACGATTCTGTCTACACTCAAAGAAGGGCATAGCGTATATCTAGTATGTCTGTCTAAGGGTGATTACGACAACCAAGGCGATGTACGGAAAAAGGAACTCATAGCAAGTTGTTCACGACTAGGAGTGATGCCAAATCATGTTACCATAGTTGATGACGAGCGATTTAAGGACGGTCCAGAAAATGAGTGGGATATTGACGGTCTTGTTGACCGGATTGTGTCCGTTATTAAAAGAATAAATGCTGATAGTGTTATAACGTTTGATAGCTCTGGTGTTAGCGGACATGCCAATCATATAGCTTTATCAAAGGCAGTTGTGAAAATTCACATGAGCAAAGAACTGAACACTGTGTCATTTTTTATGCTACATAGCTCAAATATTGTTAGGAAATATATGTCATTTCTAGATATACCGGTCAGCAGTATATTTAATTTGACAACATTTGTAAGTTTACCCAGTGAGATAGTCAAGTCATGGAGGGCGATGTCGGCACATCAAAGTCAGATGGTGTGGTTTAGAAAACTCTATATCGTATTCTCACGTTACATGTATGTAAATACTCTAACAGAGTTGACATAAAAATGGCAGCGATACTTGAGGAATAGAATGAAAAATACAGAGAGCATTATGTTGAAAACTTTATATGTTATCGTAAAAGGAATGAAGATGATTGTATAAATGTTTAAATGTTCTAATTTTATTATTTGATTTCTATATTGATTATTCACCTGATGTGCTGATATGAAATATGATTGATTGTAAACTGCATTAAATTTATAAAATGAATCTACCCTGATTAAAATTTGGAATTGATAAATAAGAATAAAGGAGATTTCAGTTTCAAAATAGAAAGCATGTCAACATTAACACCAGTTCTGTCTGTTGACACCAGCTCAGTCTGTCTATATAATGTGGCTGCAGTGGCTGAAAACTTGTGGTATAAACAAGTAATTATCATTATCAGTTGGTACATGTATGTGTTTTCTTAAAGGCTTCTGAATAATCAACTTGAAATGGTTTCAGATTTTAAAAAGTCTTTGATTAGTTTCTGAGGGAGGCGAGTGTTGTGTTAAGTGCACACTTACCTTTTTCTGTATACCTCTTGACTTCTTGACAACTGTGTCACGTTGTTAATTCTTCCACACATTGGTCAATAGCGTTTTGTTAAGTTGGTGGTTGAAAGTTTGAATCCCATGTTGGACAGGATTTTTTCGCATGCATGATTTAGCGCCTTTGTTTTACAAATTTGAAATGTTAATAAGAATAAGTAAACTGATATATAAAGTTCAGTGAGGAAAGTTACTTTGTATATTTGGCAATATTTTTACTCAGGACCATCACCATGTTGTCATTAAATTATTCCAACTTATACTATATTCAAGGTTTTGTTTCTTGTAAAAAATAAAATTGTTTTAATAAAGTTTTGTAATACATGTATATAACTCATTTTGGTCACATGATATTTATTTCTTATATTATTGGGATAACAGTATACATGTACATGTAAAGTGAATACTGAGTAAAAACCAACATTTTGCTCTTCATGTAAGCAGTGTTTGAATAATTTTGCCTGCAGATGCAATGTTCTATAAATGCCCTAAAACCGAAGCAGAAAATAACAGCAATGTGATGAACAAATGTATTTGTCAATTAATTAAAACTGCCTGTATGTCCGTGCTAATTTTTATGAAAATTTAGAAAATGTCCTAAACAAATGCAATTTTACTATTATGTAGTGATCAAAGTCAAAGCTAAGTCATCAACTGTATACAAATATTACCTATGTGTGTTAAAGCAGCTGGCCTCCAGATTCATGTTAATTTTCATGAAAATTTTGGAAATGTGTTTAAAAGCAAAATATTGTGAGATGAACAAATAGATCAATTTACATATTGCAATCAACACCTACAATCCAAGAAAATTACCAAAATGTGGTCAACATATGCAAAAACAGCCTTTACTGTGTTAATAACGCAGTAGAAATATGGTGATAAGATACTGTAAAATCAGTCTGCATATAACATGTAAAATATCACTTGGATCTTAAAATTTTTTAACCTTTCTTAAAAATTTTAGTACATTTTTCTCTCAATATTGATTTTCTTGAAATACTTTGGCTCATCTGAAGGCGTGCAGCTGTAACAATTGTATAAAATTTGGGTAAAAAGCTCTAATTACATGTATGTTGCATACAGGGTAGAAATTGTGACTTCAGTTCAGTATATATATGTCATATGTATTATAAATATTCATATTTTTCTAAAATTTTCTAATGTTTGATGTTTTTGTTTGTTTTTTTAACATTTGTTCATTGATAAGTAAAGTAAAACTGACCATTTGACTGTTGTGATAATAATGATGAGTGGTATATAGATTGCTGGGTGTCATTAATTCAACCTTGTCATACAGACAACATCATGTCTGTTTATGTCAGATGTCTGGTAAGAAAGTACACAATCATATAGTGTATACATCAAAGTGAATTTTATGTATCTGCCAAATTTCTTCTAAATGAGAGTTTACTAGATAATTAAAAAATATAGTGTATCAAACAAGCACTGTGAAATTGTTAAAGGTAAGAAATCGGAACCACCCTAGGGATGATGTGTTTATAATAGAAATCATTAGTAACTGCTGAATTTATATAACGAATTTGTTCTACTTTGAATTATTGTAAAGTTAATGGATTTCAGAATCAAAATTAACTCGGACAGCAGATGGTGTACAAATACAAAATGTGTCCAGAGACAAATCATTACTGCCCAAAGTGCTACAAGAGAGATACATTTATATAAATTAAAGTTTGTTGTTAATTTTACATTCCTGGATGTTCAGTCAGAAAAATGGTTGTGGGTTTTCTTGTTGTCTTGTTCATGTTTTTTTTTGTCATTCATATTTGATAATTGATGCAACTGATATTCTAGGTTTTGACAATTATTCAATCCTAATAAATTTTCAAACAAATAAAATATTTGTTTTTTTTTTTTATTTATATGACATATTACCAGTGAATTGTATCAACTATTTCTATAGAATTGACACAGTTACATCTGAGAGTTTATATGAATATAAACATGTTTGTACATTTCTTAGTTTATTCAAGTCTCATTCATATACATGTATAATATGTATAAGCAAAATTTAAAATTTACTTTTTAGCTTGACTATACAAAGTATATGGCGAGCTGTCCTACTCGCCCCGGCGTCCGTGTCCATGCAGATTAAAGTTTTAGTGCAGTTAAATGTTTTTCACTATAACTTTTTCATTTCTTAAGGTATCAACTTCAAATATATGTTCCTTATCATCAACCACGTCTTATGTGACAAGGTTCATAACTCTAGCACCAATATTTTCAGATTTATCTCCCCTTGAACTTAGAATTTTCCTTAAAAATACTATTTTTTACTGTTACTTCTATTTCTTAAGGCTAAATTCATACTTGAAATATATGTTTCTTATCATTAACCACATCTTGTGTGACAAGGTTCATAACTCTAGCACCAATATTGAAATAATTATCTCCCCATAAACATAGATGTTTTTACTTGAAAAATGTTTTTATGCCACCGCAGCATCTGCGATGCGGTGGCATATAGCGATTCACGTGTGTGTTTGTGTGTGTGTTATATAGATTATATAGTGGACTTAAAAAATCTTCTTGTGAAAAACCACTAGTCCAATTTCAACCAAACTTGGCAGGATTGTTCCTTGGGTGAAGGGCTTCCTAAGTTGTTCAAAGAATTTCATTCCATGCAGAAATCTGGTTGCCATGGCAACCAAAAGGAATTATAAGAATAAATTAAAAAAATCTTGTAAAGACCCAAAAGGCCTAGTGCTTAGATATTTTGCATGAGGCATTGTCTGGTAGACCTCTAACAAGATTGTTCAAATTAAAGCCCTGGGGTCAAAATTGGCCCCGCCCCGGGGGTCATTGATTTTCACTATGTACATATAGTAAAAACTTAAAATACCTTCTTGTAAAAACCCAAAAGGCCTAAAGCTTAGATATTTTGCATAAGGCATCATCTTGTAGACCCTTACCAAGATTGTTCAAATTATAGCCCTTGGGTCAAAATCGGCCGTGCCCCGGGGTCATTGATTTTCGCTATATGTACATATAGTAAAAACTTAAAACACCTTCTTGTTAAGACCCAAAAGGCCTAGAGCTTAGATATTTTGCATAAGGCATCGTCTGGTAGACCTGTACCCAGATTGTTCAAATTATAGCCCTGGGGTCAAAATCGGCCCCGCCCCAGGGGTCATTGGTTTTCCTTTTATGTATATAGTAAAAACTTAAAAAAAAGTTCTTCTAGCAATTGACAAATGCTAGAGGTTAGATATTTTGCATGAAACATTGTGTTGTAAACCTCTAGCAAGATTGTTCAAATTATAGCCCTGGGGTCAAAATTGCCCCCGCCCTGGGGGTCATTGATTTCAATATATACATATAGTAAAAATAAAAAAATGTTATTATCTGAAGGGACAAGGCTTAGAGCTTTAATATTTGTTAAATAATATCATCTAAAGGTACTCTACCAAAGTTGTTCAAATTTTGCCTCTTGTGTCAAAATTAGCCCCGCCCTTGGGAGCCATAGGTTTATCTTATATGTATATAGTTAAAACTTAAAAAATCATCTTCTCTAAATTTACAAAGGATAGAGTTAAGATATTTTGCATGAAACATTGTGTAGTGAACCTCTAGCAAGATTGTTCAAATTATAGCCCTGGGGTCAAAATTGGTTCCGCCCCGGGGGTCATTGATTTTCATTATGTACATATAGTGAAAAAAAAAATTTTGTCTGAAGGTTCAAGACATAGAGCTTTGATGTTTGATATATAATATCATCTATAGGTCCTCTACCAAAGTTGTTCAAATGTCAAAAATTGGCCCTGCCCGGGGGCAGTGATTCTCATTATGTACACGTAGTAAAAACAGAAAATAAAACAAATGTTTTCTGAATGGGAGAATATTTGACTTGAAATGTTGTTTGGTGGACCTGTATCAAGATTGTTATTAAACCCTTAGGTCATAATTATGCCTTGCCCAAGGGGACAGTGACCTACTTTCTTGTCCTTTGATGTACAGCAATGACATTTTGACCATGTGCACAGTTTTAGTTGTAAAATTGACTTTTGACCTAGATTTTGATGTTGTGACCTACTTTCTTGTCCTTTGATGTACAGCTATGAAATTTGAACCATGCGGTGGCATAGCATTTTTCTCAAATGCAATCTTGTTTTTTACTATAACTTCTTTAGTTTTAAAGGTATCTACCTCAAACTTCAAATATTTATTCCTCATAATCAATTACATCTTATGTGACAAGGTTCATAACTCTTTAAGCAATATTTTCGGAATTAAATCTCTTTGAACTTAGGATTTTCTTTAACAAATATAACTTCTTTACTTTTTAAGGTATCTATTTCAAACTTCAAATATATTTATTATCATTACACACATGTTTTCCCTAAAAAGACAACAATTGATGGTGTTGTCTAGAATAAAAGATGGAAAAGTTCATTTAAGATTTTTTAGTGTGGTTTGGTTTTTGGGGAAGATTTGGTTATTTTGTAATGCCCCCCCCCCCAAGGGGCAGCATGTTAATATTGCACCAGTGGTCTGTCTGTGCTTCCCCACTTAAACAACATTCATGTCCTGACTATAACTTTGTCATGCATGGAAGGATTTTTAGATAACCTAGCATAATTATGTCTACCACATCAAGATGATGTGTTGCTTCCAAGACCCATGTCCCTACCTCCAAAATCAAGGCCACATTTATAGTTTGAAGTATTCATTCTCACAAGAAGAGTTTAAAGGCACACACATCCGTGTCTGGACTGTAACTTGATCATGCATTGAATGATTTTAAAATAACTTGGCACAATGTCTACCACATCAATACATGTTGCATCTAAGGCCCATGCCACTTTCTAAAAGTTCAAGGTCACATTAAGAGGTTAAAGGTACACATTTGTGTTTGGACTGTAACTTTGTCATGTATTTAAGGATTTTGAAATAACTTTGCATAAATGTCTACCACAAGACATGACCAAGATGCATGTCCCTACCTCCAAGGTCAAGGTTGTAAGTTTCCTATGAATAGCATTTCATACCACAACAAGCAATTATCATAGTATTGCAAGCAATCCATAAGTCCCCTACCGGTAAGAACCCCATCAACATTCTGAAGGGCCATTGGCCATTCACTTATGTTTCAATTTTTCTCTATTTTAAATAAACTTGTTGGAAAAGTTCTTTAAAAGTGATCACAGGAAACAGTTTTTATGAACAGACAGACAGACGGACTGAAGGACACTCTAAAGTTAATATTTGAAACATCCCTGTTACCAAAATATAACATTTTAAAAGCAAAATTCTTAATGAGGAGATAACTCTTGAATTAAAGATGCAATTTCATAAAAAAAAATTCAGCTCTTTTTGACTTATCACAAATATTGTTATATTTGCCATGTTTTAAGCCTATTTGTTGCCAAGGCAACTGATATTTTTTCAAAATAGGAAGAACAGATAAGACATGCATAATCTCAAGACTGCTATCTACCCATATGTCAAGTTTCATAAAAATATTTCCAGTACTTTTTGAATTATCACTGGATTCAGTTTATGTGTAAAATTTGCCATATTTTCAGTCTATGTGTTGCCATAGCAACCAGAATTTTCAACATAGGAAGAAAAGAAAAAGACGTGCATAATTTCTATACTGCCATCTACCCATATGTCAAGTTTCATAAAAATATTTCCAGTACTTTTTGCGTTATCACTGGATCCAGTTTATGTGTAAAATTTGCCACATTTTCAGCCTATTTGTTGCCATAGCAACCAGAATTTTCAACATAGGAAGAAAAGAAAAAGACGTGCATAATCTCCATACTGCCATCTATCCAAGTTTTATAAAAATATTTTCAGTACTTTTCAAGTTATCGCGGGATCCAGTTTTGTGGACTGACGGACTGACAGACGGACGGACAGACGGACGGAGGGTAAACCTAAAGTCCCCTCCGGTAAACCGGTAGGGGACTAAAAACAATATTTAACAATTAGTTACTTTTATTAACCAGGTTTTCAATTTTGAAAATCCTGGTTATTAGATTGGGGTATGGCGGGCGGATGGGCGGATGGGCGGAAGGGCGGCTGGGCGGATGGGCGGGCGGGCGTCAAACGAAATTGTGTCCGCTCTGTAACTCTTCAACCCTTTGAAGAATTTTGATGAAACTTCAGACAAATGTTTTACCACATCAAGATGACGTGCAGAACGCATGTTCCGCATGGCTGGCTCCAAGGTCAAGGTCACAGTGACATTAACATTGAAAATCCTGTCCGCTCTGTAACTCTTCAACCCTTTGAAGAATTTTTGATGAAACTTCAGACAAATGTTTACCACATCAAGATGACGTGCAGAACGCATGTTCCGCATGGCTGGCTCCAAGGTCAAGGTCACCAGTGACATTGGGCGGATGGCGGCGGGGCGTCAAACGAAATTGTGTGTCCCGCTCTGTAACTCTTCAACCCTTTGAAGAATTTTGATGAAACTTCAGACAAATGTTTACCACATCAAGATGACGTGCAGAACGCATGTTCCGCATGGCTGGCTCCAAGGTCAAGGTCACAGTGACATTAACATTGAAAATCCTGTCCGCTCTGTAAACTCTTCAACCCTTTGAAGAATTTTGATGAAACTTCAGACAAATGTTAACCACATCAAGAATGACGTGCAGAACGCATGTTCCGCATGGCTGGCTCCAAGGTCAAGGTCACATGACATTAACATTGAAAATCCTGTCCGCTCTGTAACTCTTCAACCCTTTGAAGAATTTTGATGAAACTTCAGACAAATGTTTACCACATCAAGATGACGTGCAGAACGCATGTTCCGCATGGCTGGCTCCAAGGTCAAGGTCACAGTGACATTAACATTGAAAATCCTTCTGTGCTGAACTCGTCCTACATTCTCAACGGATTTTGTTCAAACTTTCACAGAAGCTTTGTTATCATCAAGCACCCTGGCACATATTGTCGGGTTTTGTGATTGGATAGTTTTTGACCTAATTATGGCCCTTTGTTTTTTTTCCTATACATAATATTATAGTGAACACTTCTTCAGTGGCAATTCCTCCTACATTATTCATGTTTTACATTGCACATATAGTTACATTGTTTGTTGGCTTGTATTTGTATTTCAAATACAACATATTTATCTACAATGGTGATAATTGAAAACCTGGTTTCATGGCATTGCCATGTTTCTTGTTCTACTTTCTTTTCCTAATACTATCTGCAATACTTACGAAATCTTTTCGGGGCATTCGTTACTTTTGTTGTAAATATGTTGCAAAACATTGTAATGTCAAGGACCGGGGTCTCTGAACATAAGTGGGAGGTCAGTATATTACTGCTTGTTCATTAATGATATCAATTGATTGATAAATGTTATAGTAAAATTAATAGCGCATACAGAATGAACACACTCTTACACAAACTGTAAACTTTTAAGTTTTTATTATTTGCATGTTTTTGTTGTTTTTTTCAATATAATTTATGCAGCAATAACACAATTGTTTTTATATATAAGAAAAAAATGTAAATTGATTGACTAGGTTATTATTCTACTGGAAAATATGTACTGAAAATATCCAACATTCCTGTAAAGTACCAGCTTCATCATCTCAGATTTATTATTGAGGTTTACAACCATGTTTCCTAGTATATCATTAGTAAGTTTAAACAGGAAACTGGTTTGAAGGTGGTAATTAAAAAAACTTTCACAACTCGGCTGAAAATAGTTGATTAAATTACCTGAATGTATCCATTAATACCAATTTATGAGACAAGATATTTAAAAGTACAAGAAATTAATTGTATCATTTTAGTATAACTGGAAACAAATGCCCATCATGAGACACATATGCTATTCTTTGTTCATTAACATCCTTAAATACTTGTCAAAAAAGAATAATACTTTGTTCGGAAATATTTAAACAAAAAACATTGACAAAAAAAAAAATTTTTGGGTTAATTATAAACTGAAAAAAAAGCAAATACCCAAACCAATTTTGTGAAAAAAAATCTACAATAAAACAAAAAAAACAAAAACCCAAATTTTACTAACACAAAAAATCGAAGGGTTTGTTTAAAAAGATAATAAAAAATTGTACTTTTAAAAATTTTACAAGAAAAGATTTATCTATCACAGAAAAAAATACATTACGGGCCCCCTTTTAAATTAAAATTTTTCTTAAAAAAACGTCCCACCATTTAAAAAAAAATAAAGTGAACAATTGGTAACATTTAAAATTTTTATCGAAAAATGCTTTTAAAAACTTTTACGAAAGTTCAAGGAAAATAAACACTTAATATGGACAATAGAGTAAAAACCAGAAAAGTAAAACATTTCTTCCCTTAATTTCATTTATAAAGAGCGAATTTATTGTCAAGGAAAACATATCTTCCTTTGTTAAAGCTTCTAGCTTAATGTTTATATAAAAAAATTAAACATGTTTGGGTCAGCCAGATTTAACAATGTCTAATGATCACAACTCTTGATGATAAATTCAATGATGAAAATGTTGCCTAAAATACTGTCCCTATATCCCAAAAACTGAATAATTTTCATTTAAACATAACATAAGAATCACTTGTCGAATGATCTAAATTTAATTATAGCAATACCATTAGAAAACTTAAGCATTGTATTCATTAAACAAAATGTTTCAGGATTTTATATTGAGTGGGGCTTAGCACCAGTAACTTTATACAGTCAAACCTGTGTTAAAGGCCATTCGTAAATAAAAACTACCCTGACAAACCTTCATTGATAAAAGTACAATAGTGTAATATTCAAATAAAGACCACTTGCCTATAAAGGCCATGTATGGTCTCTCATTTGGATGGCCTTTATTCACAGGTTAGACTATAAGTAACCAATAAATAATATTTTTTGAAAGATTGTAAATCTCTAGTGAGAAAGTCTACATACAAAAGAAAAAAAACCCAAAAAATTCAATTATTTTTTTACACATTTTTTTAAAACGTCCGTACTTTGAAGCAGAAGTTTAATGTGATTAAATTCAAAAATTTTTGAATTTTCTAGAAACACCATCTGACAAAAAACCATTTTAAAATTTTAAAAATTTTTTAAAAAAAAAATCAAATATTTAACTTTAAAATAAACAAAAATTCTATAGAAAAAATTTTTCTTCAACAGAATATAAAGAGTTTATATATAAAAAAGTAATTGTTTAATAATAAATTTTTGAATAATAATAATATATTTTACAGATTAACTTCACATGTGGGGGAAAGAGATGGGAAAATTTGAACAAAAAAAAAGATCTCTAAAGTTTAAAAAAATGCGATAAAAAATGTTTTTAAATATTGCAGCTTGCACAAGTTTAAGGTTTTTGGAATATGACATTAAAATAATATTTACAAAAAATAAGGAAAAACAATAAAAAGGGGGAGCACTTTGGCTTTAAACATCAACTATCATGTCAAAGTCACATAATGCTGCAGCACCTTGTGAAATTTGTAACATTTAATATACCTCTCTGACCTTCATTATTAACATATCACAGTCTTATCATAACACTTTGGTATTTTTCACAACCAATCAATGCCTTAGAATCTTCTAATGTACATGCCAGAGTTAAAACTTCAAATTTCAGAATACCCTATCATTAGATAAACATGTATGAACTTGGACAACACGACTCTCCAACACAGTTCTGTTTCCAAGAGATCATTGAAGAAGATTTGAATGAACTTTTCTAGCCATTTGTTTGTACTTAATTAGACACAAATCACTATGGTTCACACATGCTTTTTAACTCAGGGAAAAAATTATGAAATCTAGATAATCTGGGGTTTTTCAATTTTTATAATGTTTTATGTATAATTTTACTGTCCGAGGTTTTAACCCGTGCATTCTCTGTTGGGGCGTATCATTCCTGGGCCCTTTGGGAAAACACATCCGAAATATAAATTTAAATTTTAAGGTTTTAAACATAAAAAAAATAATGCATTACCCAGAGTTAACATGGAAACAAAGAATTAATTATTTGAATAGAGTTTAAAGCAACTATTTTATCATGCATGACCTATGGTGAAATTACTTTACAATTCATTAAACAGCTGCAATAAAAAGGCTGCGTTTTCTATATGACACTGTGGCAATTTGTTTTCCTATGTGAGCTCTCTCTCCGATACAGAATCTAATCTAGTACCTCTGTCTTCACTGTAGAAATACCATTGCTGTTTTATATATTCTTATATAATTGTAGAAATAGGTAAGGTAAAAGACAAGTTTGGCTCAACAGTAAATGGCTAAAAGTGAAATTTATTTTTTAGTTTGACTTATTAGTAAATACATGTATATTCAAGCATACCTGATTGTGTTCCAAGCACCATTTCATGACCTGAGTAAGTATAACCACCCCAGTACGCCCTACACCAGCACTACAATGTACAACTATAGGAGACTTTTTACCACTGCCTTCTTCTGACTCCGCAAGTCTCTGAACTGATTCTATCTCATCAAGAAAACCTGGCAAGATACAAGAATAAACACGAAAATTAGCAGGTTATAGATACAACAATTTTAACATATAATTCTGATCCCAATTGGCAATATTTTCTCACCTAAAAATAAAATGAAGTAAACTAATTATTACCGTACAAGAAAACTTAACAGTCATAACAGACTCCTAAGTACATAAATATACCTGTACATATTTAGAAATCTCTTCAATGAAGTCATAAATATATTTATTACAATTTGTAACCATGTTTCCAATTTAAATATGCATTATAACAGACTGTTGTTTGAGAAAAAATAAAACATTCACATTTATGAATTTATTTATTTTTCCTCGATAAAATACTATAAAGCTTCATTGAATATTATTTTTTCAGATTCCATTAATAAAAATTAATATTGCAACTGCTAAAATTCTTCATAAAATTTGCCAACATAAAGCTCTGGAAAAAAAAACAACAATATTATAAATTTGTTGAAATTAAAAAAATTCAAGTTATCAATTAGACAAACACAAAGAAAGGGAAATAACTCCAAAGTGGAAGAATGTATTTCCTTTAATGAAAACACTTGTCTGGAACTGTATGTACTGTACATTTGGTGGTGTTTGGTTAACAAACAATTCTAATAGTCCATCCTTTTCAAACTAAGTATAGAAAAGTATCTTTATGGCTTTTGATTGTGACATAACTTTATGTCAAAATACTTACCCTTTTTACAGCCTGACTTACTTTCATAAAAGTTTCTAAATGATTCCTCTTGTAATTAAAATACCCTGGTTATTTTATATGAAAAATGAAATATTTGTCAACATAACATTGTACATGTATAAGATCAATAGTTCAAATGAAATTGAACACATGTTTGACCTTTCAAATTTTTAAGTTGATGCAGTTTTCTTACAGACATCATCATGAAAAAAAAAGCTTCCAGCATTTTCTGCAATCAAAAAATGCATAACCTTAAGAAAGGTAAAAGCAATTAAAAATTGTAGTCTTGTATATTCATGTCTCAAAACTTACAAAATCACCTTTCCCTTGTTCTTTAATTCTTTTATTTAGGTTGTAAATACCTGGATTTCAATCTTAATTTACAGGAATATAAATTACCTGACATAAATGAGCATAACCATCAAAGTATGTCTAATTTATTGTACAGATTAATGCTTTCTTATGTAGCTTATAGTATACAATCTAAGGGAGATAACTATGTCAATTCTAAGTGACAATTTTAAAAATTCAGTAATGCTATTAAAGGGACCAATAAGTCAAGATCATGCCATCATTATGACAAGATGTTGTAAATTATAATAAGGAAACATCTAGCCTACCATTGCACAGGTCGCGGGATACATTTAACGTACCAAGGAATCCATACATGTCGTCAGGACAACCGTGATCGGGCCAGTCCGTGTACTGTAGATGCCAGATTTGTCTCTCCTTCTTGCTCGGTACATGGCGTAGTGATATACGATTAGTAATATAACACAGTGAGTCGTTTGTGAATAACAACTGTACCTCATACTGTCAAAATAAATAAATACATAATTTATAATAATGATCATACTGAGTGCAAATCAAAGTTTTCGGACTATTTTGTTATTATTCTTTACTAGCATTATTCTCTGACACAAAGTAATCAAGAAAATAAAATACTTTTTTTAAGCAGAGGACAAAATATTCTTACATTTACAAATACAGTATTATGATTACAGATTTTAAACTAATATTTTTTTGGGGGGAAAAGAAACCCAAAGATTCTTATTAAATCACTGAAAGGCATCATTTCCTTCTGTGAAAATTGTTGTATTTTACATTAGTTTTGCATTAGATATGTTAGATTATGATACAATGTATATATGACACTTACATCTCCAAAGATCAGCTTATGTTCGTGTCCTGGATCCTGTGGCCAATACGGATAACATTTTGGTCTGCCCAGCTCCTGTGAAATATTGTAAACAATCCAATATATAATCAGTTCAATGAAAACAAACACTTTTTTTAGGCTTTCGATGTTTAGAATTCTTCAGAATTTTTTTTTTCATACAAATTGATGAATACTCAGTGACTCGAATGCAAATGAAATGACATAGGAAAATACTGACTTACGTCCAGAAACAGTATTAAACAATAAGCTGAAGGGTATTTTCCTCTCAATAATTTGATTTCAGTTAATGTGTTTCTATTTTTATTGAGAAATTCCAAAATAATAAGTTGTTGAGAACAACACATCTGGTATCATATTAATGTCACAAAAAATTCATCTATCTCTTTATAAGCCACATTACCAACAGACCTATGAGACTAGAATAGTGGAAAATTTCCATAAACAATAAACATACCATTAAGGCTGTAAGCATGGCAATGACCTCTACTTCCTGCTCCCAAACCATCTGCCAGAAATCTACCGGAGTGTTGTCCATGGGGGCCTGGGTTGCTATATACCACCAGAGTCTGTGTCCTACAGTCAACTGTAAATAATATAGATTATATTTCACTGATAAATATTTGAAATTCCATTGCTGATCATAACTAAATGTATATATAAGAACTATTATAGTTAAAGCAACTATATAACTCAATAGTGTCAATATATACACACTTATTTACATATATATTGATTTCTGAAAACATTTACTGGCAGACTTTAAAGTTAGAATAACGTAGGTAAGGTTGTTATCCCACTTTATTGGGATAGTTTCATATAACAAACATTTATATGCAGTTCTGTGTAATATCAAATATTTAAGACAAACCTTTATATGTGAGGCATTAATGTATCCAGAAGAGTTATCTTTCCTTGGATTAAGTTTGACTCTTGTACCATCATATGGTAATACATCACGAAACCTGTTTTTCAGGTTATTCTCTGGTAACCTAGCAACATTACATTCATACTCCATGATTCGTTTAGGTGTTTCTTCAAACTCTTTAAATACTAGATTCTCTGATAACTTTTTCTCCAGAACTTTTCTCTGCAAGAATAAAAGACAATATATCAATTGATCATACAATGCATGGCTTAGTGACTAAGGTGTCTTCCTCTAAATCCAGGTATCATATGTTCAATTCCAACAGGGATCACGACCATATGACATCAGTATTGGTTCTAGAAGAACAGACTTGAAGGAGGTACAAAAAGCTTAAAGCTTTCATTAACATTGTGAAAGCTGTAAATACTTTTCTTTTACGATTTACCTGAATAAATCATCACTATAGTATAACAAAATAATTATATAATATACATGTACACAATGTCATTTAAATCACAATTTAAACCTTGTGTAAAACTGCTGAAATTGTGGTTTACAAAATAAACAACTTACTCGTTCATCTTTAGGTGCCCTTGTTTCATCATTCATCAATGCCAGTACCATAGGCCTAGACATGGTCAATCCATTCATAGCTGCTAGCTTCAGTGGACCAACAGGAGATGCTGGTGTATCACCCTATATATGATAGATAAAAATATGATAGATAAAAATATGTGTATTAGTACAATTACCAGGCTTTGAATTTCATGTCTTGAAAAAAATATTTGAAGAAAAATCGTATCATGTATCTTTATAATTAAATGTTTTATACTTTAGAGAAATTGTAGTCTGCACTTCATATGTACATGTTTTCTATAAAAGACAAAAATCTCTGAGTTACTTGACCTCAGCACAAAACATGTGTTTTGAATTTTAGAAGCTCCAGAATTTTGAAGTTACTGTATTATATAACCGGTAGCAGACCTATAAATGATTATGCATATTATTTCCTTGATCAATAATAACTGGCTATATTAATCATGTACTGTTTCACTGGATCTGATAACACACATGTAATCTAGTCTCATCTATCAAATATGGTAATCCTTATCACATACAATATTATAGTACTAACAAATTAACAAAATAAGTACTGACCTGATCAGAATCAGAATCCTCGTAATCGACAAGCTTTTCTTGTGAGCTGACAAGTCTTTCATGTTCACTGATGGTTGACGGTACTTCAGGTTCACTGTGTTTTAATTTATCTAACAACTGCTGTCTCTCAGCACTACTATCTAATGACACAGCTTTCTCATGTATCACTTTTACTTTATTGTTTGTTTTGTTTGCATCACTTTGACTTCTCATTACCTCACGTCCCGATGTGTTCTCAGATCCATTCTCAATAATTAGGCCACTACTTTCTGTTACTTTGCTTAATACGTTCTTTACATTCTCCTTTACAGGATCTTTTTGTTCTTCCATGTTTTCGTTGCTAGGAGATTTATTTACAGATCTATTTGTTTCTAAGATATGTTCATCAATGCTATTTTTCTCTTTGACTCGCAAGCTTCTGTTGATATGATTAAGTCTTTTAGAATTTTCTCTTAAAACACCTGGAGTAAACGAACCTGATCTTGCTATCATCATTCGCCTAAAACTTTCCCGATTTGTTGCTACCTCCTTTGAAGTTGAAGGAGGCGGGGCCTTATTAGGTGCAACAAATCGGACTGTAATTTTAGACTTACTACTCTGCCGCTGTGGAATGGCACGGACGAATGGTTCGTCAGGTTCACTATCCGTTTCCTTCACATGAAACGTGGAATTAGAATGATCACTAGATGCATCGTCTATTTCTAAAGAATGATGTTGAACTTCTGCAAGACCAGTCTCTGTCTCTACAGTAGTTTCAGATATTTGCACAACTTCTGGAATAGTGTCAGTGAGATTATCTATGCTTACCTCCAAGTTTGAACGACTACTTAAAGCAGATTCACCTAACGTTCTTCTAGACAACAAGTCTGGACTATCGCTTGGAAGTCTGAAGTGTGTTTGTATGGCGAGATCGGGGGTAGAATTACTTGCCCGCGGGTAAGGTGGTGGGGGTTTATACTGATACACATATTGTTCATTCACATTTAGGAACTCATTTGTAGAATATTGTTGTGGAAGTCCTTGCGTATTAAGTTCAGGAGAACTATAAGTTGGCTGCATCACTAGGTTAGTCTGCCTTTCATTCATTCTATACTGCATAAAATTTCCAGTGGTCTGATCCTGAAACACGTTGGTATACATTGTCATTGGATAGTTCCTCACAGGACCTCCCATCTGATAAGGACCCTCGGGATTATACGATACGTGAGGGTTACTGATCTCAGGCTGACTAAATGCAAGCCCGTCCTCAGACTGTGCATAAATATGAGTGTTTGCGATATTCTGATTTAAGTCATGAATTTGTTGGTTGCTATGATGCATCTGATGGTTGCTATGCTGTATATGCTGGTTACTATGATTTATATGTTGGTTACTATGAACATGATGATGTTGTTGTTGTTGTTGTGGTTGTTGAGTCATCTGTGATTGAGTCATTTTTTGTTTCATTACTGTCGCATAATCAGGGGCATGCCGGTATTCTGGTAGGGCAGCTTTTCGGCTAGCAAAGTTTGGATCTTCTGTTGGGTCGGGTGAGTTTTGCACTCCCATGTGATGTTGTTGTTGTTGCTGCTGCTGATGATAATTTGACATGTGCGATGATGCGGAAGAAGGTCGTCGATCCTGGTGAGGATCTGTAGAGAACTGTGCTGTAGTGAGATCCTGGGCGGAGATATTCAGACTCTGCTGGGATCTGTTATAATAATCATCCGTAGTTACAGATGCTGATCGTGAATCTGAAACAAATAGCTTTAAGAATTTATTTTGTATTCAAGTGATACATCAGCACAAGAAAATTCAGCATGATTTGCCACTTCTTTGCATGTTGGAATACTGGATAAAACATCATAATTGGCTGAATTTACACATGTTATTAACAGTAAAACTTTTATTTAAACATAAAAAAAATGTTCTCATAACTTAAAATGAGAACATGGTTTCTTTGTTATGTTAGAGCACTAACATGACAGTGATTGTTATAGTTTAAACACAGACAGTATTTATTCTATAAGATATTTACCTGGCTCATATTTCTGTTCGCCATATTTCAATGATGTTAAAGATGTCTGTGATTGTGCCTGTAACACAGTAACAATTATAACTCAATTTCTACTACTATACAAGTAACATTATTTGGTTGTGTAGCACTAGTCTAGAACCTAATTTCTTATTCACTGTGAATAAGATATACATGTAATAGTTTCTGATCTAAAATCACTTAACCCTCACAGTAGGGGATCTGGATCATGCCATGGTAACTGGATTACTTCATGTGAAGATGTTAACCAGCTAATATATGGAAAGTGCTACTAATGAATGCAATAATGGATGTTGGAACGTCTTTTAGTTTTCCACTACCAATAAAGCTGGGAAATCTCTTTATGGCATAAAACGGAACCAACCTTTAAATATTTGCTATTTAAATCACTTAAATTAGAACAGTTAAAGGAAGATAACTCCATTAATACAACAAGGTAGTTACCATTAAATGCATGTAAGGAGCATGTAGAACATAATACATCTACCGGTATAACTTACCAACTGTTGTACTGGGACATCTGACTGTGGCATCACACTCTGCTGAATATCTCTGTAACAATACAAACATTTAACTATATTTTATATCTATTATAATTTGATTGGACAGGATAAAATAGTATCATAATTTGTCTCAAAAAATAACAAAATTTGCTTCAAGTACAGTACAGGTAATAGTGATGTTCCGATTGTCGCAAATCGCTGATAATCAGTTACTGTTATGTAAAGCGACAATAATCGATTCACAAAAAATTGTTCCGCAACGTCGTCAAAAATGTTTAAAGTATCAAAACGAATTAATTCTGACGGTAATTTTCTTTTAGGAACACCTCGCCGATCGCAAAAAAAATTTATCTCAGAGACAATTTGGAGTTGAATAGGATCAATACGTGATGTAAACAATAGAAATATAATGTGATGTGAATGTTATTATTTGACATCCATTGGAAAATTAAATCTATTTCGTAAAATAATAACTTAATAGGGTTAAAACTGTGTTGAAAAGTGCTAAATGAAGTTCATGTTACTGAATATAATCAAGTGCCTTGGGGAAAAAATGCTTCTTCCCTATTTATTTTTAACGCGACTTTAATCGGAAAGTTATCGATTATGTCCCATCCGATTGAACCGATGATCGATTGGGACAAATTTCATCCCATTTCCATCACTAACAGGTAACATGCATCATCAATCAAACATTAAAATAAACAAACTCTTACTTTCTAATCAGCCATTTATCATTCAACTTTCATAATGAAATAGTAACCCTATAAAGCTCTTCCCCACTATCCTCGTCAAAAATCTGTTTAACTTTTTCTACTACTGTTTTGTATTACTATTTAAACCATTGCATGTCACTCACGTTCAATAAATTGTGACCAACGTTTTCAAAATCCAACAAAAGCATTCAGAATTTGCTAATGCAACTAAAACATTTATTATCATTTTGTATATTATGAAAACACTTTATTACTTATCAAATGCAGTTGACAAAAAACAAAATGCATCTATCTATAAAAATAATCCCTGGGAATGTTCCAGATCAGATTCAACTTGATAAAATAATTACTAGTATAAATCCAGGAAGAACTTTATATTATATAGCTGAAACCTTGAATAAAACATAGAAATATTACAATTTCAAGTATGTAACTGTATTGGAAGCTAGAACATATATGTTTGAAAATCCTTCATTCCTTACTAACTTATATATGTGAAGAGGAAATTATAATTAACATGTATGATAGGTGTTAATTTATATTAAACCTTATCATTAAGATAATCATCAATTAAACATCAATTAGATATAAATGACAGGTCAATGATAGTGTCAGCACTTAATTATGTATAATCACATCTAGCAATATGTACACACCTCATTAATTATCTTATTTACCATTTTAATTTACTGACAACCAGTAAAATAAAACAGAACAGTAAAATAAAATAAAAAAGAAATTTGCAATTTTGAGATCTTCTTTTATAAGTTTTTCTCCACTCAAGCTAACACATGTATAATTTAATTTTCAAATATGTCAAGAGTAGTTCACATGTTTGTGATAGTAAATATTTCTTTACATCTATACACTCTACTTTATCTTCATGGATATATTCAGACTCCGAGCTTAATGGAAATAAAATATGTAGGTTAATATATAAAAATTGTTTTTTTACAAAAAAGTAGATAATGAAACATCTTTTTTGCACTGTATGAGGAATTTTACAGAAATAATCTAGTATTGTTATAATGTCACCAGGTAATGAAAAATAAAACATATTAGTTTACTTATTAAGGGGAATAAATATGAATATAGTTTTATAGAATGCCATTTATGAAATTTAATTTTTTACCCAAGTTTTCTAATGAAAATATAGTCAAAATATAGTCATTTTTAAATGAAGAAATATATACATTTCTGTATTATTTTTTTTTCTCCAGATTTTCTTTATGCATTTTACAGAAGGTATAATATAATAAAGTTTATTAAATAAATGCACTATTCTAATGCATTGTAGCAACATTACTGATAGCTTTTAATTTATTGTATTTATTGTAAACTCATGGGAATATAACTTTAAACAATCAACTTGAGCCATAAACCATTCAGAATATCACATTCATGCAATATTCCCTCTATACATAACATAAATATCATAAGTGATGTAGGAGAAATGTTACTGTGCTAGCTGTCATAACATCATGGAGGGTTGATAATGAAATATATATACAACATACAGTACACCTACTGTACATGATGAATTAATTATGAAACATACAAAATGGATACAATTCAAATGTTAAAACAGACTCATGAGCACATTCATATTGCATCAAATCGTTAAAAAAGAACGATAAAGAACGATAATTAAAAGTAAAGGTTACTAAGCAACAAAGAAGATGTAAGTATAGTAGGATCTTACGGTAGAACTTCAGTTTCAGCAAAGTCTGTAAGGTCACTGAGGCTGGCACTGTAAAACATGCAGGATATATTTAACACTTCAAACAACTTTACAACAACAACAACACTAGGCTACAACGAGAACTTAAAATACTATAAATTACTGAGGAACATCTTTAAAATAAAACAATGAAAGACAATTATTGAATATGACATGGCCAGTTAAAATAAAGCTTTGAAAAATTATTTAATACACAGGATACAAATATTTGTATTTTTCATTAATAAAACATTTTGCAAAGATTTTTAATCTGTAGAAACTGAATGAAAGGAGAGAAACTTGCAACATCATGGGGGATCTTACAGACAAGACTAAATATCCATCAAGTTAGCATGTAATATCAGTTCTGATATATACAATGAACAATGATTTAAAGTATTTATTTTAATTATGACATCTTTAGTATCACTCTAACAATATGGCTGAATCTTGTAAATAACTAAGTAAGTACATACTTAAAGCAAGTAAATTTTTCAAACAACTAACAATAACAAGAACGTATTTTTAAGGATGTAGTTAATGATAAATTGATTTTGTAAATAAATAATATTGAAGTTCATTTAAAAACATTTAAACATAAAAGAAAAACAGATATAGCTTGTTCCAATATAACCTGTAAGATTTTTTTTTACTTTGGTTTAAGCTACAGCAACACTGTTAATGTAAACAAGAGGGCCATGATGGCCCTGAGGTCGCTCACCTGGATATAGCCCCCCTCCCCCCCATCCCCGGGCCAATTTTTACCCAAGGGCTTTTATTTGTTTATTTGAACAGACTTGGTAGACACCCATAAGAAGATGTTTCATGCTAAACATCTAAGTTCTAGCTCATTGGGTTTTTTAAAAGAAGATTTTTAAAGTTTTTACTATACACATATAGTTAAAAACAATGACACCCCTAGGGCAGGGCCAGTTTTGACCCCATGGCTTTTATTTGAACAAACTTTGTAGATATTTACTTAAAGATGTTTCATGCTTAATATCTAAACTCTAGCTATTTGGGTTTTTTCAAAGAAGATTTTTAAGTTTTTGCTATACACATATAAGGAAAATCAATGACCCCCCCCCCCCCGGGCGGGGCCAGTTTTGACCCCAGGGCTTTTATTTGAACATACTTGGTAGACACCCATTAGAACATGTTTCATGCTAAATATATTAGCTCTAGCTCTTTGAGTTCTTTAAAAGAAGATTTTTTAAGTTTTTACTATATGCATATAGGGAAAATCAATGACCCCCTGGGGCGGGACCAATTTTGACCCCAGGGCTTTTATTTGAACAAACTTGGTAGACACTCATTAGAAGATGTTTCATGCTAAATATCTTAGCTCTAGCTCTTTGGGTTCTTTAAAAGAAGATTTTTTAAGTTTTTACTATATGCATATAGGGAAAATCTATGACCCCCCCCCCCCCCCCCCGCGGGGTCAATTTTGACCCCAGGGCTTTTATTTGAACAAACTTGGTAGAAATTCACTAGAAGATGTTTCATGCCAAATATCTAAGCTCTAGCTCTTATGGTTCTTTAAAAGAAAATTTTTTAAGTTTTTACTACATGCATATAGGGAAAATCAAAGACCCCCAGGGGTGGGCCCATTTTGACCACAGGGCTTTAATTTGAACAAACTTCGTAGACACTCACTAGAAGATGTTTCATGCTTAATATCTTAGCTCTAGCTCTTTGGGTTCTTTAAAAGAAGATTTTTTAAGTTTTTACTATATGCATATAGGGAAAATCAATGACCCCCTGGGGCGGGGCCAATTTTGACCCCAGGGCTTTTATTTAAACAAACTTGGTAGACATTCACTAGAACAAGTTTCATGCTTAATATCTAAGCTCTAGCTCTTATGGTTCTTTAAAAGAAGATTTTTTAAGTTTTTACTATATGCATATAGGGAAAATCAATGACCCCCCGGGGCGGGGCCAATTTTGACCCCAGGGCTTTTATTTGAACAAACTTGGTAGACACTCACTAGAAGATGTTTCATGCCAAATATCTTAGCTCTAGCTCTTTGGGTTCTTTAAAAGAAGATTTTTTAAGTTTTTACTGTATGCATATAGGGAAAATCAATGACCCCCTGGGGCGGGCCAATTTTTGACCCCAGGGCTTTTATTTGAACAAACTTGGTAAGACACTCACTAGAAGATGTTTCATGCCAAATATCTAAGCTCTAGCTCTTAGGGTTGTTTAAAAGAAGATATTTAAAGATTTTTCTTTCGGTAGCCATGGCAACCAGAGTTCTGCATGGAATTAAATTCTTTGAACAATTTTTAAAGGTGACCATCAAAGGAACATTCCTGTGAAGTTTGGATGAAATTGGCTCAGTGGTTTATGAGGAGATGTCGTTTAAAGCAAAAGTTTACGGACGGACGACGGACGGACGCCGGACGAAAAGCGATCACAAAAGCTCACCCTGTCACTTTGTGACAGGTGAGCTAAAAAAGTATGAAAGAAAGATAATCAATGTGTATAGTAACACTTAAGTCTTACAATACTGCACATTGGATAATTGTGACATAACTATCATCTATGCTGTCAATTTATGAAGTATTTTTTAGTTTTTCCTCAAATAGAAGTAATTCTGCTATATTATAAATTCCCTATATGTATGTATTCTAGGCTTAATGAGGGTCCATCTGCCCTTCAGGCACTGAGAGTATGAACCCCAGACATGTCACCATTCATGTCCTTTACTATTATTATCAACCAAAAGGTGACCTATAAATTTTGAATTCAGTAATTCACTGAATGATACTAAATATGTATGCAAGTCGATTTTAAATTCCCTGTAAAACTGTCAGACATGTTATATGGCCATGTATCAATGGTACCTCAGCCTCTAAGCTGGCCCATATAACCTCAGTTACTAAGCTTACAGCCTATGTGATTATATTACTGCGCATCTGAACTCCATTCTATGCTTTATTATAACACAGATCACTCAAAATCAAGATCAATTTCCTTCATATGTAAGATGACTTACTTCGCATGCAAAATTGACACTTAATACTGTTAATTAAAGCTTGATTGTGAAATAAGCTCTTGTAATTTATATTTATCATTTTCAACAGCTTGATTGAGAAATAAGCTCTTGTAATTTATATTTATCATTTTCAACAGCTTGATTGAGAAATAAGCTCTTGTAATTTATATTTATCATTTTCAACAGCTTGATTGAGAAATAAGCTCTTGTAATTTATATTTATCATTTCAAAATCTGCTTTCTGGACCAACCAGCACAGGGCCATAATAGGAATCATGGAACTAACCCAAGTAAGGATTGAACCCAGGATCCCTAGCTGGAGAAGCCAGACAACTGAAGAACTAGGCTACCACTTCACTTACAAATCTTATGTCTTAACATGAAAGGATGACTTGGAACAAACTATAAAAATACAAACATAAGAAATAAAAAATTAAACAGGAACAATTTCAACAGGCAAGCTATCTCACATCATGTCATCCTACAACATGCACCTAGAATCTCTTCCTTGATTGGTGTAAAAAAATTATAAAGTTTGAATATACAAAAACTACTATCATCACACTACACAGAATGTCTTTGATTTAGAGATTTTGTTGTTGTTGGGATGTATATCGCACCAACACTGTAAAGGTCATATGGCAATTTTCCAGACTAACTGGTGTAGGAATATCTAAGGTGCCATACAGTGCATTATTTCAGACACAAATGCTCACCTAAGTAGAACCATTAATATTCCATAAGCTGGCTGGATAGCTTTCTCACATAAAAAAAATCCAAGTCCCTGAAAAGACTCAAACCCACAACATTGAGGAGCTAGTGGTTTTAAGCCATGACCCTAAAAAACTCGGCAACATACCCTCTATTGAATACCTTGTTGGTCAATCAAGTTTATCCACCAAACCGTACCCAAGGAAACACATAGTTGAGGTGTGTATGTTTGAAATTAAGTAAAAAGTTTAAAACAAAAACAACAGCATTCAATATACTCTGCTTAACATCCCTCACAAAGAAACATACAGAAACACTTACCTAAGCATGATTTTAGTAGATTTGTAAAATTTTTGTTGTAGGAGACACATTCTCTTCAAATATTTGGCTGTATCAGAATCTTCCTGAATATAATAATATAAAACAATATAAATTTATTGCCACATCTTATTCACATTGTCTATCATTTTGGTATTCCTTAACACATTCCCTGCTGAATTTGTGTAATGAACTCGTCTCCTGCTTGTAGTTTGGAATAATCCATTCTAATTCTAAGAGATGTCAATAATAAAAATACAAAATCTGAGCTACCAGCAATTTAGTGTCATTATGCAGACTGACCCATTTTGGGTCATATATTAATGATCATAAACAGTTTCCCATTGGAACAATATCCTTGCAACAATTTCTTCATAAATTTTCATGAAAATTATGCAATGACACAAATTTGTAAGGCCCCTAATGGGGAATCTTAAATATAAATTGCAATTTTTATACATTCTATCATTAATATGTTAGATGTTGAGTTTTATAGAGTAAACAAAAAAGTTTGAAGTATAGATTGCTGGCAGGATAAACTGGAAAATACATTACACATATAGCCTTTTGAGATCTATATAACGCTTGACTTATGCTTCAGCTCAGACAGATTATTTTGTTAGGTTGGGGTTTTACGACGCACCAACCCAGTATAGGTTATATGGCGACTTTCCAGCTTTATAGGTGTCCCTTTGTGAACTATTTCAAGTATAAGTATCCGTCTGGGTAGAACCACCGACGTTCTGTAAGCTAGCTAAATAGCTTTCACACATGAAAGAATCCAAAGGCTCTGGGGCTGCTTAAACTACATCTCATTTAGGTTATATTGTCCTATATATCCCACCATCAACCTATATAAGTAATATAATAAAAATAATGTACCATAGTATATTGCACTGAACTTTTTGATGTGTCTATTTCAAATGTTTTCTTGCTTTGCTGAAGTCTTGCAACATCAGTCCATCTAAAATTAAATTTATAATATCATGGATTCAAGAATTGTTTTTGAAGAACTTCTATTGAGGTGTCAGTAGTCCATAGCATAATTTATTAAGTATCACCAAATTATAGCATTGCTATAAATATTTCAGTATTTCTTAAGTCTTTTGCAATTATAGATTTTAGAAGACTATAACTCTGTGTTTTCCGTATTCAAAATAAGCAAACTTTCATCATTCAAAATGAGTCTTACATTCATGTATAAATTTAAAACATTGTAATGGTTACTCACTTAAAGAATATGGGTTGCTGACCATCTAAGTATCTGGCAAATATTCCAACATATGATGTCCCAAGGTAAAGTTCTTTACCTCTCTCATCCTATAAATAAGATAAAATGTTAGTTGTTTTTTTTCCAAATCTTACATCAAATAAAAATCAATAATCACCATTCCTCAATAGTACCAAGGCCTTGTGTTTAAAAATTATAACAAAAATACAAACTTGGCATTAGAGTAGTCTGAATTGAGTTATGGCCATTAAGCCACCTTGCATATTGTGCTTACTTTGCTAATCATGGATGTTTTCAACCTTGTTTACAGCAGCATCAGCCCTCATGAAGGCTTCACCTGCGAGACTGTAAACCTGGGCCAGTTTCTATGTCACCCACATCCCTAATTCAGGGATCCCCCTGCTAGAGGGTTGTATGATTACAATCTCAGACCTTCCCAAGGGTTCATATAGGGGCAACCAGGTGCCCTGCATGTAACCCCAACTTGCAAGCATTAATGCCAAGTCATTTGAATGTAGTCATTTATAACATTATATAGTAGGCATTTTCATTTATTAAAGTAGTAAAGTTTTGAAATATAAATATTGAGGGTAGAATTAATCTTACTTTTGACTAATTGAACAAGTATATTAAAATAATATTATCCATAGCTTGATATGTGTAAAGAACATAAAAGAAAGCCAAAAATCAAGAAATATAGTTTCTGAATTACCTCCCTTTAATTTAATAATTGCCAATGTTTTTCAACTTATATTTGTAAAATTCAGGTTAAATAATTGCCAATTTTCTACATCTTATGTTAATTTTGTAAAAATCAGGTTAAATAATTGCCAATTTTCTTCATCTTATATTTGTAAAATTCAGGTTCTTAGAAAAAAGCGACAACCATTTTAAGTAATTTTTTTTTATATGTTATAAACTGATAGATTATGAAAATAAGTAGAACTTATGATGTTATTTAACAGATGATTCAGTTACTTTGTCAAATTCTATCACATAATATTATGTGAAGAAAAATATAATTGCTCCAGAATGCTTGTACCATCATTAAATTTTTTTTTACCAGCATAACAGCATGTTTAGAATTGTGAGTCATTTTTATTTAACTATAACAATATATTATGTTGAAATTTTCCTTTTTATGCAGAAAACATAGGTGGCAACGATAGGAGGGTCATGTGAAATGCTCATAAACAATAAATATACCTTAGCAATGTAATATTCCATGCCATATCCATCCATCATCTGTATTTCCTTCATGTATTGTATCTCCGCTTTCACCGGGTGTACACCCTGAAGTCCCATGTACACTTGTACAACCTCATGTTGTAACTCTTGTAAGATATTCTCATCCTTTGTTAGATTCTGTATCATTCAAAACAAACTTCTTTTTACATGTACAGTCGAAACTGTCTTAAGCAGCCAGCCAAGGGATGCAGTCATTTTGGCTGCTTAAGACAGGTGGCTGCTGAATGGAGGATCCAGTTTTTATCCAAGTAAATTATTCATTTCTTTGTAAAATAAATCTGATTTAAGTATAAATAAACCAGTCTGATTCATCATCATCATCATCATCAGTGTTTAACCATTTACAAACGTATGCTTTTAATGGTTTAACATGTACACAATCCTTCCAACATATAAAGCTTTACATGAATGTAACACAGATAAACAAATGCACTCACGATTTTTTATGTCAATAATTGAAAGTATTTATCCCTTAAAAATATCTTCTTGCACTATAATTTAAAATGCGTAATATTTTTTTTCACAAAAAAAGTATGACAGTTTCTTTTTATAACCTTTGATCAATAGAATATTGTGTACACGTCATCTAAGTGTCGGCATTTCCTTTGATGTTTCGGATTGAAACAGCAGGGCTACAGGTTTGTAAACATCAAAGATTCCTTTGAAGAGACCGCTAGTTATCTCTTAGAGGTCATCTAGTGTGTAGCTTAATGGGTGTGATTTAACAGTGACATCATTATATTCATGCAATTTTATTTTCACACATGGAGCAAGTGTTTTTATGAATTTTTTATAACTGAGGAATTTAGACAATCGGCGATGTAATTCATTTTCATTTCTTTGGTAAGTACCATGTACGCACAAAATTTATCTGAATCGGGATAAACTGAAATTTCTTTCTGCCATCGACAATGCATTTTTTCTTCTTTCTTTTTTTCTTAAAATCGGTAAATTGAAAAATAAAAAAACTAGCGTACAGTAACTCAAAAGAACGAATTGCAAGTGTGTTTAGACGTTCCAAACGTTTGTAATTACGACACGGATGAGCAATTATGCAAACGTCTTGAAATGTTGTGGTTTGTGTTAATATCTAGCACCTGACAAGTAGCTTTTGTTAATCCGTGACACGTGTCATCTTTCAAAATAAATGACAGAAGATTGCCTGGCCGTTTCACCTGGCTGACCGCAGAAGATTGCCTGGCCGTTTCACCTGGCTTACCGCTTAAGATGACCGGCTTTAAGATTCGGGAAGCATTTTAGGTGACCGTTGACCGCGGACAGCAGGTGACCGTTGAACAGATGTATAAAATAGAGTGGTTTTCGTCGGGAGCGTCACAAAATGGCCGTTAAGGTCAGGTGACCGCCGATAAGAGGTGACCGTTAGTACAGTTTCGACTGTATACTGTAGCATGTAGAGTTGTCTTTTCTTTGTTTTAACTTAACAATTTAAAGATGAACACCAAATGTTTGAGAGGTATGCCTCTAAACTACATAAATATGGACTATGATTCCTACTCTATGCATGAAAATGTTGAACCTTATAATACCAGTAATTACTAGTTCAAGAGAATACCCAGCTCTGATCAATTTGAACATTTATCTGCTGGAACTAAAACTGATCTGCCTTTGCTACCAAAAAAGAGCCAAGCCTGTCTGAATATCCATGCAGTCTGACCAGGCTCTATACTGTTTGTAATCTGAATTTTGATTTTTTTTTTTTTTCATATCAAAATCCCATATTTTCCATATTCAAAGCTGGGAAAATACATTACACAAATTCAGAAGGTTATGTGTTTAAAAACTTTATTTTTTCCCTACTTTTTCAGCTGTGATTTATACAATTAAGTGTTAATTAACTAAAGACAAAATTATGTAAAAATATGGACATGAATAATGTTTTAAGCAAAACTAAACAAAATTATTCAAGGGAGATAATTTGTTGTAGACATTCAAGATGTAATTTTGTAAATCATATGATTATTTTGTAGCAGATTTTGAAGGTGAAGATTTATAAAACAATTTTAACAACATACAGAAGAAAGTTACCTTAGGAAAGACCATGTTATCAGTAAAGTAATCTGCCGCAGGTTTCTCGCTCTCATAATCGTTGAATTCAACTAAAATATAAACATACATATATAAATATTTATATACTAGAGTACACTTATACAAACATTAAAATAGTCTTGTACCTTAAAGGCATATGATTATACTATGATTACATACGTGATCATTAAAAGAACAACAAAACGAAATATTTTTTTATAAGAAAAAGTAAAATTATTAATCACATATTCAGGTTGCACTGTTGAATGTTATAAGCGGAGGCAAATGTAATAAGGCATACATGTATGTTCCAAGTGCTTGTTAGGCAGGGGAATTTTGTACTACTTGTCAACATAAATAATTATAGAAGTATACATTCTGATCTTAAGACAGTATGCTCAACTATTCTTAGTCTTTTATACAAAATAAAGACTTATCTGAAAAAGATATTTATGAAGGTAACTGTATAAACAGGGAAAACAATGGCTCCATTGTTTAAGATGATGACATCAAATTACATGCCGTTCAGAATGCTGTGGGTTAAAACCACCATTAAACCATTAGACCATTAATTTTGAAGCAAGCAAACTTTCTAGAGTGTTTCTACCTTGTCAGATTGAAAGGGCTACCACTACCATTTACAACTACATGTGTACTATAATCAGTTTATAAAAATTTATTTTAGTTTGATTGTGTTGGAAGCTGTAAGCTTATTGAAACACTCGAATCCGTTCCTGGAACCAACCAGTACTTAGCAATGAATGTAAAGTTTCTTGCTCAAGGAAACAAGGCTTGCCCCCAACAGGGTTTGAACCCACGCAGTCAGCAATCCTTAGATCACCAGTCTGATGTGTTAACCTCTCGGCCACGCCGCCACTCAAACACTATAATTATGTCATAAGGTCATTATCTCATCGTTGGTATCCAAAACCAACCCTAAAAATAGTTTACCTTGTAAACTGTAGGCTGCTAATCTGATCACCTGATCTACTGTTAAAGGGAGACGACCATCAACTATATCATTCTTCAATTGGAGGTAGTATTGGTACCTTAAATATATCATATAATACACTGATTATAAAGCAATTAAGTAATCTTTGACAATAAATTTCTTACCATGCAATAATTGGACAATTATTCAATTAAAACTAGTCACATCTTTCCTAATTAAGAACAATCTAATTGAATAGAGATATTAAAACAATGCCTCTATTTGTGCATACCAGAACTGTGAAACTATATATTGTAAATTTAAAAATAATATCAATATTGTATAATCATGGTTACCTAGCAACATCATCAACAATTTTATGAGCACTTGCTATATAGAAGATCACACCAAAGTACAGGCGTGGGGATCTGGAGGGTTGGGAGGCTTGCGCATACTTCTCTAGCTGTTTTTTAAGTGGTTTGTTCAAGTCCACCCAGCGGAACTGTATCTTCTTAGTGACATATCGCAGTCCAAAATATTGTATCTGAAAATATAATGCCATAATTTTAACTGTTATGCCATATAAACTATTTTCTTAAAATATTAGATTATCTAAAATGGACTGGTCTACACTCAGCACATTTTCAAATACATGTTTTATTTCAAATGTTGATAAAAAAATTTAAAACAATAGAAATGAATTATTTTGATATTCTTATTAAGTATTTCTTGAAAACAAAATGTTGATTTTTAAGTGATTTAGTATGAACATTTATATGATGAATAACAATATTTTGTTCATGAACAATTTATCATTCTGCTATACAAATAGGTATGTTACATGGGATCATGTATCTTACGCTTACCAACAACATCTATATACAACTGTTTCATGATTTGTAGTCTTGTATGATACTAAACATTTCTACAAGAATTTTTATGTTGTTATAAACCTTTAATTATAGATCAATTCTGATTATAGATCAATTCACTTTTACAATCAGTAGAGGATGTATTGATTGAATCAACAAGTTAATGTTTCTATGGTGACAATGTTTTTCTCCTAAAATTTATTTAAATGCTAGTTGTTCAGTGATATCTTTCAGATAAAAGCATAAGCCAAGGGCATAAATGATTTTTTACTAATTACCCTAAAACCCCATACTTCAGATCAATACCATATAACCCCATACTTCAGATCAATACCCTAAAACCCCATACTTCAGATCAATACCCTAAAACCCCATACTTCAGATCAATACCCTATAACCCCATACTTCAGACAATACCCTAAAACCCCATACTTCAGATCAATACCCTAAAACCCCATACTTCAGACAATACCCTAAAACCCCATACTTCAGACAATACCCTAAAACCCCATACTTCAGATCAATACCCTAAAACCCCATACTTCAGACAATACCCTAAAACCCCATACTTCAGATCATAACCCTAAAACCCCATACTTCAGATCAATACCCTAAAACCCCATACTTCAGATCAATACCCTAAAACCCCATACTTCAGATCAATAGAATTACTGAGGAAATTTAGAAAGTTCAATAATAGAGAAAATTAATAATTGCCGCTGGTAAAAAAACAACCAATATAAAATTGATATGATTTTCTGGCTGATAACAGCTTCATGTCTCTTGGTTAAACATGATGAGATGGCATATTTCCTTGTAGTATAGTATATTATAATCATATTTCTCTAAACAAGCTAATTCAAAATACAGTACAAAGTACATATATATATACATGTATATCTAACATGTAGTTCACCACAAACTTTAGCTAACAGGTATATGAAAGCATCTGGCAAGGAATCAATGTTCAAAATGATATTATATAAACATGTACATTGTATTTGTCTACAACATCAAACATGTCACAGGGTGAGAAAAATGTTCGGCCTGACTGGGACTTGACCCCGGGAACCTTGGAAGACCATACCATGGCTCTACAGATTTAGCTAGCTGGTTGTTTACACCTCCTCTCCTCTAATGAGTGAACAGATCTAAACCATGCCACATACTCCTCCCCCCCCCCATCCCTCACTTTAATGAAACACATCCTTGAATTTCGAATAGAAATAGAGTAATATTTGAATTGACTTGAAGCTTTACACAGTCATAGTCCCCCATTGGCCAATTGGCACCAAATGAGACAGGGTGAGGAAAAAGTATAGACGCCCTTACAATGACTCAAATCTGGAACCTCAGATTACTGTACAGCAGCTCTACTAACTGAGCTATTTGCATGTTTACACATTCTCTACCATGATAAGTGAAAAGTTCTAAACTGTGACAGTTATAAACATTTTTTACTATATTATCATTATTTAAGCATATCATTATTATACATTATAAGTATATTCTCCATCAAAACCAACTCCCTCTTTTTAGATATGAAAATGAAGTTATTTGATAAAAATAACCAGTATAAATGTTTAAAATTACTATAAAAGTTAGCCCATTTAAAACTTTTTTTTCTCTAATTTCATTTAGCTATATAATCTTAAACACAATTGTTAGTAAATTGTGTACCTTGAGGGCTAGAATAAATTACATGGTGTAAACAATAAGGGAAGGTTTTGATGTTGGTTTTATACTTTAACTACAAAATTATAACTGGATTTCTTTATTGATCTTTTTATATTTCCATCAGTCTTTATCCTGCAGAAACATATTAACATATAAGTAGACCACAAATTGGCAACAATTTAAACATCATTCAATTGTCAGTGACCTATATTGGCAATTTACAGTATGGCTTGTTGTCTGAGCCACCTGTCGCAGTATACAATTTGGCCAGCCTTCACTTCTATGCAGTATGATAATACTATATATTAAGTCTTGTTACCTAACTTCATTTCAGCACGGACGTTGCCAGCCAGCATTAAATTACAGCTTTATGCAAATTGACAGAATGGCTTAGTCCAGCTGGGACACTTGGAAAACACATAGTCATTGGTTTACACAAAAAAGTTTTCATGTACAAATGTACTAAGTTTAGTTTGTGATTCTGTTTGTGAGCAACTGACCTAGCATTGAATAGGAAAGGCATGGCTAATTTTTTTTGCTGCTAAAAACTGAAAAGGTCTATTTTTTATATAGATTGCCTTGTATGAGGTCAGGACTAAAATTGGTCTACTATACAGCGGTACTTCCTAATGACTCATAGACTATTTTATAATATCAATTCAGCCTAAAATCTGAGGATTATAAAAGAAATGTTATATCTTTTTTGTAATCTGGATTAAATTTCACTTCTTTTGATGTTCATTCAAATTTATAAAATAATTATCCCTGTGGTTTGAAAAAGACCACAGAAATCTTTTTCAATGGGCCAATAATTAATGTACCATTGGCCTGAAATGTTGTAATAGTAACAAGTTCAAACAATTTTTTGACGGTTCATCAACTTGGCATCTAGTTTTATAAAAGAGCCACGCCATGACAAAACCAACATAATGGGTTTGCGACCAGCATTGATCTAGACCAGCCTGCACATCCGCACAGTCTGATCAGGATCCATGCTGTTCGCTTTATTATAGGGTTTGTAAGCGAACAGCATGGATCCTGATCAGACTGTGCGGATACGCAGGCTGGTCTGGATCCATGCTGGTCACAAACCCATTATGTTGGTTTTGTCATGGCGCGTCCTAATATCCCTGCATATGAAAACTATATAAACTTATTTGGTCTCTTACGGTCATATATTATTATCAAGAATTATTGTCACCCCTCACTCTAAAACTTAATTCCTATTTTATTTTTCCCAATAATATTTGAAGTACCTTAGTATTCGTTTTGATAGGGGAAAACAAAGAATATAAAGTGAGCAAAAACAACAAAAATATATTTTTATACAGTGGCAGGATATAATTACATATATATATCCAGCATTAATGTGTGAGTGACTCAGCATTCTCGAGACACAGATGTTCAACCTTTTGTTTAATAATATCTTCCATAGATCTGTAATTTAATATAATAATGGGAAGTATAAAATATCAGAAAAGTTTGAGCCTACTGACTCATTTACAGTTATTGTAATGTATTTTTTTAATATACCTGTAGTTACAGTGCAAATGTTATAGCATAATAACAGAACTACACAAGTAAAAATGCTTTATTGGCTATTTTAGTTACACAGTTAAGTACTATATTAACACAAGACTTTAAGATAATTGTTCACCATTTTAACTCTTTTGAGGAATGAGAAATGACTAATTTCCTAGAGACCATTTTCAAAATATGTACATTTATTTAGTTTTGCACATGAGTCGAAACTTTTTATCAGGAGTAATCCCTATATATTATTTGTGTCTTTTAATTAAAATCTTAGCTTCTTCTTTAAATTTGGATATTATTTTCAATATTCAGGGATAGCGCGAACGCAGTCCCCACACAAATAAATTGCGTACCCGAGTAACCCACATTTGGGGCTATCGCAGACGTCAGCCCAACCGAAGTGCAATGGAGGGGCCTCTTTCTGGGGAAACCGCCTTGCTGATCACGGTGTTCCCTGTACCAGGTAAGTATGCTTACAACAAATTTTCTGTAGTTTTTATACGATCAAACAAATACAAAATCACAACCACTCTTTCATCATAAACATAGACGTAAATTTCATCAAATGTATTAATTAAATCCTTTATTCACTTAATTCAATGTTATTATCAGTGAAATCTTCAACATTTCTTCTTTAAAAAATTAGATATAAATTCAATACACACAATTGTCATTTTAAAATAAATACAATAATGATGAAAAATCAACTTATTTTCTTACTATGGTATACATTGTATTTAGTATTAACATTTTATCATGCTAAAAATAGTTAAACTCTCCAAGGCAAGTTACTCTGTATAAATTTATGGATTTATTACCGATACATAGTTACCTCCAGTTAAAAGAAATACGCTGTATTGCACAGACTTTATCTTAAAATGTGTTATCTTAATATATTAAAAATGTTGGTTTGTATTCTGTAAATACTATTTTTAATATGTGAATATTGTTGTCTTGCAAATTTTTTTAATTTCATGTAATTGACAGTACTAAACAATAATACGAGACATGAAAACATCTGGACAGGTTTTAATGGACAGGTTTTAATGATGTTTGCTAAATATTGAGATACTTAGCCCGCAGGCAAAGGGATTAATAAGAAATCTAAGCTATTCAATTTTAGAGCATTTAAGTTTAAACTCCTGGTTATATATATTTTGCTAAAAAATGAAGGAAACAGATATTAATTATGATATATAACATTACAATACAATAATTACAATATTAAAGAGTAATACTATGTATCAGAATGAGGATAAAATCTATATATGTAATACCTCTTGTAGCTCTATTTTCTGTGAGATCCCATCTAAACATTCATGTCCTGTACTGTCAGATGTCAGCGTACATTCTAGGTAAGATCCATCCAGCATCTGTACCTCCACCATATAAATATTCTTCGTTGAAATGTCATAGCGACGCGTCTTCTTAAACCGTAATCCAAACGGCATTTTTTTGACCAAATATCAATTTTTACCTAAAAACAGATAAACATGTGTCTGAAAATCATGTCCATAAAATAATACTATGTATACCTATACTAGTGCATTGTTTACATTGTTCAAGTGTCCTGAATTGTTTACTTTACTTCAAAGTCAACACTAAAGTTTAACTTCAATAGACATCAATTCTCTATGGTCATATAAAATTATAAATAGCCCCCAAGATTGAAAATAACAAAAGGTTTAAAGATTTGTGTGAAAGACAATCTAAATTTAAGTTGTATTGTACCATAAGAGAGTAGAACGTTTGCATGACTCATGGATAGATGACCTCTAAAATGCTGTTCATTTTTATTTAAGATTGTAACACTTCCTGTCTAAGTTTTGAAATATTAAAATATTAAATCTAGAGACATGCACATGATGTATCCCTTTAACATACAATTCTAGTAATTCCTACATAGAGGATATTCAATTTTTTTTCTATAAAATAAATACATGATTTATTTTTCACCATGTGGTATGAAAAGAAATATTTCTTGAGTGGTCGACTCGTAGCTATGAGTGAAATATAATTTTCATGCCACAAGTATGTTTACTAATAAGTATGTAATAGTATTCATCTATCCAATCATTTTCAACAAGTAGAAAATGTAAATCAATATATTGTACATGTTACATCAATGTGCAGTTATAGATAATACTGGTATATAATATCCAGATGAAGGTTCATTGTGTAATTTGTAGAACAAAAAGCTGTAGATATTAAATCGTCTTACACTGAACAAGTGTTGATGTCATGTATTTCTTCATTTTCTTCTTAGTCTTATATAATTTAGGGTTTGAAATTATTTTTTGTCCAATAGGATTGCAATATTTCAAATGAATCGTAACACATTTACTTTGGTAAATCGGCAACTGTGAATCAGTCTAGTTAATCGACTGTTTATAAAAATAACTTAAAACACTAGGCAGGTTAAAGTTTATAAGTACGTATTTACAAAAATAAATTGGTCGCGCGGCCATGCCGGGCCTGACCAATTTTTTTTTGTAAATATGTACTTATAAACTTTAACCTATACATAAAATGCATTTAAGACCATACTAAAGATAGCTTCCTCTAACAGTTTAATATATAACATTTTAAATAAGTATTCAAGTAAACAAATAACTATAAATTATACAAGAGTTACAGGGAAATTTACATGGGTATAATTTTATGAAATATTTGTTACCTATATAGTGCTGAAAACACATAATTATACGTATTACTGTAAAAAAAAACGTTCTTATTGAATTTATAAATCTCTTGTACATTGAACAGAGCTCAACCAACCTTGAACTGACTTCTTTACATGCTTTACAACAGATGTTTTATTATATACAAAAACTTTTTTTAGAGTGTTTTCTATGGCATAAAATGGTAAGTTCACTAGTTGGAATGAATCAAGTTATAAGGTTACAAACAGCCTTAGTATTTCAGTTTTATTACACTTTACAGCAGGTATCTAACCAGTGTTCTGTAAAACTACAATATTCTATATTTTAAAAGTTACAGTTAGTATAAACCCATACATGCATTTTTCCGGTGTCCTAAAGTGTAATAATATAAAATTGTTTTACAAATCATGATAATTGCAAGCCATGCTGCACATCAAAGACACCACCAAATGATGTGAACAGTCACATGTAATGTCCAAAATCAGGTTTGACAATTGTTCACTATTACAGTTGAATATCCAAAGCACTAATACATTTTTTCCCCATGTTCTTGGTATGTACTTGTTGATTAATAATTAGGTTGCATATTTTAGTGAAAAAGTAGAACCTAATGCATAAATTCACACAGTAAATAATTTTATGCAATGTCTGAAATTCTGAAATGTTGTGACGAAGATTGAAGATCTGGTGGAAGCAAAATGAATTGGATAACAAGTAAAAATGTAATGATTGGTATACTTAAAATAAATTCAAGACAAGGGTAAAGAAAAATATCTCTTTTGCACCGACAATAATTATGTCAATATAAATATTGGTGCAAATTGCATAATGTTTAAATGATTTTGAGGACAAACTATTCTGTTATTTAAGATATGCAAAAATATGTCCGAAATAATAATATCAAAGAATAGTTATGAATAAATTGTTAAATTATAACCAATTCTTAGTTTTTATGTATTGTTTACGTATTTATGATTAAACTTCTTGATTAACCCTTTCGCTGCCAGAGGGTTATTGTTTTATTGTTCACCTATTTGCCAGAGGATTTTCTAAGAAATTACTATATTATTAATTAATATAATTATTATTATTTGTTATTAGTATTATAATTATTATATATGTTTCCAAATATGTTAGTATAATAATAATTATTGTCGATGATATAATTTTCTTTATATTTATTATTATTTTTATTATTATTATTATTAACTTATTATTATTACTATTATTATTATAGAAACGGCTAAAGCCGTCCTTATGGCAAATACGCCGAAAATAACAGGGACGGCTTGAGCCATCCCTATGGCAGTGTAAGGGTTAAACACAAGATTGCATATTTTCCTGGAATTTAGGTATAGAACCACTAAATAGTAAATGTAATGAAAAAGAACAATCATCACAGAATCCTTCAAAATAACATATTGCAAATATTTGTGATACATTTTAACCTTTTCCCCCATGAGCATATTGTGAAAAATGGCCATTTTCACTGAAAAGCCTCCTCTTACAAGTTCAAACTGCTATGAAACTATGAAAAATGCTTCAATACTAATCAAACTTGGCACAAATGTTGACTGGACCATTGCCTTTGTAACCACATGCTCAGTCTTAAATTTCCTGTTACCATGGCAATGAGGGGACATCTCAAAATTGCCAAAAATCACTATTTGCCTCGATTTTTTCCATCAAAATTTATTTCAAAGTGCTGCAACTTCTCAAGGGATTGAGATAGAGTCAAAGGTTTTTCAGCGTTGGTTACACGTTACCTTATGATCGACCTGGGGTCATTTTAAGCCTCTCACAAGTCTAAAATTTTCTTGGCGATTTCTCAAACGAAAACATGTGTTTGGGGCCCAAATAGGACATTTTTTCACTACTTCAGGCCTAAAAAAGGGAGGGGGGTCGAAAGTGAGTTGTTTCGCGTATATATGAGGTAAAGGGTTAAAACAAACTTACTTTTTTTACTCATTTAATCTGTTTTTATAACTTTCACGTTAATTATTTTCATGAATAAACGTTTTGCCTGTTTTAAAAAATATTTCCGTTGTGTCTGTAGCGCCGAAAAATCTCTGAGCATTGCGTATTTTAGTCATACCCCTTGTTTTATTTTCCAATAATCACATAATAATGATATACAAGATGTACAGAACTTAAAACATAGCATAACTAAAGCTGAATTATGATTAGCAAACACAATTAACAAAAGACTCTGTAACAATAAGAAACTAAGGCCTGTTAAATGACAAAGGTGAATAAAAAGGAAGAAAAAGTATATGAGCCGCGTCACGACAAAACCAACATAGTGCGTTTGCGAACAGCATGGATCCAGACCAGCCTGCGCATCCGCACAGTCTGATCAGGATCCATGCTCTTTGCTTTCAGTTTCTCTACTTGTAATAGGGTTGGTAAGCGAACAGCATGGATCCTGATCAGACTGCGCGGATGTGAAGGCTGGTCTGGATCCATGCTGGTCTCAAACCCATTATGTTGGTTTTGTCGTGACGCGGCTCATATACTAGTAAGCAAAATGATCCACTATTTAGGTTCAACCAGATGTTACATTTTTTAGAAATTTGAGTCATTTATCGAAATAAAATTATGAGAAAGAAATATTGAATTTGACATTAATAAACAGTGGGTCTTGTATCAAGGCACCATCTGCCCTGTCCCCAAATACTGTCCGCTCTGTCCCTAAATACAGTCAGCTTTGGTATAGCATAAGGTCTTCAGCATACCCGTTTATGTACTATGACATGACGTGAACACTGAAGATAAACTCGTAGGGAAAGTCCACCAATAATTGTGCCAGGAATCTGACATGCTCGTATTCATTTACGAACATGCCATGAAGTAAAGCGAAGCATACCTTGATAAAACTATGTATAATCTGTTGATAAGCCAAAGATGATCACATAAAAAGCTTATTACGAACTTTAACTACTTAATAACTATTTAATAATTTCCGACGGGTAAAAAATTCAGCATTTGGCCGCAATAGTGCCAAAATGTTTGACCATGTGATTATTGAAGATTGACCTTTACGCGTTAATTTGCATCAGGGTCTTTCAAATAGAATGGTCTGGAGACAGACCAATTTTACGAAAAATGCTGTCTCGGTTGAGTCACGTGATTGGGCTATCTACCGACCGTGATAGGGCATAGCACATCACCATTCAAAAATCAAATTATAAGATAATGTTTTGTTAAATCAATCAAAATATTACTAAAAACTAACTCTGACTACATTATATTATCAGTTTTTACTTTAAAAGTAAAAATTTTTATAGATTTGCAATAAAATTAGAAATTTTTCTTTCCCGGTGTCAAGGTAAAAATCTACTGCTCATATTTGAAAATAGGTCCCAGTTTCATGTGCTTTTTTTAAAATTTATGCAATGTTCAATGACAAAATAGAAATTGATTTTACAGAGAAAAGATGTTATTAAATCGTATCAATTCATGTAAAAATATTATAATATTTCATGATGTTATTTGCAAATATTTGATGTTTAATTTGGTGCATTTTCAAAATGGCGCCGATTATCGGCAAATATTCTGAACAAACAATCTATGTTTTTTTAACAAAGATGGCTTTAAAAAACATCATTTCCTGAAATATTTATCCTTTTTTCAAAAGTTTAAAGATTTTTAAATAACATCATGTTGTTAAACTTTTCATTTTTGCTCTTGTATTTAATAATCGCCCTTTTCTTGAACACTTACATAATTTGCTTATAAATACATGTAACAAACTATACCGATTTATACCGAGACATGTTTAATTGTAGCAAGAAGGGTTTACATAGCGTGTTTCCAGACTATTCTATTTGAAAGACCCTGTTTGCATGTACGGTTAAGAAAACAGATCATGTGCTTCCAATTTTTTTATAAATTACTTTTATAAAGATATTGAAAAAGATGATTTACTGACCTTTGTATTCAATATAATTTTATTTCAGTACTAAAAAATAAAGAAAATAAATAAAACATTATTTTGAATTATAAATATTACAATCAAGTCAACAAAGATATTCCAAATATTGTACACAACTCTTCTCTAATCAGTTCCCACGAATTACATCAAACAAGGCCTTGGTCATGGCCGACTGTAGTCGGCTTAAATTGATGTTTTACTGTTAAATAGGCAATTTTTTTATGACAGTATTAATATTTTGATACTTTAATTGTTATAGAACGATATTAAATAATTGTTTGATCACAAAATGCACAAGAATTAATTGGGACATAGGTATTTCCAAATGAAAATTAAGGTTAAATCAAAGTATATATGTTATTCTGGTTAAGTTTCGTAATGGGTCTAATCCAAAACTTTAATGCCGCAACAGATGAAAAACAAAAATTTTAAAAAGCTGCTTATACAGTTTTGGAAGCCAGAACTAGCCTTGGTATGGTCAGCTCTGTCCCTAAACTAGCAGAAAATACTTAAAATTTCACATATGCCAAATAGACTTTCATACTCGCAGTAAACTTTTTTTTCTTCAAAATTTTATCATCAAAGGCTTGCGATTTCACATCTAGTTTTTACATGCTTCAAAAAAATTTATTGAAATCTATGTGACTCACCATGCAATTATCCAGGTGTGCTCTTGTCTTTGCGGGTCATCTTAAAAAGATGCTTTTATTTTATTGGAAAAAATTATCAATTTACATTACCGTAAAGCAACTGTCAATCAAAGTATGTCGTAAAATACAAAACACGGTTAGAAGTAATTCTTGAGATACCATCAGCCTGGCACATTAAAAACGTGAATTGTTGACCAACATATTTTATATGTTTCAAAAAAGTTCTTTGTCTTGACGAATTTTAATGTCGCAAAAAAAATACTCTTCTCAGTCGGAGAGCAAAAGATTTGAAATACAAAAATGACGACCGTCGCAGAAGGTGTGAGAGAAAAAGCTCTTTCTGATTACAGAAAGAAGCTCCTAGAGCACAAAGAATTAGAGGCACGTTTTGAAAGAAAGTAAGTATTTGCCAAATATTCAAAATCAGATAAAAATAACCCCTTATTTTACAAGAAAACCCCCCACTTGCCATTACCCGGCGTTTTTGTGCTGATTCACCCGGCTTTCCGCTTGGGAATGCCAAACGTTTCCCTCCTTCTTCTGAGCATTTAAGCCAAGATGGCTTGTAAGCTCCTCCTATACAGTATTATCAAGGATAACTTCAATAAATGTCACTTGTATTAAATCTTTTACTTTGTCAGCTCCGGTCGAGTAGAGTTTTTAAATGTTCAAAATACTTTCACTGAGGACAATGTTTTCATCTAAAACATTTCGAAGACATTTCCTCCGAAGATGTTCCATCCCCGTGCTGGAAATGTATGACATAAATTTTTTGCACCTTGAATATTAATATTAAAAAAGGTAAAGCCTCATGCAAGCTTGATTTACTTTTACTGTGAAATGGTATAAATAATCGTTCATTTTTATTTTACATTTTCCCTTTGAAATTATCATTCGATATACATTGCTTCCGTTTATTCTGGATCACTGTCCTATTATGGTTCCTACATAAGTGAGCAGGACACCAGTCTACGCTTCCGTTTTCAATCAGAATACCTCGGCTTTTATCGTTATCTTTTAATTCGAAAAGTTGCGATGTTTGAATTCAGTACTTGAACGAAAGTTTTCAAAACCATCACTATCTAGCAGGTACTCGCGTTACTGTAAAGCTTGCTTTGCAAGCAGGACCTTCAGGCCAGCTCTTAGAGCTCGCTATAATAAATTTGTTTAATATTGAATGGTAAACAAAATGATTTTATTACTGAAAGTCACTTTTCACCTCCCTTTGACGTTTCACCTCCTAGAGAGAAGAGTACTAGCCTAAACGTTTCAACTCCATTTTTTGTTATATATATTGTATACCGGTGCCTCATTTTTCTGTGGTACTTAACTGTTTAACACAGACAACAAAAGTTAGAAGAATAAAATTTTGGAAAAGAATGATAATGTTATTTTGTATTTTCACGGTTCAGAACTGTTCACATTTTTGTTGTAATATGAAATGCCAAATATGCACAAATGTATGAAAAAAAGAAATGCTTGTTTATTTTTAAATCTGAAATATATATTCCAATATACATACATTAATATCAATTTACACAAAAAAGAACAATCTGCATTCAGTGATTTTCCTGCTTATATAACAGACTCCGATAAAGGGTCTCTTCCCAATTGAAATTTTCTTTAAAATCATGCAGTTTTCCCAAAAATCTGAACTTAAACCTGCTTTTTTACTTCCCAAATTAGCAATTTTAGCGACAATTTTTCCCAAAATCAAGTGGGTAAGGCTTCTTCTAGTCCCAAGAAATCCGTGCATAAAATAGGCTGAATTGTGCACCTCTTGTGAAAAGCATGAAACTTGGCACAGTTGTTGGTTGATACAATCCATTTGATTTAAGCCTGGGATCCGGATGGTGCGAATCCAATATGGCCGCCAAAATCCAAGATGGCCGCCATATATTAAAAATTTCAGAAAATTTTAGTATTTCAGCTGTAGTCATACCTAGAACAGTATGAAATAGTACCAATTCATTATAGTTCACATTGAATAATATTCAAGCCTCGGATCCAAATAGTGTAAATCTAAGATGGTCGCCAAAAATCCAAGATGGCCGCCATATATTATTTTTTTTGTAATATTAAAGTTTTTTAGCTGTAGTCATTACAGATAAGTATGAAATAACACCACTTTATTATATTGCACATTTATTTGTATTCAGGCCTGTGATCTAGGTTGAACAAATCCAAGATGGTTGACAAAATCCAAGATGGCTGCCATATTAAAACTGTTAGAATGTTATAGTTTTTGCAGCTGTTGTCATCATTGCACACAGAATGAAATAAAACCGATTTTATAATAATTATTGTATCACACATTTATTTGTATTCAAGCTGCTGATCTAGGTTTTACAAATCCAACATGGCCGCCAAAATCCAACATGGCCGCCATATTAAAATTTTTAGATTATTTTAGTTTTTCAGCTGTTCATCATTTCAGATTAGTATAAAATCACATAAAATACTTTATATTACATGCTGTTTGAATATATCAGCACAAGGATAATTTATAAAAATATCAACCTGCCGCCAAAGTTAAATATGGCCACAAACCTTATCGTATAATTATGCAACTGTTGAAAAAAACATTCAATTTTCATTTTCATATTGAAAATGCTCATAATTAAATTGTTTCAGGTTTATTTTTTACTTGGTATAAGAACACAATAAAGAAACAAAGAACACTTAAAAAATTAATTTGTTAAACACCATCTTATAATTGGTATTACCTGCCCTTGAAACAAGACTTTATTGCTACAAGAAGCAAGTATCTTGCAATCAAATAAGCAGTGCATTATTCCAAATGATTTAACAGGTAGCTTTTCCAATGGATTAATATGTAGCAGACCTCCTATTGGGTCATTTTCTGCGCAAAGTTAAAAGGAATGGGTATAGGACCTTTTATAAATTCTAACTAACAGATGAGCAAATTTTTCCCTAAAAAGAAGTCATTTCATAATAATTTCAGATATTCAAAGGCTATGAATTTTGCATTTGATTAGAAATGAAAAGAATAATGTTACCCAAAATTACTTGCTGTAATCAATGTGGCCAGTTCTTAGAATAGTTATGGATACTAAAGCGAGTAGCTGTTGTACATATAGCAAGTTCGGTAGTATGGTCCGTCCTCAATCACTAGATAATATATTGCATGACTCTATTGCTCATAAAGGCAAGTGATATCCTAATTCGTTATACAATCTATTTTTTGTACTAAAATACCAAGATCTAGTACTTTAATTTTAATTTAATATTGATTCATCGTCGTGCAATACTGTTTTTATATTATCAACTGAAATGATATTTAAGCAACGTAAACTATGGACATTTATTATTGATCTAGTACTGAATGATGGGTCCAGTTAAGGTCAATTAAGTTTTATTATCATAGTGGTTCTAGAAAACTATGAAAATGAAATAAAAAAGCTACATTGATTTTCAATGAACAATAAAAACCTCATAAAATAAGCTAACATAGCCATGGTTTCACCAGTTCTTGTGTACTGTACTTTTATGACAAATGTGGAAAGAAGTAAACAAACAAAAATCATTTAATCTAAGTTAACAACAACAGTTTTTAGATTTATAAGTTGCTAAAAAAAGTTTATATGTTTTTGAAATCCAAGAAACTGAGATTAAAAATTGACCATTTGTTATATCAGGAAAAACATATGATTATGTAAAGGCTTTATCGTGCATTTCAACTACAATAAAATATACAAAGAAGAAATTTACAAGAAACATAAGAGCGTTGCCACTTGAACGCAGCCCCAACATTCACAGTAGTCAGAAAGTGAGTAATCAATTTAACAGACGATCTATAAATAGTCATAATTAGAATATAACCTGTATAGTTTAATTTGTCTATATTAGTCATAAATGATATGTTAATATGCCAAATGTACACAGATGTGCACACTAAATTCATTTTAACCAAAATGGAGGACAGCGACTTCAGAAAATCTCGCCTCCCGCCACCCATCAACTGAACTTTGTTCGGCATCAAGATAAGATTGGCTGCATGTGCATAAAACTTACGCACACAATAGAGGATATTCACCCTTTTGTGCCTACATTCATAGAGCGGAGACACATTTAAAGCTTGTCCTCGTGTCGCAATTCTCTACTTCTCATGTTGATGACAAAGTGTCTTTACAGTCTTCTTAATAGACGTATTCACAAATTTGATCTCGACGATATGTTGCATTTTTGCATAGAACGGTTCTTTATTTGACGCATTTGTGTTATCTTGGATATTAAGAACTGAGGACCCTCTGGCAATCACGGTTTGCAATCGGTCGTAATCACCCCTATCAGAGCTCGACTGTCTCATCATAGCGGCTACTGGTCACAGCGCTTGATACAAACAAAGTACTTAGTTAAAAACATTCCTTTACCTTCAGAAGCGTTATTTCCATCAAATCCGTATAGCTGTATTGACTTTGACGTGACTTATTGTCACAAATAGGGTAATTAGTTTCCCTATCCATTATGTATTTTACCAAACACAAACTGCTACAAAATGAGCACCTGTAAGCTGAACAGTTAGCTGCTCAATGCTCCCTATTCACCAACATAAGCTAATATTGCCCCTTGTCTTATCCAAATCCACAACTTTAACCTTTAAGTTTTTTCTGGCAATTCTGTGTGTGCAGTCGCTTAGCAAGAGTGCCGTTTATTATTTTGTTATATGTCTGATGAGTGTGTTATGACTATCTCGTATCATTTGAATTTGTCCAAAAAGCGTAATTTAATGCCCATCTTGATTTTAAGCCTACTGATTTCTCTATGATTGCTCTAAGTCCTACTACGCACTCTCCTATATCTATTATTGAACCTTCAAGTAGCTTTATATCTTTTCAACCTAAATACTCTTTGTTCTGCCCCATGACAATTTCTTTGCCCCATTCTTGGATTGCGGCGCTCTGGATTTTTAAAGTGCGTCCAGCTAATAAGACAATACTATTCTGCCACCTACACAGTTTGTTTTACGAAGGGCACAACCTAGTAATATTTCTTGAACATATTTCCAAACTGACGTAGAAAATCAATGCTTAATGCAATCTTCGTGTGAGTCTAACCAGTAATGTGCATGAACATTCCGTTTGATAACTTTGATTCCCTGCTTAAACAAC